GATCAAAGTTAGGAATAGAAGAACTCTTATTTTGTGACATAATAATTAAATATTAAATATATTATTTATACCTTCAACCATACATACATAAGTTTAGGATCCATCTGGTTTAAAACGCTGTAGTTACATAGAATTTGTGGAAATGAGGGATTGCGGGCTATAAAAAATTTGACGAAGAGGTGGGCAGAGAGCTATCGGAGAATTTTATAAAATAAAAATTCACAAATTTTATAATAAATTTTTATTAGAATTTTGATTGAGAAACCATATATCATAAAATGCTGAAAAATAAAAAGTTTTGATTATATACAAGATGATAAAAATAGTTTTCGTGATTGTTGTTAAACGCCAAAAAACTGTGTTGTGTAAAATCATAACTTTGCAAAAAATATCAGAAAAACTAACCAACACCTAAATATTACAATTCACTTATTTTTAATTCATACCTACATGGATAAATATACATATTTCTTTTATAAAAAAATTAATCATACATTATAAAAATATATATTACAAAACATATATTTTGTTATTTTTTATTAACACATAAAAGCCATAATTCAACTTTCTCATAAATATGCGTATAGATATAGATATTAATTGTGCAAAAATCAAAATCGCATGCAAACTTGTTGTGCATACATTTTCTTAACCTCGATTACAGTCCAATTTTAATTTTAGTTATTAGTCAATTTGAATTATATAAAAAATCTATATATGTCCTAAGAGCTGTGAGGTGGTTGGTACGCACGAATGTGCGGACCAACCATATGCCCGCTCTTAGGATAAGTAGTGATGGTAAAATCCATTTTGGTTTACTTAGCAATAGGTCAAGAAAAAATGTATACTTAAAATCTATATATATATATATATATCTACAAAATTATATTGTGCAAGGGGAAAAAGAAATAGAATATAGATAATATTTAAAACATATTATAAGAATTTAATTATTATTTAATATAACTTTTATGCAGTTATATGTAACTCTAAACGCTAGAAAAAACAAAACAAGTTTTCAAAAGACACAAAACGATATGAAACCTTTGTGTGATTGTTGTTAATTACTAAAATTGTATATGTATGAAAACGTAACACTTACATGATAAAGTTTTCAAAGACACAAAATGATATGAAATGTTTGTGTGATTGTTGTTAACTGCTAAAACTGTATATGTATAAAAACATAAAACTTACATATGTATAAGAAATTAATCAATACTTAAATATTACAACTATCTATGTCTATAAAAAAATGTATATTTGCATATACGTGCGGGCCAACCATATAAATTAAATATATTATTATATATTTTAATGTTTTCAGTTTATTTATTTATCATATTTACACTTTTTATCTAATGAAGTATTTTTAAAATCTAGGTTAATTATTAAATATTTATATAATGTTATTATGAATACATAATTAATCATATACAAATAAAATATATTTAATATATAATATTAATCATTTATTTAACATATAAAATATTTTATAGCTTACACATGGTGTTGGCCGATTACCTAGTTCTGCTATTAAGTTGATATATCATTCAAACCATTAATATAAAATTGATAGCGAAAAATATGACTAATTAATTTTTCCCATTAGATCATCTCTAATACAGTACATTCTACACTTAACGCTAGCGTATTTTTTTCACCAATGCGAAACCATTAAAAGCTTAACAACAGAAAAGGTAATATTATTGACCAACGTTATAAGTTATAAATTATAATCCATTACATGGGATGGTGTTTTTTTTTTTTTAACGACCATGGGATGGTGTTTTACTTGGTAAATAAGTAGGAATAAAGTTATACCCAAATCCAAATCCTTTTATTACGCCTCGAGTAGAGAGAGTTTAAGACCACAATCAAATTAAAAGGTTATTTATGTATAATAATACAATTCTCTAGTTATTTACACTAAATATTGGTAACTCAAGAAGTTTTGTTGTAGCTCGCTTCCGGTTCCGGATCCCACAACGTACATTACGTATGGAGCATGGTATCTTCCAATAAGTCGTCGTTTTGATTATACAATTATGTCAGCTTCAACTATGTCGTCGGTTATACTAATCATGTTGTTTATGACAACAACGATATTGACATAACAGTTAAATACTTCAGGTTATAGACAAACTTCAACTCACATGATATGACAGTGAACTACAAACTTCAGGTAATAAGATGAATTCTTGTTGTGTACATTAAAATTAGATGATTGTGAATTACAAATGAAATAACAGTGAACTACCACTTTTGCAATAATTCTTGTGGATATTAATGACACTGTATTTCTTAGATTCTAAAATAGCATTACATTATCGTCAAAAAAAGAATTAGCATAACATAAAGATGTAAAGTCATACTTGTATAAAAACATAAGCTTATATTCAAACTTAATTCTGCTTGATCGGAACAAGTATTTGATATAAAACCAGTTGGATTATTAGTACAAAACTACAAATGTAATCTAAACATTACTTGTGAATATCTGCATAATCCATAGATTTTGTTATTCATACATAAAGTAAAAATTATACTCTTCAAATATAATCAGCTTGCAGCAGAATAATTCAACAAATTATTGAGATGTTTTATAAAAAAAAAATATTTGTAAACATCGGTGTATTCAGTAGATTTAATTGATAGAAACTGTTTCTTTCAATGGAAAAAGGCAAAAAAAAACGCACAAACCAAGAAATATTTACACCTTTATTGTGATGTCTTGTTCTTAAAGCTGCGAGTTAGGAGGGTAATGAATGATGATCTAACTAATAATACGACGACTTTTCAAAGATGACCCCCACACGCTAGGAAAGTATGTAATAGTACTGGTTTGATATTTTGTATGTTTTAAATCCGAGGAAAACGTTAAATTATAAGACGTTGTGTGGTTGGATTTATTACCCTTTCGAGTTGTTACTTAATATATTTTGTATAAACCCTTTAGAGTTATATTACTTAGAATATTTTGGATTTAAAAAAGCTATGCAAAATGTGTATAGTCAGTCATATCACCATATCGATTTTAGCGTATTTGTTATGATTCATGAGATAAACCAGAAGGGTATCGGTAGTGATGTTATTTCTAACGTATCTGTAAACACCGTACGATTGCGGCTATAAGAAAGGTATTGTCCTGCTGGTAGATGTTGAATATGCTTGGATTCCTTCTAAATATGATAGATGGGGGCAGCTTTTAGCTTATAAGCGGCAGATGATGAAGAAACATGTTTCATGTTATAATTGTTTTTTTAGCTTAAAAACTTATGTATTAGTTTATTAAATATTAATTCATAAAGTTTATATTGTGCTAAATTTGTACTAGTTGATGCTAAGATTTCAAGATTATAATTAAGAGAGTTAGACTCCTTTAACCCTCTCAAAATTTGTTTCGAGTCTCTTCTCAAAATTTGTATGTCGGACTTCATCAATTTTGTTTCAGATAACCAATGTATAATCTTAACCTTTATGATGTACCTCTATAAAATATGGTTGCTATTTTTTGCCATCTGCACATATTACTTACTCTTAAAGAACATTTATTTAACTCTGAGAGATAATCTAGGTGATATATTTCCAGAATAAAATGAAGAGGAAAAATGGATCTAGAAATGTTGAAAAAAAAGATGGAAGTAAAAGAGAAGAGTCAAACACCTCATTGTGGAGAGAACGTAAGCACTTGAGCTTGTGGAGAGAAACTAGAGATAGGTCTTTTTGATCAAGATCAGGAAGTTCAACCCCAGCGCAGGTGACATTTGAATCAAATGTTGTGTTATAAGTCAAAGCATAGAGATAGGTGGAATGTAGAAAATGAAATAAATCTCTCATTAATCTGCTAGTGACTGTACACATCTGTTTATATACTAGTGGGATTAGTAAGTTGCCTCTAATTATATTCATTTTTTTTCTAGTGTGCGTTTGGCATCGGCTAAGCAGAGAGAGAAGATCGGTGATGAAGATGACGCAGAAGACAGTCAAGAGCTTCTTATGTTCTCTTTCTTTTGATAGTCTTTTAAAACTATGTTTGATTAGTTATGTCGTTTAAAACTATGGTGCTTGATGATGTCGTTGAAAACAATGCATGCTTGGTTATGTCATTTAAAACTATGATGCTTGGATATGTCATTTATTATACTAAAACTTAGAGAATACAGCTAAGTATTTGTCTTTTATAATCTTTGTTATAAACTTATCAATAAAAGTAGTGGCTCTTTGCTAATTGATATGGTCTCATCTATTCTTTTCAATTAAAGAGGAGACCGTCTCTTACAGAACTTGTTTCCTATAAAATTTCATCTTCAGTTATTTGTTCATCAATATTTTTTTATATACCACTATGATTACGTCTTGCCTGCATAATAGTCGTTATACTATATGTTTACAAATTGTCAAACAAACAAAAGTTGCAATACAACTTTCAAACAAAAAAACGTCGCAATAAATAAGTGTCACAGTAATTTAACTTCACAAAATTGATTGTCAGCCGCACGGACTACGTAACATATTACCATTTTATTCAACTCTAAAGATTATCCACAGCCATTAATATTTTCTGAAGATCAAGCGTTACGGAACTAATCTCTCACGCAGTAACCGCTTTGCATCACAAGTTAAATTTACTCAGACAAAATAAACTTTATCGCGCGAACAAACATTTTAATTTGATTAACTAAAGTTTTAAAGGCTCTCACTTTTCACAAAAATAAAGATTGTGATTTTTTTTTTATCATCTTGTTACTTTTATAATATCCAACATCCGATCAATCGAATGCAAATCGAGAATGTCAAAGCTACAAAAGTTTAAACCGATACCGAACCAAATTAATTTTGGCTTAACTTGGTTTAAGAAAACCGAGTGTGGTAAAAAAAACGCAAAATTCACTCAGCCCCAAAAACTCCATTTAACTTTCCATATTCCTAATTTTTCAGTTAGGCTAGTTCTTGTTTATATACAAAAAGATAGCTTTTCTTTTTGGTTCTTCTTCCTATTATGCCTTCGATTTTCGCTTCCCGGTTCTTGAACGTTTACGGGACGTTCCAGAACCTTCCAGGTTCCATTTGAGGTCTCCATTAGTAGCAAGCAGAGATTGTTGACAATTGAAAGTCCTGAGATTGGTCACAGTCGCATACACAATTGCTTCACTTCTCGGTTCAAAAACCACTCTTCTCTCAACCACACCGTTTTGTCCGCAACTGGATTCTTCAACCGCTTGCTCTCTCAGGCTTTGTAGCACCGCCTCCTTGTCAATCATCTCTCCATGCTCTTCTGTTGAAACCTACATAAGGTTTATCAAGAATGCTGTCAGAAAAATGCTCATAGGTCAAGATACCAAAGAGCTTTGATCGATAGTGCTAGTCTTTAAACTAACCTCAAATTCAAAAGGAATGTTAAGTTTTGTGGGGAGAGAGTCACAACCGTCACTGTAGTTGACTGTCAAGAATATGTCAAATGTTTCTGTTCGTGTTGTTCTCCTGTATGAAAGATAAGAAAGAGGATATATTATAATGAAGAATGAGAAATAAGACAAGAACTTGACTCTTGAGAAAGATGTTTGTGTTACCTTTTCACCAAAAATGGCTGCTTATCGAGAACTGTGTCTTTGTACTTATGGTCATCTGAGAAAGAAATCTGCTTCACAAATGAAAAAAAGATCAGAAACGTTACGTCCACATAATCTGACTTTGATATTTGGTTTTAGGAGATATAATAGTCGATTTTCTAGATATTACCTCGACTGATTCGACGAAAGGTAACTGAGAAGTCAGCCCATGAACACTTGCAACACGCAGAGTCCAGTTAATGTACCTCTGATCTGTGACAGAAATGAAAAACTTGTGAGTGGAAACTATGAAGCGAATTACAGTAAGATTCAGGAGCATTTTTCATAGATACTTACCTCTGCTTAAGGATTGAGTTAGTATTATCTGGAAAAGATCTATTCTGACATATGGAGGAATCTTCATGTTGAGAGATTCCATGACCCCTGCAACCACCTGCACATCAGAAGAACAATAAAGGAAACAAAAAATCTATAAGACATCACTTAGGTTTTGGCCACATTTTTAGAAACTATATACATATAGAAAGGTGAAATATTACCTTATCAACAAAACCGTGAATCACTACGTTTGCTTTCTTGTCCTTTGGGGTTTTCTGCAACAACAAATATAATCAGTCCACAAATTCAGATGAAAAACTACACAGTCCAGAGAACTCATTCTTTCATATACACACTGTCTAATGAAGATATGAATGCTTATAGTAAACACTGTCCAGAGACCCCATAAGATACGTACAATCATTTGGCAGATGAACAAAAGTTGTGATTTACCTGAAGATTGACGATCACGATCTTGCCTCCACCCCTGAGACATTTGAGAGGCAAGTTGCAAGCAGGGGTTATCTGCAGACTGCAAAAAGGAGATAGGCTCATGAAACAAGCAAAACTCAAGCTAATCCAGATTAGCTAGTTTTGTTACTTGGCTATATGACCAAGAGTGTTAAGAGATTTTAAACATGAGAGTTCTTATGAGACATTAGTTACCTGGTACCCAAACAGAGTACAAGATCAGCCATTTTGCAGTGTTTCTCTGCAGGATCAATCTCTTTTGGAGGCAAAGCATCCTTTCATGGAAAGAGAGAAGCATAAATGACACAGAGAGATTCATCTTAACCTATTTAAAAGTCTTCAAACACGTAGTATGAAAAGGTAAAACAGATTAATTATATGATTCAACGGCATCAGAACTGATTCCGATTCCGCTGTTGAGGACCATCGCCAAAGGACAAAGCGTTTGTATAAGGACATCAAATAAAATTCACCTCCCAATCTAAGACCGTATCTTTAAGCTTAGCTCCACATTTTCCATTAGAGCACTTTCTTGATGTCTCTTTTAATCCAATAGTTTCCACCTCGAAATCACGCAAGTACCTTCAATAGTTCACAAAAGCTGTTACCATATATTGACCAATGACCATAGGGATTAGATCATGACAGCACTAATCAATAAGACATTCTTACTCAGCTCCACATGATGGGCACATCTCCATAAAAGAGTCTCCATGTAGTTCAGAAAGCTTCTCTCTTGGTATTCCAGATCGAAGATGTAAGCCATCCACATTCTGATAATATATATATAAAGCAGCATGTAGAGTGAATAAGCATGGTCTGAAAAACTAATGTATAAGAGAAGAGGAAGAACAAGAACAACAAACGACAAGGCTTACCTGACTGATGACAAATTTTAAAATGCCAGCTCTTTCCAATTCAACCAAAGCCATGTGGGTCATGCTCGGCATTGCACGATGAAAAGGCAGAGATGCTTTTGGTAAGTCTTTGCCCTCACGCTGAAACCAATAAACATGGATCATAAGTGTTAAGTTACTGAAGATGATGCCTCGAAAAAGAAAGGAATATAGCCAAAGAATCCAATGAAACTAAGTCCATTGAAGCAATGATGATGATAACAAGCCAACGTACACCAATCAGTGACAAAACTCAAAACCAAACCACTCGAGACAGATAGTCAAAGAAGACAGAAATGACCTGTAACGTCCAGATTCCTTTGGGGCCTCGGAAATCAGGTATACCACAAGAAGTTGAAATGCCGGCGCCTGTAAAGACCACTAGATGCTTACTCTGCAAACATAAACCAGCTTCTTGAAGTCACAACAGGAATCAAGAAATAAAAAATGCAAAAAAGCATCAATAAGAATATGAAAAGAGTCGACAGATCCAAAACCTTTTGAATCATCTTAGCAAGTTCTTCGATCTGCATTTTACAAAACAAAATAAGACAAACACCAAAGTTAGCAACAGACTATAAAAACACCAACTTTAAAGCAAGATCTAGCAACCAGATCCTACCAAACAATGATGAACAAGAAGAGGTACTTTCCAATACAAAAACAGTCAAAATCTCCATTCAAATCTAGTTTCAGACAACATATTTGGCATAACCAGTAAACAAAAATTAACCACATTTTAACCTAGGTCATCTTAAATTTGCTTGTTATTACCCAATTCCATTTTTCAATTAACACAAAGCAAGCCAAAAAAAAAAAAAAAAAAAGGTCCTGTAAAACCTAAAATATAGAGTATGACTCAAAAGAACTCGTTATCCAACTCTTCAATAACCCTCACGGCTCTCTAAAACACGAAGAGAAAGCGTAAAGGCGTAATATCAGACAATAGGACAGAACACATGAAGGATCAGCTGTTCCGAAACCAAAATCTAAGCAGCTATGCGATAAATCCAGAAAACAACAACCACTAAACGTGAAATTACATAGAATTTAGAGAAAGAAAAAAAAGTCGATTAAACCCACGAAAACCCAGGAGGAGAAGGAAATAAAAAATAGAAACCGCAGAGAGAGAGACCTTGCATTGTAGAACATGAGACGGGTCGAAGAACTCGGTCATGCCCACTTGACCAACATCTTCGATGAAGGATAGTTTCTCTGCGTAACCTAAAGACATTTGATTTCTAGAAAGATTTTCTCTTTTTGCGACAAGAACAAGTTCCCTGCCTCTCGATGTATAAATAAAAAAGCAGAGGGATCTCTTAAAGAGTTGGACAGTGAGTTTAAGAAGAATAAATATTTCGTTTTAATAAAAGAAAAAAAATGTTATTGAATATATGGAATTTTTGGACAATTCTCATTTATCTAATTCCTGGATTTTACTAAACTTTTTTTTCTTTTCTTTTTATGGTCGGATACGTTTCTATTTAACCTTTCATAAACTTAAATTGTATTTTCCTTTCTAAAATTCAAGGATAAAAAATCAGCTTATTTTATGGTATTTTATAATTCTTCTCAAATTTAATTTCAATGGCTAAACACAAGATTTGATCTAAGATATTTTTTTATAAAAAAAAAAATAGATAATACAGTACATTAATTGATTGCAGCCATGGTAATTAAGTGGATGTTATCATTGCAATTTTTTTCACTTCACCAATCTTTTATCTGCTTTGATAAACAATTTTTTAACTACTAATCATTAAATTCTAAATCCTCAGTTCATACTCTTAATCCATAACTAGACTTTAATTATACTGATAGCTAGTTTATAGTCCTGAATCATCCTTCCATTTAGTAGAAAACCTTGATTTTGGATCCGGTATCATTGTATAACAACACTCGTTTAACCGGTTGAGCTGACCTTATGCTTATTTGTCCTTCATTATTTTACTTCACTCTCTGCCATTGAAAATTGAACAATAATTTGTAAAACACTAAAGCATTATGGGTTTTGTCTAGACTAGATTGATCAATGTTGACACAATGACGCTATGATGCATGCTGCTAATTCTAGAGTTTATAATAGGTAAGCTAAAGTTTGGACCGAGCCGGTTTCAAATTCACCGGTCAACACCAGTTTCGTTTTAGTCTGCTACACATGTTACAAGTCGCCTTAGTTTAGAATCTGATCACAATAAATTCGTTACAAGATATATGCAATGCATATTTGTATGTAAGACTATTTTATCCCTAGTTGTTAAAAATGTCAAACTAGGTTGATGATAGCTAGATTGATGATCCAGTTTAACCCATTTCATTGGTGTGCATTTTTCAACACATTCAGTAAATGAGATGATGGGAAGGAGTAAACTTTTTTGCCATTTGATGCATGTCATGAATTGTGATGATGTGAAACTCAGGACATACTGTATGTATATTGACTTTCGATTATTGCATTGTTTGTCAAATGCACGTTAAATACTGCGTTCCTTACCTTACTTTTGAATTTTTAATGATTTTTAAAGAAATAAAAATAGAGCAAGAAAAGTAAATGTACCCAACTACATATTGATAATTTACAAAAGATCTCACTCAACTCATAAAATGGAATCCAAAACGTTTCCAGGAGATAGTCATATACTCTACACCAACATCTTTAAACACTTTAAAATAGCTTAAAAATCTAAAAATTTATAACAGCAAACAAATTTCTTGATAAATATTTCATGAAAGAATTGAATCAAAAGGATTGTGGGGAAGATGATACTGAACTATTCAATTGAAAATGAATCACAACTGCCCATCTGCCCCAACTGATTATGTAGCAAACAATTGCTCCTAAACCTAAACCTAAACCTAAACCATTTGTGAGTCTATTCTGATTTGAGGGTATATATAATTTTACATGAGTGATTTGGAGTTCGTTTTTAATAAAATAATTTAATCATAGTTGTATAAAAAAAAATGCCTTTTTAATTTGCCTCAATTTTGATCAAAGTCCTCTACTCCGGTTAAGTCCTCAATCTACTCGATAATCAATATAATCCATATACTATTCCATAGATCACTAACCTATTCATAAATTGTCAAACCCAAGTTTGTGTACAAAGGGGGAAAAAACAATAAGAGCTTAATCAATTACTTCAACGTAAAGTTAGGTTTTCTTTACTAAATACTAGAACAATCAATAGTTCTTCATCTTTTCCATAACAAAAGATTATAACTTTTCATACTCATCTTCAAAATGTTAACGTTACTCATATAACACATCTTCCTTTAGATGAGTTTGGTACAGCTATATAAATTGCAGTCTCATAAAAATCCGTTTAGTTTGTCATTACATGACAACATCTTGTCTACATCCGTTAAAAGACGCAAACGTTTTCTTCAGAAATTATCCAACACTTACGACATGTGTTATGCCATGCGGCAGATAATACGAAACACAGGAAAAAAAAAATCATCTCTTTTTATTATAAGGTCTCAATCATCTATTCTCATCTAGCGAGCCAAAGACCAAACTCATCTTCTCTTAATTAGTCATCATGTTGTCTCTTCAAGCTTTTCTCTGTATTCCTCTTATTACCTTTTATTTCTCACTTCTCCACTTTGTCCATCTAAACTCAGCTAATTCGGATTCGAACTCTGGTCTCTGCACTCCTTACCCATGCAACCAACCGCCTCAACCGCCTTCCTCTACGGGGTACTCTCCATACGGTAATCCTCCTCCACCGCCTTCACTGTCATCACCTTCACAGTCATCACCGCCTCCACCGCCTTCACTTTCATCACCTGCAGAGTCATCACCGCCTCCACCGCCGCGTTCACAGTCACACTGTCCTCCTATTCCGCCGACAGGCTGTTGCAACCAACCGCCACCTTCTACGTATTATTCTCCTCCGTATCCTTACTTTTATACTCCTCCTTATCCTTACGGTACTCTCGGCGGAGGAGGAAGCGGTGGCAGCCAAGGACAAGGAGGAGGAGGAGCTGGAGGTGGCGTAACTGGAGCAGCGGTGGCTTACTATTCTTCTTCTTCCGTGCCGGTTTATATTTTCATGCTTTTGTTATCTTGTGCCTTTGTGGTCTTCTAGGGCATGCTTAGGTTTTTTAGATAAATATTATAGCTCCATCAAAAGCCACCTTCTGTTATTATCTCAAATTTTTGTTTGTGTAGTTTCAAAGTATAAATTAGAATAAAACATGAGAAACATTAAATATATTCTCCAATCTTTTGCTGTTGAAAAGAATTTTTTCAGGGTACCCAATTCGGTTTAGTTGGTTTTACTTCTACTACATAGATCCAAGAATCTTAAAAGCCAACCAAAAACTTAACCGATATCAAATCGGGAACCGGTTGGGACATAAAGAATCAAAACTCACCCAATTTTGATTGTATGGTAAGAGTAATCAACGGTGGTGATCCTTTACGGAAAAAAATCGAGAGAGAGAGAGAGAATAATAATAAATAATTACTTACGTGGACTCCGAAGCTAGAAGAGAAAGTCGAGAAAAAAAGAATCATCATCACTCTACTCTGTTATCTTCAGTCTTTGAGACGTTACCAGAGGCATGAATGGCTTCTCTTCCTTTCAACACCATCCCGATCAAACTTCCATATTCAGTATCAACAAACCTATCTAATCATCACGATGATCAAGCTCGTAATCGTTCCTCCACATCTTACTTTCATCGCGTTTCGTCTCTATGTAAGAGCGGTGAGATCAGAGAAGCTCTGAGCTTGGTCACGGAGATGGATTTCAGAAAGATACGGATTGGTCCCGAGATATACGGTGAAATCCTCCAAGGGTGCGTTTACGAGAGAAATTTGTGCACGGGGAAGCAAATTCACGCTCGGATTCTGAAGAAGGGTGATTTCTACGCCAGGAACGAGTACATCGAGACCAAATTGGTGATATTCTACGCGAAATGCGATGCTCTAGAGATCGCTGAACTTCTTTTCTCGAAATTGAGGGTACGGAATGTTTTCTCTTGGGCAGCGATTATCGGTGTGAAATGCAGGATTGGGCTCGTTGAAGGAGCCTTGATGGGTTTTGTTGAGATGCTTGAAAACGGGATTTTCCCAGACAATTTCGTCGTTCCGAATGTTTGTAAAGCGTGTGGTGCGTTGCAGTGGAGTCGATTTGGGAGAGGTGTTCATGGGTATGTGGTGAAAGCTGGTTTTCATGATTGTGTGTTCGTGGCTAGTAGTTTGGCTGATATGTACGGGAAGTGTGGTGTTTTGGATGAAGCGAGGAAGGTGTTCGATGAAATTCCTGAGAGAAATGTGGTTGCTTGGAATGCGTTGATGGTGGGTTACGTGCAAAATGGTATGAACGAGGAAGCGATTCGGCTTTTCTCTGATATGAGGAAGGAAGGTGTTGAGCCAACCCGTGTCACTGTCTCGACCTGCTTATCTGCTTCTGCTAATATGGGTGGGATTGAAGAAGGGAAGCAGTCTCACGCCATTGCCGTTGTGAATGGCTTAGAGCTGGATAATATCTTGGGGACATCGATCTTGAACTTCTATTGCAAAGTTGGGTTGATAGAGTGTGCTGAGATGATTTTTGATCGGATGGTTGAAAAAGATGTGGTTACATGGAATCTGCTTATTTCAGGGTATGTTCAACAGGGGCTAGTTGAAGATGCTATCCGCATGTGCCAATCGATGAGATTAGAGAATCTGAAATTTGATTGTGTCACTCTATCGACATTGATGTCGGCAGCTGCACGTACTCAGGACTCAAAGCTAGGGAAAGAGGTGCAGAGTTATTGCATCAGACACAGTCTTGAGTCTGATATCGTTTTAGCAAGTACAGCGGTGGATATGTATGCCAAGTGTGGCAGCATTGTTGATGCTAAGAAAGTGTTTGACTCCACAGTACAAAAAGACTTGATACTGTGGAATACGTTACTTGGAGCCTATGCAGAGTCTGGTCTTAGCGGGGAGGCTTTGAGATTGTTTTACGAGATGCAGCTAGAAAGTGTACCACCAAATGTGATTACATGGAACTTGATCATTCTAAGTCTTCTCAGGAATGGTCAGGTAAATGAAGCCAAGGAGATGTTCCTGCAGATGCAGTCTTCAGGCATAATTCCAAATCTAGTCTCGTGGACTACTATGATGAATGGTTTGGTACAAAATGGGTGCAGTGAAGAGGCCATTCTTTTTCTAAGAAAGATGCAAGAATCTGGTTTGAGACCAAACGTGTTTAGCATCACCGTCGCACTCTCTGCTTGCGCAAATCTAGCATCATTGCATTACGGAAGATCAATACACGGATACATCATAAGAAATCAGCGACATTGCTCCTCAGTTTCGATTGAAACTTCTTTGGTTGACATGTATGCTAAATGTGGAGATATAAACAAAGCAGAGAGGGTGTTCAGAAGTAAGTTATACAGCGAGTTGCCTCTCTACAATGCCATGATCTCGGGGTTTGCAGTATATGGTAACGTGAAAGAAGCAATCGGTTTATACAGAAGCTTGGAAGATATGGGCATTAAACCAGACAGCATAACATTCACAAGCCTCTTATCTGCTTGTAACCACGCCGGGGATATTAATCAAGCTTTCGAGATTTTCACTGATATGGTTTCAAAACATGGCTTGAAACCATGCTTGGAACATTATGGACTAATGGTTGATCTTCTTGCATCAGCCGGAGAAACAGACAAGGCCTTGAGGTTAATGGAGGAAATGCCATACAAGCCAGATGCTCGAATGGTCCAATCTTTGTTCGCGACTTGCAAGAAGCAGCATAAAGATGAGCTTGTGGAGTACTTATCAAGGCAGTTGTTAGAATCAGAACCTGATAACTCCGGGAACTAAGTGACGATAGCGAATGCGAATGCTGTAGAAGGAAGCTGGGATGAAGTTGTGAAGATGAGAGAGATGATGAAAGTTAAAGGCCTGAAGAAAAAGCCTGAGTTTAGTTGGATTCAGATTGAAGGAGAAGAAGAAGAAGCCCATGTGTTTGTTGCCAATGATAAGACACATCTTAGGAACAATGAGATACGAAGGATCTTAGCACTGTTACTATATGATATGTGTTCCGATTCAGAATGATATTCTGTGTATGAAAAATACAATAAATTTGAATAATTCACAATCACAACTGATTCTCAAGTCATTTCTAAGCTTTGTGTCAACCATCGTATCGCACAAGTGACAAGGGACAACAAACCGTTGCGTCAGATTTTCAGGTAACTTATTTACTCAGTTATTCAGCTACTATTACACGGACCGACCGATTGTCGGTGGAGAATCTGAAAACAGATCTCAACCATCCACGTGGCATGTATATAAATCAATACCTTTGGGTCCACCAGTTCCACGCCTCGTTAATTCCACAAGTACCCCTGAACCTATGGGATTAAAGCTTCTAAAATTGCCTTCATCTCCGGTTTTCCCTGACCGTATCGACCACGCTTTCAACTTTTGCTTTGTCACCGACACTGATCAGATGATGTGGATGCAACGACTTAGATTCCGTTTAATCAAACACTGTAAGGAACAAATAAACTGTTTGTTTACGACATCATATGAAAATATTACGACTTGAACTATAATATATTAGGACTCTTATTCATCAATTAATAAAAAATTAAACGAAGAAGAAGATTCTATGCTTGTGAATTGGGCTTAATATTTATTAGTACTGGGGTAATGAGTTTATGATGCCTTAATTTATGAAGAAGAGATACTCTTCCCACGTGACATGTTTTTTTCTTCTTTTTTTTTGTTGCTGGCGTGACAATTTTTAATAAGATTAGAAATATAATGTGTATGTTTTTTTAGCCTGAAAAAGGTATTTCTATTTTCAGCTACACATACAAATACAAGTAACATCTTAATCACATGATGCTTGTGAGTTTTTGATCCACTAGAAATATCTCAACAAAGGAGAGCATTGAATTTCTTAAAGCTTGTAGTAATTTGCGAATGCTCAAACATTTATAGATGTGGCGTGGTCTAGTACTTTAGTCTTTAGACTTTAGTCCTGATGATTAATTTACAGAAAATATACCACAATCATACAAACTGACTTTTTTTGCTGTGCATTATTTTGTGTCACTTGTCCAAACTAATATTAATGGTCTTGATTGTAAATGTTATAATGTAGAAACCAGAAAATATTTATATACATAACATATGAAGACGCATTCCTACTTCCTACATTAAAAAATCAATAATTTTTAAGAGAGTAGGTGTGGTGGAACTGAAAGCACAGCGTGTGACATGGTTGCAAGCCTGAAAGCTTAACTTCGCAATAAATATCAAACTAATGTCACAATAAATATTATATAAATACTCAATGGTAGAATCGTAATTTCAGTCACAATCCAGGTCCATTTAAGTAAACACCATCTTCGTTTTCCCCTTTAGTTTTTAAGCTCAGAGCTCACTCTCTGAAGAATCCCCCAAACTCTCCTCCACTCACCACATTCTCTCTCTCTCCACAGTATCAACAATGGCGAGGAAGATGAGAGAAGTAATCATCTCCTACATTCTCCCTATCCTACTCCTCCTCGCCGTCGAATCCCACGCGCACAACGTCACGCGCCTCCTAGCAGACCACCCTTCTTTCTCCTCCTTCAGCCATTTCCTAACCCAAACTCACCTCGCCGACGAGATCAACCGGAGAACAACCATAACCGTCTGCGCCGTCGATAACGCCGTCATGTCCGCATTAACCTCCAAAGGCTACACAATCTCCACTCTCAAAAACATCCTCTCCCTCCACATCCTCCTCGATTACTTCGGCACCAAAAAACTCCACCAGATCCGAGACGGCTCCGCACTCGCCGCCACGCTCTTCCAAGCCACCGGAGCAGCTCCCGGAACCACCGGATTCGTCAATATAACGGATCTGAGAGGCGGCAAAGTCGGATTCGGCCCCGACGGCGGAGATCTATCTTCCTTCTTCGTCAAATCGATCGAAGAAGTTCCGTACAACATCTCAATTATCCAGATCAGCAAAATCTTACCGTCGGATACTGCGTCGGCTCCGACGCCAGCTCCGGCGGAGATGAACATCACCGGAATAATGTCGGCTCATGGCTGTAAAGTTTTCGCCGAGACTCTTCTCACTAACCCCGGAGCTTCCAAAACCTATCAGGTACTTTACTAAAACCCTGATTAGTACTATTTGATTACAACGTAATAAGAAAAAAAGATAATCTCAATAATTAGTTTTTTGAAAAAGGGTTTAATCTCAATAATTAGTTATTTTCGGTTTTTTCAATTAGGAAATTATTAACCAATTAGTAGATGCATGTCGCTGTATAAATGTGGGAATTAATTAGACAAAAAGACGCAGGTGCTTTACACTACTAAAACCTGATTTTACAATAATTGGTTGATTAATTTGTCCATTTTCAAACTAGAAATAAATAATCAAGAAATAGATGCATGCGGCTGTATAAATTAGATCAAACAATAATTAAGAGTATTAATTTTCCGTTGTTGAAATTAATTAATCAGAAAAGATGCATGTGGTTGTTTTGTTGGCTTGTATCCAATAGCGATTCGTTTTGAATCAAAAAAAGTCAAAAAGGTGTTGACAAGTGTTAGGTAACTGATGAGCAAATACATATAGTCAAACATATAGACTTGATTACCTCAATTATCGGAACATTATTAACTATTTTTCCAATTCAAACTCTACATACCAATCCAAATTCTTAAAATTCAATTTAAAAAACGGCTAGCTTTTCGATTATAAATAGTAGCAATAATTTTTCCCACTAACTCTCTTGCCACTATTATAGCTGAGTAGATAAAAGATTTCAATTGTAGTTGACAAATTAGTTCTCGAGAGATTCAAATGGGATTGTGTTTTGGTTATAACAGGAGAGTGTAGAAGGAGGTATGACAGTGTTCTGTCCAGGAGATGACGCCATGAAAGGATTCTTGCCCAAATACAAGAACTTGACAGCTCCAAAGAAAGAAGCTTTCCTCGACTTCCTCGCCGTCCCGACGTATTACTCAATGGCGATGCTCAAATCCAACAACGGTCCGATGAACACACTCGCTACCGATGGAGCCAACAAGTTCGAGCTCACTGTACAGAACGATGGAGAGAAAGTTACGCTCAAGACAAGGATCAACACTGTCCAGATCGTTGATACTCTAATAGACGAGCAGCCATTGGCTATTTATGCGACGGATAAGGTTTTACTGCCTAGAGAGCTGTTTAAGGCTTCGGCTGTTGAAGCTCCGGCTCCCGCTCCGGCACCGGAAGACGGCGATGCTGCGGATTCTCCAAAACCAGCTAAAGGGAAAGCGAAAGGGAAGAAGAAGAAGGCTGCACCGTCGCCAGATTCTTCTGATGAGTCGGATTCGCCTGCGGAAGGACCTGATGGAGAGGCGGACGATGCGACTGCTGATGAAGCCGGTGCGGTTAGGATCATCGGAGGAGCTAAGGCTGGTTTGGTGGTGAGCTTGCTCTGCTTGTTCGCTTCATCGCTTCTATAGTTTCACTTCTTGTTTCTTCTCTGTCTTTGTTTTTGTTCGTTTTTTTTTTGAATCTTATTTATGGCTTCGAGGGAAAGTAAATGAGGTTGATTTAATTTTCCCTATTAATGAGGTTTTATTTTCTTGTTGAGTTAATTAGTCGGTGGTTTATTTCATCTTTGTTTGTTCCTGTGCACATGTGTATTTAGTTGATGATGTAATGAATGGTGTTGCGAACAAATTGAGCATCTCTGATTTTAAAGAGTTCTTAAGAAATTCTCAAGATTAAAAAGTTAAAAAACAAATGATCAATGTGTAAAATTGTTAAAAAATGGTTTTTAATTAAAAATTTTAAGAATTGTTAAGAACCGAACAGGTGTCACTCTGTATTTTGTATTTTTTTAATTGTTATATATTTTGAGGTGAATTTATTAAAATTATTTTGGAGGTTGAGGTTGGAAAGATATATATGTGCACTGTTTCTATAAATTGAAGTAAAGTTGATGATTACTTGAATAGTAATATAAGTAACTGAATAGTGTGAATAGTAATTTTATTAAACAAAATGTTACAAAGAAACAAAAAAAGTCATACCAACTGTTGGTGTTGGTAGATTTTTCGAATTTTTAATTTTGAAGACTTAAAAAAAAAAGAATGTTAAAATAATTCAGAAATGTTTCAGTTTATTGGGAATAAAAACAGAGCGTAGTGACGAAATTGGATCTTGAATTTTGAACACTTTTCTGTAATAACACAGATATAAAGTCAAACAAGAGACTTTACTCTTTATGAGATTTTCATATCTTGAAATGGGACAGATGCGATTCGTCATTGATGTCTAGTTTCAAGTATCCGGCTGAATACTCAGGTATGGTGAAGTCTCTGTATTTTGCAGGGTTCTCTTGAGACAAAATCTCTTTCATCGGTCCGTAAACTGTGGGATTTGGATGCATACTCGTGCTGAAAAAGCTCGCGACTGAAATCCTCGGTCCAGCTTTGTTTGCAAGCACCCTATGCTGCACGCTTATGAACTTGTCGTTCGTTACCAGCTGCGGAAACACCCAAGAAGAAGAAGAAAAAAAGTCATTCAAAGTTATCTCAAAAGTCTCACTAAAAGCTATGCTGTACGTTTAGTGTTTTATATATATGTTGAGCTTTGCCTGCAAGTAATCTCCAATGTTGATGACGAGTGCCCCAGGAGTAGGCGAGACATCAACCCAACAGTCCTCATGAAGAACTTGAAGACCACCAATCTGGTCCTGAAGAAGAAGAGTGACGAAGGAGTTGTCGGAATGCTTACTTGCTCCCAACGTTAGGTCGGGTTGTGGACAGGGAGGGTAGTAATGGCTGAGCATAAGCACACCCTTCATGACACCCTTGCTCTTAAGGGTTTCAGGGCTCAAACCAAGTGCTTCTGAGAAAAGTTCAAAGAGTAAACCTCCTAAGCTCATCACATGCTTCGAGTATTCAAGCACACTTTCCCTGTAAATCATTTTATACAAATGATGTTAAAATCAGAATGAGTCTTTCAACCAGTGAACCACAATGAATTGTTTGTTTAAACGTTCAATGTTTCATAATATTTGTTCATGGAAAAACGAAGTTACCTGCAGGCTTCAGGGATCTCTTCAGGCTTTGGAGGATTTGGGTCCATGTAAATACCAAAGGTGTCTCTCCAGTTGATAGTCGATGTACTATACAGATTGAAATTGCTGTGGTAGACAAATTTCTTGCTGTAGTCGCGGGAGAAGTAAGCTTTCTTGACCTCGATATCTTCCTCATGAAACTTACGACCTCCGTCTTTGATCTCGTCAAGAACGCTTAAAGGAACACCATGATTGATCACCTGGAAGAATCCCCAATTCTCCGCAGCGTCTTTGACCTTCTTAACGACGGCTTCACGCGACGCAGCGTCCCCGTGAACGCCTGTAAAGTCGATGACGGGTATTGCGAAATCCGAGGAAGAAACAGGAGCTTTCTTGTCGTTCAAGGTACCCAACGGATCGTGGAAGATACGAGGAATTTCAGTGATTTGAGCATCGACGAGGCCTTTCACGCCTGCCTTTGTCTCATCGAAAGCCTTTCGCTCACTGTAAGAGTCAAATTCTGTAGCCATTAATTATCTTCTAAGCTTTTTGAAGGTTTTTTGTTTTGTTAGACAACTTTTTTCAAGATGCAAGATACAAAATGCTTCATAGAAGAAACAGATATAAATAGGCAAAGCGAGAACTTACCCATTTGTGGAGTAAATTCGTTTTTTTGGACTCTTGGCATGACTGCAACTTGTCTGAAACCGGTAACCGATCCCAAAATAAATTTTCAGAGGAGCTAAAAATATAAATTATAGAATACAATTAAAAACATTAACATAAATACGATTCTCATATTTACATCTGTTTTTTTTTCTCATAATCTTCTTCTTTTTCTTGTCAGCGATGACCTTTGATTTTTTTTTTTAATCTACAAATGAACTAAAAATCAAAATATATAATTAAAATTAATCAAAGATTATCTCTAAAAGCAACAAAACAATACAATTTTTTTTTCTAAAGTGAAATTATTACTGTCTTGATATTTTGCATAGTAGAAACCTGCCAATTAAATGACTAAAAATGGCCAAACATATATGGAAAAAGAGAGTTTTTAAATGAAAAAACATGTTTCACTTTGAAAGGTTTTTAAATAAAAAGGAAAAATAGGTCTTATGAGCTTCCGTATAAACATGTTTTTAAGCATGGTTAATTTGAAAATTTATTTTCCTTATATTCTGGGGTAATAATTGCATGCAAATATTGGTGTGGACATCATGTAGAGACAGACCTTGGTGTCACAAGATGCATGGACTATGGGATTCTTTGAAGACGTGTATAACTAAGAAACATATTTTTGACATATGGTCGAGGAAACCGAACCGGACAGGAAACAAGTAAGATCTAAAGTAATCTAATCAACCTTTAATACCCTATTAATCTTGTATAGTTATCCTTTTAGAGGTTGCAAACATTGAATAGTTGATGATGATATTCGTGTCAATGGTGGCTAAAGAAGGTGAATATACGTTGATGAAGGAACATAATATTGCAGACAAGATAGCATCTCTAATTTCTATGGTGATTAGCATAGCCATTTCAAGTTTTTTAAGGTTTAAAGAAAGCAAAAAGAATGGGTTTTAAAATCAAACTAAGCTAGATCGAAGTGCTCACCAAACAAAATCAAAATCACAACGATCGAAGTGCTCACCAAACAAAATTACAAATATATATATTAGTAGACGTGAATCCCAAGTAACTCAACGAAGGCGTCTCCAAATCATTTTCTTCCACTTTCCTCCTTTTGGTCCTTAATCTCTTGTCCTTCCAAATCCAACCATTATTGCTTTCGAATTTTCCTCTCTCCTTTACTTCCAAATCCAACCCAACTTTCACTGACTTTTAATTGAAACTTTTTGGAATGAAACTATGCAATTGTTTTGTTTGGGTCTATGATCATCACATTCGATACAAATCCTAAAGGCTATAACAACAATAACAAGAAGAGAGCAAAAAAAGGAGGAGAATACAAGATTTGGTCACGAGTCACGACGTGATGTATGTGTTCTAACAAGGTTGGTCAATTTGGCAACTAAGAACACCTACTGATGGATGCGTGGTCTTAAGAAGTGAAGCTGGTCGAGCCACCATACTCGACGTCTTTGCATAGCTCGGAGAATCCTCGTTCCCTGATGGTACAAAGAAAGCTCCGTTAAGCATTTCATCTCCTTCTGATTTCCAATTCCACTCCTTCCATTCATCGCCTCCATCTACACTCTCTCGCTTTGTAACCTGCGTTTACATCGCATGCATGTGGGTTTTAGAATTAGGTAATCATAAAGTAAATTTGTAGTTATATTTATTGTTAGCTTGAAAACGCTCTAGTTTTGTTTGACCATGCACGTCACGAACATACCTCCTTTGTGAACTGATTATCCGAAGCTATGAAAACATTTCCTTGACTAAAGATGGTTGGATTAGCACTTCCACCAATAGCATACATCTCCCACTCTCTATAAATGTTATTCACTATGTGAAAATATCCATGCCTGCACCTATACGCACACATTAAAAATTAGTATATAGTATAAATAACTAAACACAAAAACATTGATTATATATTGTTTTTTACCTCGGCATTCTTTGGACAAGTCCTTGACCAAAATAGTTAAACGCGATCGTAACCCTCATATCACGATCACCGGAAAACTCATCACTATGACCCAAAAGCATGACTTCGTTATGATTCAACATGTAATTGTTCGAGATCGTTATATCCGTCGACCCACTAACCGCATCGATAAGCCCATCGTAACACTTCTCTAACGTGCAATGATCAATCCAAATATCTCGTGACTCGAAGATCGAGATCCCATCTCCATCCGAATAACCTCCTCCCAACGACCGTTTCGCCGGAACACAATGGTGAATATAAATATTGTTTATGATTACGTTACTCACCTTGTATAAAGTTAAACACGGACCATAAGCTATTTGCACGTTGTTTCCTCTTCCGTCTATGGTTTTGTACGACGAGACTTGAATATCTTCTTTTAGTTGTATCACCATGTCGCGATCGAATATGATCCATAGAGGTTGATCTTGTGTTGCGGCGTACCGTAGTGTACCTGGAGATGGGTTTAGAGGATCATCGTCTCCTGAATCGGTTACGGTGTAGTACTCTCCGGCTCTACCGCCGACTGAGTCGCGTCCGAATCCAACCGCACAATCCGCGAGGTTTTTGCGGTTGGACTTCCAGTTTTCGTCGCATCTCCAGCAATCGTCGATTGGATTTCCAGTTGCTGAGCAAGATGCTGTTGAATTTGATGTCTCTGATGTTGATAGCTGCCTTGCGATTGGCGGTTTGGCAAACGCAGACGAAATCGTAGAAGAAGCGTTTAAGAGAAACAAGAAAATCGTACATACAATTGACATTATTTTTTTGTCTAATCAAAAAGGTTAAATACAACTAGATAATTTACTATGAACAAATGCTACATTTATTCAATATATATATGCAAGAGCCATTAAAAATAAATACGGAGGTAATTAAATTAGGTGAAAATTGAAAGAATTGGGTCCGACACCACCACAAGACATTACGCCGTTTTATACTGGTGTGGTTTGATATTTTAGATATAAAAAAAAAAATGTATTACAAAAACAAAACAAAACAAAACAGCAACAGAGGCTATTTAATTATTAGATTTTCACTTCAGAGAACTACTTGCCGTTTTGAATGGTGTTTAACACGTCGTGTATTTTAGTCTCCGTATCCTTAAACAGCAACATATCATCTTTTTCATCGAGTATTTGGTTCTTCTATTAAAGGATTGCGTGACGTTAGAAGGATAAGAAGACGACACAATGTTTTTATTCAGCACTCTCAAACAGCGTGGAGTTTAGTTTATTATCCTCTCATCATGTGCATCATTGAGCAGAGCTCTCTTTCGTTTTGTGTGAAGTGAAAACAGACACAGAGCAATGGCAATATCACATCTTCTTTCTCCATTGCCATCTCTCACCTTCTTCCAAACCAGAACCCTAACCGGACGTTCTTCTTCTCTCCCTCTAAACCCTAATCTCCAGTTCCCAAGACCTAGACTTTCCAGAGAAAGAGCCGCCACACTCGTCCTCCGATCCAAGGGCGACGACTCCGTCGACGCATCCGATCGGATAATCTCAGCCGTCTGTTACTTCTACCCATTCTTCGACGGGATTCAGTACGGTAAATTCATCATCACGCAATACCAGCCTTTCCAGATTCTCATCCAACCTTTGTTTCCCGCCATCAAGGCCTTCAAGAGCTTCCCTTTCAATGGCTTCCTCATCTTCCTCACTCTCTACTTCGTCGTCGTGAGGAACCCTAATTTCAGCAGGTACGTTAGGTTCAACACGATGCAGGCGATCGTGCTCGACGTGTTGTTGATTTTCCCGGATTTGCTTGAGAGAAGCTTCAATCCCAGAGATGGGTTTGGTTTAGATGTGGTGATGAGTTTGGACAGCACAGTGTTCCTCTTCTTGCTTGTCTCTTTGATCTATGGATTCTCTGCTTGCTTGTTTGGTCAGATCCCAAGGTTGCCCATTGTAGCTGATGCTGCTGATAGGCAAGTCCTTTGATGTGTCATCTGTTTAAACATATTGCAAGAACAATAATAGTATGTACACATGTCCTGTAATTGGATTTTCTCTGTATTGGATCTGTTTCTGATAGGTTTTTGATCCATTCAAAGGTTTCTTTTGCACACTTACTCTCTTCCATGTATCTAGAACTCAAAAGAACAAATGAAGAAGAGAAAGAGAGAGAGAGAGAGAGAGAGAGAGAGAGAGAGAGAGAGAGAGATATCATATAACAATCTTGATTTGATTATTTATCCTCATCACATATCTGGAAAAAGCAATATGGTGAGGAAAGATCAATTCTGTAGCAAAAGAAAAATACAAAGCCAATGGCTGGTGTTTACACTTCTGCACTCATCTGCCTAATGAAAGGGACAAAGTTGTTCCAGTTCTCCACCCTAAAGATCTTCTCATTCATTCTAAAAAATGTAAATGATCTTACAGTCTCCCCATTCGGTTGCACACAGTTCTCTCGTATCTGCCTTAGTCCCATCTGTTGCATAATTCATATATATATACGGTTAATAACCTCAACTTTTGACCACATCGTATAGGATTATAGGATTTGCAAATCTCTCACCTCATCAAATCTTTCGCTTGTGTTTCTACCAGTCACTTGTATTGTCCTCTTCTTCGAAACATCGTGTATCTAGCAGGAAAAAAAAGGGACAAGGTTGATTTGTACATGTTCTTAAGGCATGCTTGATTGTCTCAATGGGAAGAAGCGCATTAAGAACAGGGATACTAGACCAGTTTGTAGTGTAACGACACTGACCGGATTAGAGAAGCAACATACATAAATCTTCATGCGAACATAATTGAATTCTAGATATCGAAAGTTCAGGAAAGAAAGTATACCTGTCTAAGCAATCCTTCTGGGCTGCAAAGATACTTCTCAGGTGTTTCACTGTCCGCCATATCCAAGCAGCTGGAAAAGATATGAAAGATTCATCTCGTTAGTAAAAGTAAGCTCACGCAGCTTCTATGAATTATGTACACAGAAAATAAAACTGCAGAAGAAGGCTCTTACGGAATATGCAGAGCAGCACCATGTCGAGACAAGACAGAAGCGACAGGATCATAACCATCCCTGAGGGCGGTATTGTAATAACCTGCAGTTAGTTCAGCAGGGTGTGAAGATGTCTTATACCACCAATAGATTCCACCGATTTTTGCAACCAACATTACAGAGCTTTTCTTCTCCTCTTCCTGACGTCTCCGTAAAACATCGGCTGCCTTTGCAAGAACAGCATCAGCATGACAAATCAACTTCCCACTGTACCATTCCTACAATTACAAGCAGTTCACTGTGTTATATATAATCCAACCTAATGCGGATAGTGTCGCCAAAGATGATAGATAGGAGAACATACTAGAAAGAAACGACCATAGTCAGAGAGAAAACTATCATGGCCCTCCTCAAAGAAGGGAACCCCAGATGGAAAGCTATTATAGCAGCCAGCATTTGGAGGATCTCTGCTTCCCCATTGAGGTTTGCCTTCTTGGGATGCCACTGCCATCAAGTCTTCCATCCTAAACCAAGCAGTATAGTTCACAATCTGTAAATGTGATTCGCAGGAAAATAAATACTTTGACTTATTAACTACTCACATGTACTTGTCATGGCACTGGAATTCACCGATACCAGGAAATTTCCATCTCCCATCTCCAGAAGGATGTGCAGGATATCTGCAAGAGATTTCGTGTAAGAAACTTCTATTGTAGCTATTCTGACTTTATGATTGGGTAGTCATCACTCGTGAGAAGTACCTAAGCTCCCCTGAAGGACCAAGACCGATACTTATTTCTTCAATCACGTTCCCAAAATATGGTTCAAAGTTTGTAGAGAAACTGAGCATAAAGTCCTCGTAGCATTGGACAGCAGTGCGACCACCGAACAAAGGAAGTTGATCGACTCCCAGTGTCAGATAGTCATTATTGGAGAATCCGTTTTTATCTCGATAGTATATATCCTTATTGACGTCTCCAATCTGGAAAATTGGTAAAAATAAAAGGCTGCTGAGTGATACTGATTACTAGAGCAACAAGCAGGCGTGCAAGTTTTTAGCAAAGACATCATTCCCAAAGACAATATAATCAAGCAAGCATCCAAGATTAGGTAACATAAATCTAGATTCTCCAAGGTTTTGCCAGAATTAAAGAAAAAGATAGCCATCAAATTTTCCCAAATCTTGTAACAAATCTTCCACTGTGGATATTCTAAGGAAGAAGCAATATCCAAATTACCAAAGCCTTGGCTATGTCTACAACATACAAATAACTAAATACCTGTAATTTTAACAATACAAACCTCTCGGATCCAGAGTGGAAGACTGATGCCTCCCTTTCCACCAAACAAGTGCATATTTGAATGAAAACAAAGAGCAACGTGTAGCTTGAGCCCTGCCTCCGAAATAAGTCTGAAGAGCTCTTCATACAGTGACCATTTAAACTCAAGAGGACAAAAACGCTCTACAATCCCCCACCAAACCTCAACTGCGACTCCATGAACACCTGCTAACTTGAGTGCCTTGAGAGAAACAGTTAAAGCCTTGAGCCTGAAACAAGACAGATAGAAGAAACTTCATCACCTGAATGAAATAACAAAGGAACCAAAAGAATAAGTTACACTTTTCCTTGTTCTGAAATGGTGATTATGCCTATATACAATGAAAGTAGCCTAGCTTTCCCCATGTACATTGGAGCATTTCCAGAAAACTTTACCTTTTAATGATTGGGCACCCAGAAGCATCGATTCCAAATGTATCAATCGGCATCATCACATAAACTGGAACTTTCTTGTGCCTTGATGATACCAACACAAATGATCGTGATTTCTCCCGAGCATCCATGCTGTATCCATGTTCATCAACAAAAAAAAAACATTCGATTAGCGAATTCACTCATCTTCAACCCAAATCTCTTGGAAGACATCTAATTTTTCAAAGCCTTACCCAAATTGATTCCACTAAAGAAACGTACCACGAGCTAGCAAAATGTTCTAGAATTCTATTCGCTGCCATTTTTTTGTTTCTTAAGTTTTAACAGCGAGCGATAAAGTAATACCTAAAGATTCGGCTGTTCCCGGCGACGGAACTCCACTTTGTGATTAAGCGGCCGCGTTTGAGAGGAGGGAACATAGAGACGTTTCGGAAGAAGTTTCGATTACTCCTCGTTCTCTGCTCGAGGAAACAAGATTTCAAAGAAAATCCTCCGGGATGGAAGAAATTACCGCCGGAGACTCCGCGACAGCCACAACCAATTCCTCCAATCTCCGCCATTTTCGTCTTCTCCTTCGTCGGAGATATTTCTCTGATGGTGTTTAGATGCGGAGGAAAAGAGACGGAGATGGAGTACTTGAAACGCAAAATTTATTTCCTTTTTCTTTTCTTTTTTAACGACGCAAATCTATCTATTTTGCTTTTCCCTTTTTTCTTTTGTTTTTCAGGTTTTTTATTGAATTTTATAATTCCTCTTTCGTTCTCTTAATTCCTTTTTTTGTTAGCTTTCGTTCTCTAGTATTTTGACTTTCGCTGTATATATTCCTAAGATAAGCATCGTTGATTGGATTAAATATTAATTATATTTCATGATGTGTAACTACAAACAAGTATAAAATCGCTTGTACAATGAATGCAACTTTTTTGAGTCTTTAGCCGAACTTGAACTAATCTTATTAATTAAGTTGATGGTTGAAACAGCTAACATAATTTTTCAAGCTCGTGAACAATGAATGTTTTGAAACTAATTAATGTGTAACATTAAAACTAATAGTGTAAGTTCTATCATGACAAGTTTGTAATTGAGCTATTAAAAAAAAAAAATTACGAGGGACTTGACTAGCAATATACTTAAATAAATGTACTTTTTATATAGTCTAAAAGACTCGAACCTATATATAATAAAGAAAAATATCTATGGATTTTACAATTATGCTGACGTGGAAACATCTCGTCCCTTAGTGGATAAGCATGTAAATTATATCCATTAGAAACAGATCCCATGCTACTCGCCGTCTCGCTCCCATCATCAACTCTGCTTACCCAATTTAGTGTGTTTTGTGGCATTTTTGGTTCAGTACATATATAATCCAAAACTATACGAAAAATGTAACACATATATTTATGTAAACCTATTATTTCCGTATTCATTTGTCATAAGGTCGATCAAATTAAATCATGGGTCCACGCGGTATGTTACGTTTCAGTAGTCTCCTACTCATCAATAAGTGGCAAAACTCTAGGTTTATTCAACTGTAATACAGATGACAAGATTTTCGGTTAATTAAAACATAGCTATATTTTAGGTGCTTCTTTTTCATTTATGGCGTCATTTGTGCACATATGTTAGGAGTTTAGGACATATATTTCTTTCAAAAAATTATGTAAGAAATAATGATACTTACAATTCTCTCAAAATTGTCACTAAATCCTAGTTCTTATATTTATCTCCTATTGGCGGTTAATATTTTGACTTGTCATATGAACATCAAAAAGAAAATGGGCTCAATCAAGCAATGCATATTGATGTATCCAACAAATTACTTAACGCATACATGTGGCTGATTTCACGATTAAATGTTTTTATACTTCGTAGACCAACAAGTGGGAATAGTTTCAGTTGCATGCCATTTAATTGTTGTTGTTGTCTTCTTGAATGTACATTTTATTTTTAGTAGAAGCACATAGAGCTACTACTAGGGTTTATTAAGATATAAGTCGTGGCCGTAGTGGCATGGCAGTCTCAGTTGTGACTTGTTGTGCATGAATATGGGCCTTTATGGACCTTAACTTTGAGTGTGAGCACACTGCTTTTGTGAGCCTTTATTTATTTATTTTGGGTTTGTTCTAGTAGGGGAATCCGATAGATTCTTGTGTTGGTGTATGTACCCCATTATTCAGCGTAAGAAGATAGAGAACCAGGCAAAGGATACGTCAGAAATGGAAAATTTTGGGAATTTAATTGGCTCAAATCAACAACGAATCTTTTTATCTTGATCATGCACTGCCAATTATATATGGTTTTCCCTGATTTACTGGCTGAATTGTATAATTTAGTCATTAAACTCAACTTCCTCTTTAATGTACTACTTGTAAAGAAAATAAAATATCAGCATGGTTTCCATATTAGAGGAGGAGAAATATTCGAGAATGAGGCAATGTATATTTTCTTGCGTGTGTAACATATATAAACACAAAAAGAGGAACTCCATTGTTAAATCAAGAAACTTCAGAAAGTGGAGCTAGCTATCAACGTTGATCTACAAGGTATTTTTTACCTTCTTTTTTCTATCCGCATTACTTTATATAAATATATGTGATTTTCCATATAATCCCATTTCATTTCATGTCGTTTGCTGTAGTTTGGATTGGAATTTATGATCAGAAACTTTCTTAGGGTTCTGATTAGATATGCTGTTATTTTACTATACGACTTTAATCTCGTTGAGTTAGCTCCACCATTGTCTCTATTCATATACAAGATATCTATCCAAACCTAATGGTGATGATCAAAGTCGTGAAATGTTACATGGCCTTGTTATCAAAATCAAAATGATTGTTTATAGAAACGTACTTTTTGTCCACTTGTTGATTTCTATCACTAGTTTTCGAATGTTATCCAGAATAATTGGTCAAAAACTTCAGCTTATATAATAATTTGTTCGCCGGTTGGCAAAGTTTTTATCTGTATATTTTTAAAAAAGTTACAAGTTTTTTGTTTATAAACTATTTTTTTTTAATTTCAGTATCTGAATGGGTCGGAAGATGGTAAGGATGGCGAGGATAACGAACGAGAAGACGAGGATAACGACTTACAAGAAGAGGAAGGCGTGTTTGTACAAGAAAGCCAATGAGTTCTCAACACTCTGTGGCGTGAAGACGTGTCTCATTGTGTATGGTCCGAGCAGAGCAGGGGACGAGAAGGTCTTGGAGCCCGAGTTATGGCCGAGGGATGAGAGCAAAGTCAGAGAGATCATAAGCAAGTACAGAGACACTGCGTCGAGCAGCTGCATCAAAACTTACAGTGTGCAAGAGTGCCTGGATAAAAAAAAAGAATGCTTGGATCAAACCAAAGTGAAGGTGGAGAAAATGAAGTATTGTCCATGGGACAAAAAGCTCGACAAGTGTTCTTTAAGCGAGCTGTATGCGGCTTTTGTGGCAGTAGAAAGTAAGATTCAGGAGGCTGCGAATAGGAGCCAGACATTCCAAGACGCTTCTTGGTCTACTGAACAGCTTGGTTTATTCGGTTATAATCAGCAATGTGTCGAGCAGCATCAGCTGTTTCCCATGGAGCACAACGGGTTTGCTTTTTTCCCTTATTTTAACCAAATGACCTCGAGCACCTCGGAGATGGCTTCTTACACGAATGTGACTGAGCCAGAGATGGCTGCTCAAGCCATGTTTTACGGGAGTTGTTCGGATGGTCAATATGCTCCGATGGTACAGAGGACAACAGCTTATATGGAGCCACAACACTGGGGTTTAGGGAACAGCATGTTCAACGATATGAAGCCGTTCACAGACTATCCGATGACGTTTGGGCAAGTTAACAACGACTTGGAGAATTCTGGTAAAAATCCTATGTGAAAAATAATATCATTTGTTTCTTTCCTTTGAATGTTGGTTGCATGCATTTCATGTGCTTTGAAAACTTATTTCTATTAAGTTTTTATTAGTTTGTGGTTTGGTCCATTATTACTGAATGAGGTAAGAAAGTTATCTTCCTTATGACTATGATTTGTTCAAACCAGAATGCAAAGTTTCATGAGATTTATGAACTGGTTTTACTGTTATTTCAATGCCGTTGCATTTTTCGGAACTAGCTTCACTCGTCACATGGTACTTTTATTAAATGTGATTTGTCAATACAAACGCTATGGATGAGATTTCGTTTTAGAAGATTTAAGTGTTTAACATGAGGTTTCATGATTCAAATTCGTACCAAAATTGATATCTCTTAACAACATTAAGAAACCATCGGTGTATTGACACAAATCATTAACGTAGAAGTGTGAAAAAAAATTACATATCATAAAGTCGAGAAAAAGTTGTTTTTCCCCCTATAGAACCAAAGTGGCCACTAAGGTCAGCAATGCGCATAAAACATCGTACTGAACGGACTTAGAAGCCGACTTGTCTGCGGCAGGAATCTTAGCAGTTCCTGGTGCTAAATTTGCCGTCGCCGGTGCTGAACTAGTTATCGGACCGCGTCCGTAAGGAAATATATCCGGCGCATTTGCTGGAGTCGAGGGGATCGACGGAATTCCAGGAGTTGTTACCGGTGACGTCGCTGCGATCTCCGGTGCATCAGCTGGGACCGGTGGCTGGTTCGCTGGAGGAGTGGCAGGAGATTCTATCGAGGCAGTGGGGCTCGTCGTCGGAGCGAAGATAGGAGATATTACGGGAATCGTAATCGGAGGGGAAACGGGAGTTTTCGCCGGAGAAAATACAGGTGTCGTGGCGATAGTGGGCGGGAAAACAGGGGAAGTAGCGGGAGAAAAAACAGAGGATTTCAAAGGAGTCGCAATGGTACGAGAGGAAACAGGGGAAGTCGCCGGGGGAACAACAGGGGATTTTAGTGGAGTCGCAATGGTACGGGAGGAAACAGGGGAAGTCGACGGAGGAGTAACAGGGGGTTTTAATGGAGTCGCAATGGTCGGAGAAGTTGACGGAGAAAGAACATGGGATTTCAATGGCGACGCAGTGATCGGAGAGGAAACAGGAGCACTCGCCGGAGCGAAAACAGGGGATTTCAAAGTAATAAAGGTTGTCGGAGAGGAAACAGGGGAAGTCGCCGGCGTAAAAATAGTGGATTTCACTGGAGACGCAAGTGTAGGCGAGGAAACAGGGGTTTTCTCCGGAGCCTTAGAAGGTGAAGTCGGGACTTTAGCCGCCGGGGAGTTATGGGTCGCCGGAGGTTGTAAACTGGGGATTTGAGGAAACGTCGGAGGCTGCGACGCAGAAGAACGGCGATGTGATTTCGAAGGGGGGTGTATCGGAGGGCTGACCGGAGGACGTTGTTTTTCGCCAACTCTCGGCGAATGAACGGGAGGATTGTCGGCTTGAACATTACCAGAAATAAATATTAAGAAGACAAAAGAAGAAAGTTCAATAAACCGCTGCATCGTTTGTTTTTTTCTCTCTGGGAAACTAACAAAATCCAAAATGTTAATCGTTGAGTTTTTGATTCTCTGCTTGTAGTAAATGACTGTTCAGCAGTTATCAATGGAGTTTATAAGAGAGAGACTTCTAAAAACGCGAAACGTTGTGAATTGTGTTATCCTCGATATATGACCGTTGGACGTGGTGGAGGAGCCTGTATGTTGACCGGCTGTAGGAAGTGATGTAGCCGTTTACCGGAAGAGAGCAACCGGTTACTATCAGACGACATGAAGTTTAATTAAAATAAAATCAGACGACGTGACGTTTGTTTTTAGTTTAAGAAAGTCTGAACGACATGTAGTTCATGTTGGTCCTCCAAGTAAGCCTATTAAAAAACTGGCCCATTTGTATGATTGGAGTATTAGTCATGGCCCATGAAACACACGTGTGTGTTGACTGTTGTGGATTGTTTTAGTTCTTTCTCGTAATAATACACGTGTTTTTCTTAAAGGCTTTATATAATGCGCTTTGCGCACGGTGTATGTTAGCGGTATTTGTTGGATAGGATTCCTTTTTAAGCTTTAGCTAGAAAAAAAAAATGTTTTAATCGTAAAGAGAATAATCAATAAGAAAATCCTAGAAATTTCACAAATCTCCCGGATTAGGGTTTCTAGCGACAGGCCTTTCTCCGTTTCTAGTTTCCGGGGAACAAAATTTCCGCAATCTCTTGTGTTCTTGAGATTTTTCATGTTCGAGTGGGCGTAAGCTTGCGGTATTCTGACGATTCAAAGAAAGGAGCTTTTTTTTTTCAATCTGTACTAACCAGGAAGAGTTTAAGATGGATGATGGAGATGGGAGGGATCAGATGGATCAGTTCCATCCAAACGAGGCGATCTCTGCTGTCGCCGACGACGGTTTTATGGCGGAGGAAGAGGACGACGATTATGAGGATCTTTATAACGACGTGAACGTAGGAGAGGGATTTCTTCAGTCTGCCAGAAAGAACGACGAGGCGGTATCAGGAAACGAGGAAAAGGAGAAGCTCAAAACCGAGGACGAAGATAGGGTTGAGCCAGCTTTAGGTGCATCGGAAGCTGAGGTCTCGATACCTGGTTTGGTTGGTGAGAGCGTCGCTGTAAAAGCAGAACTAGAGGCAGAACCAGAAGCAGAAGCAGGAGGAGCTAGCGGCACTGGAGCTCAGGAGCTTAAGGTAAGCGATGTTAGCCAGCAGATTTCTGGTGGAATTGGATCCGGGCTTAGAGTTGAGCTAGGGCAAGCTCTTAATCGAGAAAACGATGTTGAGGCTCATAGAGCAAATAACAATTCTCAGGTTATCTTGCCACCACCGCCTATGTTAGGAAATAACGAGAATTTGGTGAGACCTTTGATGGCTAATGTTAATGGCGTGACCCCTCCTGGACCTGGTAATAGCATGGTCGGGAACGGAGCTAATATCCATATGCCTGGTGCTCTTACTGGCGGGGGAACCGGTGGAGGCGGCGGTGGCGGAGCTTTTCTTTTCGTTGGGGATTTGCATTGGTGGACAACTGATGCTGAACTTGAGGCAGAGCTGTGTAAGTATGGTACAGTGAAAGAGGTTAAGTTCTTCGATGAGAAAGCTAGTGGGAAGTCGAAAGGGTACTGTCAAGTGGAGTTCTATGATCCTATGGCAGCTACGGCTTGCAAAGAGGGGATGAATGGGTATGCCTTCAATGGTAGGCCTTGTGTTGTTGAGTATGCATCTCCGTATTCGGTTAAAAGAATGGGAGAGGCACAGGTGAACAGGACCCAACAGGCGCAATCTGTAATTGCACAAGCTAAGAGAGGAGGTCCTGCGGATCCTCCGAGTAAGCCCATCGTGACAAGCAACAACAACAACAACAATGCCATTGTCGGGAATTTCCAAGGTGGGGATAATAGAGGATTCGGTAGAGGTAATTGGGGTAGAGGCAATGCTCAAGGAATGGGTAGAGGACCAGGTGGTCAAATGAGGAATAGGCCTGGTGGAAGAGGTTTGATGGGTAATGGAGGTGGTTTTGTTGGGCCTCCTATGAATATGATGCATCCTCAATCAATGATGGGGCAAGGGTTTGAACAAGCTTTTGGTGGACCGATGGCGAGGATGGGAAGCTATGGAGGATTCCCGGGGGCTCCAGGTCCACCGTTTCCGGGGCTTTTGTCCTCATTCCCTCCTGGAGGAGTTGGTTTACCTGGAGTGGCACCTCATGTGAATCCAGCGTTCTTCGGAAGAGGGATGCCGATGAATGGAATGGGGATGATGCCTAATGCTGGTGTTGATGGAGGGCATAATATGGGAATGTGGGATCCTAATACTGGAGGATGGGGTGGTGGTGGTGAAGATTTGGGTGGTGGGAGAGCTGCGGAATCGAGTTACGGGGAGGAAGCTGCATCTGATCATCAGTATGGAGAGGTTAATCACGACAGAGGGGCTCGTCCGAATCCTGTGAAGGAAAAAGAAAGAGCTTCAGAAAGGGAATGGTCTGGTTCATCTGATAGAAGAAATCGTGAGGATAAAGACGCTGGTTATGAAAGGGACATACCGAGGGAGAAAGATGTTGGTCATGGTTATGATTTGCCAGAGAGAAGGCATCGTGATGATAGAGAAACCGGTCGTGAGCGTGAGAGGGAATATCATCATAAGGATCGTGAACGCTCCAGGGATCGTGACAGAGAGAGGGACAGGGAGAGGGATCGCCATAGAGATGAGCGAGAAAGACATGGTGGTGATCATCGTAGTAGACACAGGGACGAACCTGAGCATGATGACGAATGGAACAGAGGCCGATCGTCCAGAGGACACAGCAAATCGCGGTTGTCTCGGGAGGATAACCATCGCTCAAGATCAAGGGATGCTGATTATGGGAAAAGAAGGCGGCTTACTACTGAATAAATATCGGATAAAAGTAAGTAGTTGAATCTAGTGTATCTTTCATTCCTCATATATCTTAAATTGTACCATTCTTTCTCATGCTTTGTTTTAAGACTTGGCTCATTATTGGTCTGGTTAGTTTTCCTGACGAAAAGTTATCTGTCTGCAATGACATTTTATTGTCGCATTGTCTAAAACTGTGCTCTCTTAAAACAAAGATTTTTCAAGTTGATAGTAAACAATAATCATTGTGCAGTATGTTTTCACTGTTTTTTTTTTTTTTTACTGACTGAGTTTTCTGTTGTCCTTAAATTCATAGCGTTATGGGGTAGATTGACTTTGAGAACTCCTGCTAAACTTTAAAGCCTTATGGAAGAAGAAGAAGAAGAAGAAGAAGAAGAGGAAGAAAGATGACCTCAGAGAAAGTCAGAAGACTCTTGTCAGAGAAAGAAGCCTTTCACTGGTGAAATCTCTTCTTCAACTCAGCTTAGTTACATAAAAGTGGAAAGAAACTTGGCAAACGTTTGCCTTCTTTAAGTTCTAAGACACCTTAACTTTTGCCATTTTTATGTGAAACTTCTAAGACCAGTGTGTTGTGGTGATGTTTATGGCCTTTCGGGTTTCCATCCATTTGTGTTTAGATGTTCCTTGTTTTAACTGTTTCTGAATTTTTGTTGTTGTGTAGTTGTATTAGTTGCAGCCAAATAGTTAGCCTGGCCAGTGTTACTGATCTTGTTTCTCCATGTTTTAGCCATTTGAGTTGTATTGTATGTATGTATTCATTCTATTGTAAGTCCCTCATCTGCCTTAGGATCTTCAGAGGTCATGGATACATGGCAAATGTAAACAGCATGTGCATCCTTTGGGGATTGTGTTTTTATGATTTCCAAAAGTGATGTAGAAGATCAAAAAAAAACTTGTTGGAGAGGAAATCTGATATAGCTCGCTCTTTGTTCAAATGCGTACATAATAGAAAACCACAGTTCTCACACGTTCACGGTGTTTGTTTAGTTTTTGTAGCTATGAACACATCTTCATCAATGGCATACAGATCCTTTTTTCTTCATTAACACTGGCCAAGTTAGTTCTTCATTGTTCTGTTGTTGTCCAGTCGACGCATTGCTTGATTTATTAGATTTGTAGGTTTCTTGTGTCCTTTCTCTGCAATCTATCAAAAGTGGCACACTCGAAGCTTGCTCTCTGTTTGATTGTAAAGACCATTAATGTCAACATAAAAGGTCTCCCTCACTCCTTGACCAAAATAAGATAGGCAAGGACGCAAAAGTAATAAAATGCAGCGAAGAGACAGCACGAGAGAGGCAAAGGAAGTTTGAACATGTCTTAAAAAGGAACACCCAAAAAACCAAAAGAGTGTTTTTAAGAGGGGAATGAATCCTAATGTCAAATAGTATACACAAACAAAGTTGCTTATATGAAAACTATTACTACTCATCAATCTCCTCTCGACTCTCCCTAGAGTTTAAAAGAAAGAACAAAAAAAAACCCAGCTTGTAGCATAATTCCAGACCACAACAACCAACAAATTACATTCTCTGATATATTCGCCTAATAACTGACGGACGATAGGCAAATGGAGGAGAGCGACCACTTAGCTAGACTAAATTTATGTGCTCTGTGATCAGGCTTTAACCTTCTCTCCACCACCAGATCCTCCAGCTTTCTCTTTCTCGTCTTCTTCCTCTTCTTCTCCTTCCTCGTCATCAGCTTCCTCTGCTAGCTTAGTTAGCTCTTTTTGAATCATCATCTTTATAGATGATTTCTTTGAGGTGAGATCGAGTTTGAACTTCTTAACTGAAAGACAGGTTGCAAACAAAAAAAAGCATGTTACCCCAAAAAAAACAGAAACCATATATGCAGGACTATCAGTGAAGAATCTCATCTGCTGCTGCTGCTCATACCTAGTAGATTGAGGATGTCGGTGAAGGTGGCCTGCCAGAAAATGATAAAGCATTTGTTAGAGATGTCTATCTTCTAACCTAATTACAGCAATGTCATGACACAGATGTTTCATGGTTCAAATTCTCACCGTGCTAAAGTCCACTCCTTTCAAGATATCAACAATTTCAATTTTCAACTCTTCATCACTAGGCTCCTTGGTTTTGTCTTTTCCTTTTCCGCCTCTTTTTCCTATTAGTTGATAAACAAGAGTAACAAACACAGATAAAACTTAGTGTTAGAGAAAGAAAAAAAAATGCTGCAACATAAGGAACCAAACTTCTGACCAAGCATGTACTCACATGTACTTAATTCTTAATAAAAATATTTTTTCTTTAAAAAAAAAAGTAGGATAGGACCAAACCTGGTTTCTCTTTTGATGCAGATTTTGAAGCAACCAAGGACTGCTCCTTGGCCGGTTTTTCAGTCTTCTTCCTCTTAGAGGATGCCTTGGGACTTGTATCACTGTCGTCATCAGTCTTCTTTCGTTTTTCTGCCGAGCGCTTCTGAGTAACTTTCTTTGGTGTACTGGGTTTCGCAGAGACTGCAGCTTTCTTGCTTCTGGATTTCACTGCTGATTCTTTCTTTCCAGATGATGACCTAGAGCCACGTTTCTTCTTGTTAGTTTCTTCCTCTGACTCCTCCTCAGATTCAACTTTCTCCTCACTCTCAGAAGGCTGAGGCGCCTCGTCTTCAGATTGATCAGGAATCCCATTTTCATTCTCCTCTTCACTCTTTTCTTCTTCCTCCTCTGCCTCCTGCTCTTTCTCTGATTCTTCTTCTTCCTCCTTCTCTTCTTCAGACTCATCATCAGAATGAGGTAAACTCTTTTTGTCAGTCCTTGTTGCTTCCTCCGTCTTTTTTTGGCTCTGCAAAGAACACACATAGAAATAAATTAGATTTCAGGTACCTAGACAAGACACAAGAACACAGAGGTATTAAACCGACACACACACACACTCTTAACAGTTTCTAACACAAGGGTTCAAATCTCCAGTTCCAAGCTATTGATAATACCTTTGCTGATCGTTTTGAAGATGAACTTCCAGCTGCAGGCGAACTTTTCTTAGGAGTTCTTTTGCGCTTTGCTCCCTTTAGAACAGAAAATTTATTAAAAAATTGTTATATGCACAAAAACATTTCATGCTCAAATGCAGAACAAAGAGCGCTAGCAACACCAAAGTTACCTTCTCTTTCTCAAAAACTGACACATCAGTTGTAGCCTGAGGTTTGTCCAGAAACTCAAACAGCATTGCAACAACATCTTCCTGTATTTGAGGAAAACCACCAGATAGTCAGTTCCCAAGTTGATACATTGGAACGAATACAGTGACATTAACCCTTCACAGGATGCCCAATCATTCATGACAAAAAAAAAAAAAAGACATCGAAATGAATTAACCATAATGACCTTCTTTTTTGTAGTCTTGGCAACTGATATGTCAAAGATATCGCAAAACTCCAGCAACCTTTCTTTGTTGCATTTGTCAAGCTTTTCTTTTATTTTATCTTTTGCCTTTTCCTGCCAAATATCAAAAACTATGTAAGGCTAATGAGTATGAGACGAGCATTTGTAGAACAGTCGTAATGTGTTATGTCACCCACCTCATCTCCTTGCCATTTGTAACCAGAAAAGCGCAATATGTTTGCCTTGATCTCAGCAGCCTGTCAAGGCAAGAACATTGAGTCACATATTAACATGATTAGCAGCCACTCTGCAATCTTAAGAATAGCAATGGACGCGACTCATAAGAATTTCAAACCACATTAGAATCCCTACAAGAACATGCATTGTCTAATGGTGGTGGCAGAATACGAAAGGGTACAAAGAGATGCTCACCTTCCCTCTTTTCCCACCAAATAGAATTCCATGTAGCAGCTTCAAAAGTTCATCAGACTTCTTCTTTCCTATCTTGTAAGCAACTGGAGAGAAACATACAACTCATCAACTTCGTTTCAAGTGCACATACACTATTACAAATATGGTCATGAAATCAACTTCCAATCCATGGGAATTATTCCCTTTAAAATCAGCTCTAATCACTAAGCACACAAAAAAAAACATCTCGCAAAAAGTACACACAAAGCCAGAAAACAAAAATACATATATTAATATATCAACCCTGCACAATTTGAATTTTCATTATAAATACATGCCATCCAGTACTTAAGCTTGCAGAATTTTTTTAAACAAAAAAAAAAACAGATTCACAGACGACAATCCAGTATTTTCTTAACACAATGTGCTCTAGCAATAATCCTAAGAAAAGCTAAGCCACAAAGACTGTTCAACACAATGACAGAATAGGCTGAGAGGAACTTTAAAAATAGCTATATCGAATACGAACATACCGTTGGGGATATCTTTGAGAGGTGTTCCTTTTCCCTGGAATATCCAAAAGTAAATCATAAACAGATCGAACAAATGAAACAATACTATAGAGACCAAACACATGAAACTATTGGCAAACCTTATCTACATGGAATTCCCTTGAAGAATCTTTATCAACCACTGCGACAAGCCTTTCAACAGATTTTCGCTCACGGACAGGGCGATCAGAGTAAGGAGTCTTAGGTTCAATATCCTTCTTTTCTTCCTCGCTCTTTGTCTTCCCGCGAGACTTCTCAGTCTTCCCTTTCCCTCGCTTGCTAGACTTCTTGCTATCCTCATTTTTATTTTCCTTGTCATCATTGCTGTCCTCTTTTTCATCTTCCTTATCATCCATGCGCTCTTCTTTTTCATCTTCCTTCTCATGCTTTGTCTCCTCCTCTTTATCTTCATTCTCATCCTTGCTGTCATCTACATCATTCTCATTTTCGTCCTTACTCTCAGTTTTTTCGTCTTCCACTTTCGGCTCATCGAGCTCAGCTTCTGCCTCCACTTCTTCTTCTTTGCTTGTTTCCTCCTCTTTCCCATCTTCAGCCAGTTCGCCCGCATTCTTTTCCTCTGCTACCTCTTCTTTGTTCTTTGTATTAACATCCTCCATCTTTTCATCCTCATCGGCATTGTCAGCCTTGTCTCCACCGACCAACTTCTCTTCCTCTTTGATGTCTTCCTTATTCCCTTCTTCGTTTCCATTCACTTTCCCTCCTTCTAGTTTCTCCTCCCCTGATTCTTTCTCAGATTTCTCTTGGCCTCCTTCAGTAGTATCTATCTCCTTCCCCCCTTGATTTTCAGCACCTTCGATGTCTTTATTCACAGTATCTTCCTCCGTAGCACCTCCAGAAACACCAGCATCAGCTTCCAACTTCTTGCCATCTGTATCTTCATCCATTTTATCAGCTTCTGGTTGTCCCTTGTCTTCGTCCATTTTAGCAGTCTCTGTGAGCTCCTTGTCTTCGATATTATCCTTCTCTTCTGGTTTCGCAGTCTCAGCTTTCTTCTCTTCTTCTGTAACCTCAGCCTCTTTATCTTCCATCTCTTTTTTCCCTTCGTGTTGCTTGATCTCATCATCTATCTCCATTTTCTCAGGACCAGTATCCTCACCTTTCTTGTTTTCCTGTGTTTCCTTGCCACTAGCGTTCTCCTCCACTTGTTTGATTGCATCTGATGGCTTTTGAAGAGAACTAGTCCCATTTGATGTTGGCTCCACAGTGACTTTTGTATCTTCTTCCCCCATCGTTAACCCCGTTTTCAGCAGATCTTCAAGACAAGGCTGCGGAACATATAAATTCAGAATTAAAAACTTCCACAATTAGGGGTAGATATGAATAATTCTCGACACGATTTCTGAAGTAAACTCATGCCAAAGAAGCAAAACAGAGGTCACCAGATGAATTCCAAAATCCCACAACGCAACTGAATGTGCAAGAATTAAGAATTCAGACAAGGATAAAAACTCATAACAACATGTAAACTTCATTGCATTCCATCATACTACATACGACTAATTGAAACTCCAATAGACTCTAACACGAGGAATTGAAAGAAAAAAAAGTTTCAATTATCAGAGGAAATAGTATATCCAATAAGTTCTTAATGATTCAGTCTGAATCTGAAAAAGAAGGGCAACAAAAAATTATCGTAAATTTGAAGACTTTGTGGAGGAAAAACATAGATTTAGATCCAAACAACAAACACGCTGTAACTCAGAGAAACATCCAAGAACTCGTACAGAAATCGAGCTTGCTTTCTTTCGAGCCTCAAATTCGTACGCTACTCAGCTAAACTAGCACAAATTCGCAAATCAGAGAGAGAACGAAAACACAAACCCTAAACTTGAGCAAGATAACATTGAAAACAGAAAACACACATGCGAATTCAGACGAAGCTCAAAAGATTCAAAGGCAGAAATCAAACAAAGCAAGCTCACAGTGTTGAAAAGAGGCTCGAAAAGGAGAAGACTTTGGAATCTCACCTCGCTATCCAAAGAGGCTCAAAGCAGTGACCTTTTTTTTCTTTTCTTGTTTTGTGTATAACTACTCTTTAACTCTTTTATTTATTCCGAATAGTTCGAATCAGAATAAAAATACCAACGCTCCGATTTTCTATAAGGATTCGGACGCAAAACCGTATTTTAAATACAGTTAATTGCCACGTCGGATGTGTGAGTTTAATGGACGGCTCAGATTTTGTGTTCGATACTCTCGTGGATCGGTGACGGTACAAACCCATTACCCATCGTCCGGTACAATTAAATATCATCGTGGAAAAATAAAATAAAATCTTTACTAAGATTATCCTAAATAGATAAATTTAAATACTTTTCAATGAAGTCAGATTGATATTTATTAATGTAAAGTAATTGTCAATGATGTCAGATATGTTTTTTTTGTTTTGGAAATGTTCCGAAACAGAAATTCTCCAAAACTCGTTAATAATACATGAAATTCTATTTTTAAAATATTCTATTTTAAAAGTAAAAATTATTTTGGTAATATGTTAAAAACTTATTTTTTGTTTTGGTAATAAACTAAAAATTAAGTTATATTTTTAACTTTTTATCATAAATTAATTAAATTTAAAATATTATTAAGTAGATCGTAATTAAAATTAAAACGTTAAATACAAAAAAATATTAAAGTAATTGTCAATGAAATCAGATAGGTTTTTTTTATTTTATAAATATTCCAAAACGGAAATTCGTTAATAATATATAAAATTCTAGTTTTTTAAAACTTATTTTAAAGTACGATTATTTTGGTAATACGTCAAAAACTTACTTTTTGTTTTAGTAATAAACTAAAAATTATAAAAGTGAATTAAGTAATATTTTAAATTTTTACCATAAATTAATTAATTTTGAAATATTTTTAAGTAAGTCGTGGATTGTAGTTGAAATAGAAACGTTAAATACAAAAAAAAAAAAAATAGAAACATGAAAACATAATATGTTTTTAAAAAAAAAGAATAAAAACATTCTAGTATATATAATTATTCAACATTTAAATGGTGGTTGATTCTTGAAATTTAAATTAGCTACAATGTGAAAGGAAATGGTAATTACAATTTACAAGTCTTTTCCGGTTAGTTTGTGTTATGCAGCAACGTGAAACGGATGTGTTCACCAATTCATCATGGTTCTTGATGAATCAAGATTTGGAAACATGGTCACTGCTATTATTGAAGCAGATGTTTTGTGTGATCTAGGCAAGATTATGCCAAACTGATTAGAGAAGAGGTACGCTTCAGCTCTGCGAAAGCCGTGATGCAACATTATGATTGATTTGGTTCTGTGTCTCGTCGTGACCGTGATGCAACATTATATGTTCTAGGACTGATTCTATGCTGTTGTTGGTACAAACATAAACAGATAACTTGTATTCTCATTGTGGTTGTGAAATATCCATAATGGATGTCCGATAAAGGGGGACGTGGTATAGGCAGAGGAGGAGGTCGTGGTATAAGTTTTGGTTATGGTCTTATGAATATGTAAAAATGCATTAGCTAAAAAGACACATTATATTCTTTTTTAGGTTTTCTTTTAAAGTCATCATAATAAAATATTTACACCGAAAACTGTTTTTTTTTAAACCCCTAATACCCAATTTATCAAAAATTCTCCATATATTAAAATGTTGGATTCCCTTTGTACATTTGAAATGGAAATTATATATCGAAAACTTTGATTTTCATTCACTTCGTCTTTTAATAGATCCAATGGAAATATCAATCTCAATAAGATTATCTTCTTCCATAATCACGTCATCTATATCTTGTGCTTCATCTTCATCAATCCTATTTCTCTGTCGAATTCGGTTAACGTTTCTCATTGCTTCTATAGTCTCTGCTTCTTCACTCACAAGAGTAATCTCAATGAGACCATCCTCATCCTCTTCATCATCGTAATCATCATCATCATCATCATCATAGCCTTCTTCTTGGGATCTTTCAGCCAAATAGAGTCTTGTCTTTTTCTTGTAGAATCTTATAAAGAAAACGAAAGTGGAGATGAACAAGATTGCGATGGTTACTAGAAGAGAAGAGGATCCATAAGACCCTAAGAAACACAGGAAAGCTAGAGATAGAACTAGGGATACAAGGAAAAACAACAATGGCGGATATAAATGAAAACAGCACCAAGAAAAGTGCTTTTCTTCATCAGATTTTTCCACCGATTTCATCACTCCACGGAAAATTTGATTTAAGACAAACAAAACGAAACAGAGCTAAAGAGAAGTTGAGAATGCCTCGTTGTCCATTGATGTTAATGGATTTTTGAGTTATCTGATTTAAATCCGTAAACCGAGTTTGGCTCTGTTTGGATCTAGATTAAAGAAGATATAGGTTTTTTAAAAAGACGAATCTGAGTTCTTGAAAAGTTTCAGACAAGTCTCAGAAGAGAGAGAGAGAGAGAGAGAGAGAGAGAGAGAGAGATCTGGGAAAGTCAGAGGAACCAAACAAGGAAGCTCTGTTTTTTTTCCTTTTCTTCTCACTCTTTATAATTACACCTGCAAGGCTGCAACTAATTTTCTCGAGAAAGGAAGAGCATTGGTTTTTGCATGTATTTGAATTGTTTTTTCTTGAAAAAGCTATAGTACTAAAAATGCGTTGGAATGGTAAATCCATGTGAAGCCCATTAATTAAGGATGATTAAGTTATAAAACGAAAAGTGATTATATATCAAAAACAAAACATCTTTCAGGAAGATTCTTATTAAGCTATCAAAAATACAAAGAGATACATAAAATCCAACAGCCTATACACTAACAATAATACTTGTATATGGTTACAAAGAACTGAACCGGTCGAGAACGAGAGATTTTGTGTGTTGGTTTGGTTTGTTCGGTTCATTTGATTTTGATAACGAGCAATTTTTTTTGTTTGAAATCATATTGGAATAAATATGATATAACCTTTGTCTAGAAGTTACCCCTTCATAAGTTTGTCGAATTCTTGGTTTGTCAACTAGGATTGTCGATTCATCTAGGTGGCTACAATTGTTCAACACATGAAATGATGGTTATTTTTGTTTTCTCTATTCGTTTTAACTTTATGAGTTATCACTTTATCTTTTACGAACTTGCCTTTGTCTCAAACAAAGACCCCATCAATATTACAAATGACTACAAAATGATGATAATCATGAGATGGTTAACTATACAATGACTACAAAATATAGATGACTCCTGAAATTTTTGCAAATTTTATGAAAAATTATTTGCAATATCATTTATCTCTGTGAAACATTTGTTTTTCGATATGTTTTGGTATGGTTTCTAAATAAAAGTATATTGATAAGTTTGAACATGAAAATGTATTACTGATTATCAAATTTCGATGATGTTTTAGTGACTTCAATTGCTGTTATGTTGTATATCCAAAAAAATTCAACATGATTGTCATTGAATTCGATAATTCTATAGAATTGGAGATTTTGCTTTAGTTGTGCTTCCCCGAAATCATTTTGATGTGGAAAAAAAAGAATTGTTTGATTGCATATACTGTATCTTCAGTGTTAAAAAAGGTAAAAAAACACAACCATTTTTTCATATAAAAACCCATCAGTGTTATATAAAAAAATTTCAACGAACATTCATGAGGAAGCGACACGTGCCAAAATACTATCCATCGATGTAGACTGCAAAAGAAAAGAAAAAATCCTAAACATCTTATTCTCCGCCGTGTCAATTGCAATAATCTCGAATCCGATCCGTCTCACCTCAAACACCATCATCAGTTTTCCCAAGCAATTTTGTTTTCCCCTTTCCAAGCTCTTGAATTGCATTTAGGGTTTCCCGGAATTCATTATAGTATATATAAATCCACATTCAAAAGTCCAAAGCCTGAGAAATCAATTTTTGGTGGTTGTTTCGAAGAATCCATTGAACGTCGGTGTTCAATGGATACTTCTGTGATGCAGACGACTCTTTCTGCGGAAGAAGACGATGAGTGGGGTAAGTAAGTCGCTTTCTCTCTTATCTTAAAATTTTGATCCTTCTTTTCTCTCTTAGTGTGGTGAATCAACTAGATTGCATTCGTTCATCTAAAAAATCGCTTTTGTGATCGGATAATGTCCAAGATGTTCTATGATTCAATCTTCAAGCACTAAACCCACGAAATTCCATTTATTGGAGTGTTCTCAATCTTCACAATTCGAAATTTGTAAGCTTTTGTTGACGCAGAAGTAAAAATCTCTGCTTTGTGATTCTGCTTCAACATAACAGAGCATTGTTCCAATTTCTGCATCTTCTTACTTGATTGCCAGTCTTGTTGATTCGATCGTTTGGTTGTTATTTCTGTTGCCAGATACTGATGGGTTTGTGATTCCAAGCTTGGAGGTTGAAGAACAGAAGAAGGTTAATGATTCAGAAGTTCATACATCAAAACCTTCTTCCCCTAAGGTCAGTGATTGATTTCTTCCGTATGTAAAAACTCAACAGAGGAGCTTCAAATGTTGTTAATTCTTGAATTACTGCAGATTAAAGCTGAAGAAAACATCTACTTAGGACCACATGGAGCTCCTCCCTCGCAGCTACAAGATGGTGGTAACACATCGAGCCGCAAGCAGCGGTTTAAGCAGAAGCTCAAGGAAGCAGACCAGAAAATGAACGTGTCTGGTCGAGAAAACAAAGTGGCCAACTTAAGAGAGCTTGTAGGCGGCTTAGAGAGAGGATCTAACATCTCAAAGGGTGTTTCAAGAGACTGGCTTGACCCTCATTGCCATGAGTCTCAGTTCGAGAAACGACATCATCTTTAACTAACCTCTTCTTTTTTTTTGGTTTCTAGGTGAAAAAAGAAACCGCTGTCTTTGAAATCGTTTTTGTATCAATCAAAATACCAGAAATTTTCAAAGCAATAAAGCATAACACAATGAGTGTCAAAAACCAGAGCTTCATATCAGGTCAATAGCAAGATTCAGCTTGCTAAGACAAAGTATTCTCCTCCATATGTAAATTATACACTCAAGAGGTATTAAGAAACAATCAAAGAGTGTGAGAATGTGGCATTACATAACACAAACTCACAGACAGAAACAAACAAAAATTTCCACAACTGTTAAACTTCCCTTGCTTTTATGGTCATGGCAGGTGTATATAAGTTAAGAAATATTCCGGTTCGTCTTGGAAAGATGATGATGATGATGATGATGATTACTACCTTTGGATCTGAGACGCCGTCTGAGCTAAAACAATGTCGGAAGTCGTTAGAGTTCCGGAATCATCGTAGTCGAGCTGCTCAAACTCTTCCATTATCCCAGCAATATCTTTCTCATCAATCTTCCCCATTTCTTTTAGCTTATATAGTATAAACTCTCCAGCTCTGCAACACACAAAAAGACAAAGCTAAGAAGAAGAACAAGAAGGAATGAAACGTAAGAGAGAATGTGTCAGATGTCTCACTCGACGACTCTATCTTCATCGAGATCAGCTGCTTCAAGATCACTGTTTGTGATCCTCCGAGTCAAAACCCACTTCACCAACTCCCTCTGTTTGGATTCTGCGTTTAGCTCAGCTACATAGAGGAAAAACTGAGCCAAGCATATAGTGCTCGTCAAGATCCAAAACACAGCGAAAAGGCGTCCTGTTCCGGAGTTAAAGCTCTTGTCTCCAAAGCCCAACGTCGTAACCGTGGAGCAAACGCAGTAGAAGGCTTCAATAACCGGCATTTTCTCGTACATCACAAGGAAAATCGTACCGACAAGGAAAAGCACTACAAGGACAAGGAACGTGACATAGCATTTGTACCTCAGCTTGTTAGTATGCAACTCCTTGAGAATGTCTGCTGGACCAAAGTTCTGACGCAAGTGGAAAGCCCTAGAAAGCAAAGCCTCTTGCTTCTCCACCAGATAATCCGCTGCTCGGCTTAGAAGGTGACCCACGAGGACCATTCCGGAGAAGACAAAGGCGCAAGCAAGCAGCCTTGAGGCAGAGCTGCTAGGGACAAGGTCACCGTATCCAACGGTTGTCATCGTTACTATACAGAAATAGAGAGCGTCGATCACAGCATTGGTCTTGTGACCGGAGATGTGGTTTCTCGCGAGGTAGAAGCAGAGAGTGCCGATGGTTAGATACAGAGCCAAGAGCACGATCACTCGCCTGAGATTCGGGTTTAGATCCCTGAACATTGGGATTATACTTGGAGGAGGAGGTGGTTCGTAGATCTTGGCATCGTCATCGTTGTACGTGTAATCACCACGAGGAGCGCTTCTAGAGCGACGCAGTCTTCTTTTTCTTGAAGAAGTTCTTGAGTTTTGGTTGAAGTCTTGACCTATGGGATCTAGCTGCTCCTTCGGTAACAATGGCTTCTGAGCTGAATCGTTCGACATTGATTCTATAATCAAACCAGGTAACAAGGAGATTTGTAGTAATTTCTGAAATCTGCAGATCAGTCAAATCTCTCGTCAGTTTCTTGATTTCAAACCATGGAAATGCAGACATCAAAATCATTTCACAGAAATGAAACTGCGGGAGCTACATCGTTTGTCAAATTATGAACATAGATCAAAATTCGAAACTGTAAATTAAAAGGGAATGTAATCCAAACATCTCAATTTCTCTCAAGTGGATACAAAACTTACGGCTCGTTTGTTCTAAAATCCTGTTCTGAGAAATCAACATACAGAGATACAGAGTGTCAAATCAGACCAAAAAAAAAAATTGAGAATTTTGAACAGAATCTTCTCATAGGTTTGGAATATAATCTGAGTTACAGCTACAGATTATAAGACAGTCAATAATGAAAAGATAAGTTGTTTGGCTGGGAAGAGAGAAGACAGTAAGTAAGATGATTCGACAAGAATATTCAGACCCAGAATCCGAAACTCGGGGAAGATGAAGAATTGGAGACTTACCCAGAATTAAGATCGATTGAGAAATCAAAATCGCAAGAAGCGGTTTGCTCGGATCTCGCAATTGTTCTTCATTGATGTGTTCTCTCACAGTTGGCCAATTCTCTTCTGTGCGTACTTATACTGTTTTTTTCTTATTTTCCCTCTTCTATTTAATTAATTTAAATTGTCCTCTTTTCTGTCTTTCTTTTGTCATCAAATTATCCTCTCCTAATTTTACCTTTTCTTCAAACGCAATCTCCTAATTACACAACTCTTGATATTTTTGAAAAATTATTCCATAAGTATAAAACTGTAAAAAGCTTGCAGCAAGAAATAAACATTTGTAAAACAAAAGCTTTTCTTTTCTTCACATAAAAATTACTTTCTAGTTGTACACTTTACAACCAGAGAGTTACAAGCCAATAAAGTCATACACTTACATGCCGTCATGCGTAATACTCAATGTCATTCCATTATCTCGTAATCAATAATATAACAACTACCAATTTTCAATTAATAATTTCTCATCATTTAATAATGCTATACCACAACTTGTCCAACTCAATTTTGTCAATGTCAAAATGTATAGTCTAATATGTAATTTCAAATCTAGCTACCAGATATATCGAATTTTGCTGCATTAATAACATCTGCCGATTTCTATATTCATGTGATAGCTGTAAGGCCATGAAATTAATTCGAGTTTTAGTCTTGTTTCTTTGGGTCAAAAATCGAGTTTAGTCTTACTCAATTGATTAAGAAAAGAGATAGTTAAACTATTATAAGACGATTAGATCTTAGAATGTAAACATACCAAAGATGTTATTAATGCATTCATGGTGATACAATCATACATCATCATACATGTGTGTAAACTGCAAGCTTCAGAACTTCTCGATACACATAGCACACAAACTTGATTACTAAGTGATTAATACATATGGTGATTTCACTGATTTGACATGAATTTTAAACATTTCACTATCTTAGGGTCACTAATAAAAAATATATTGGTGAAGATAGATAATGATGAGAATGAGATAATTCAAACGCCAACATAAACGGATAAACCCTAATTTAAAGCTGACGGGGCCAGAGAAATGATTCAATAGCAAAGACCCTCTTGTCATCAAGAGATCCTTCGAAGGAGATTCCATATTGTTTGAGGAGCAAGTCAAGGCTGAGATCATCCATGGCCTCATAGTCAGACTTGGAGAATTTAGGGTAGTGAAGAGGAACTTGGAATCCACTTGGGAATTCTTCTTTCTTCATCATCTTCATTTTGTTGCGGGTGCTTTCGCAGCTGCTGGTTTGATCCATGTTGTTTGAGTAGCCGATCATTTGAGTGAGAGCCGAGGTAAATAGCCATTCCATTGTCTCTGGTTGATCTTAAGAGCTTACAAAGAAACACAACAAAAACAAAAAAAAAACAAAAAAAAAAACCGATCGTAGAGGAGAAGAAGAAGAAGAATCAAGCTTCAGCTCAAACTCAATGGCACGCTTGGAGCTTGGTTGTAAGTAAAGGCAAGCGGCCAAAGACTTATATTTATACTGAGTGAGGCAGGTAAGACAAATAAATTTATTTTCCAAAAGATAAATTTAAATACTTTTTAGACATTACTATCAAAATATTATTTAAATATTCGGTTTTTATCATCAAAATAAGTACGTAATTCTCTCAAATAACGAGTATAAGCTGTTGGTAAAATTGTAATGGTTTTTTCTTATGATTATAAGTTTATAACGAGTAATTTTTGGCTACATCTGACAAGATCAAATCATTTATTTGCTTGGAAAACTCGTTGCGGTGGTTTAAACGCTATTATATATTATGCAACTTATGCTAATAAAAAGAAGGTGATGGAGGCCTCAAGACCCTTTTTCGACATTCTCATTTTTATTTTTGATCAACGTAACTGAGCAAACGCACAGTATTTTGCATTAGAAGCTAAGTAATATGTAGAACAAGTTATAACAAATGACAAAAATAACGTTCTACTAGTACGAAACTCATGAACCAAAACAAATTCTAGATAAAATAATGATTCATCGAATTATATTATGCCCAATTCAGCAGCAAACCCCGACCATTTCTATCTCCTATCGTGGGATCATTCATATGTACAAAAATCTAAAAAAATCCGTCACAAAATGTGAGAAAAACAGTTGGCTGCACCAGCATCAGCCAATGATAGTTCATGCACTGATTTTTTTTATGTGGGGACAAAAATAAAACGGTTGGAGTAGATTGTGGCTTGGTGTGCAAGGAGGAGGGAAGAAGTAGGTGGAAGTAATTAATAATTGTATTAAAGAAGGAGGCCCCTTTGTTAATTAAGACAATCGAATTGTTTGGAGCCATTCATATGAGTTTCGTGTTTGTGTGGTTCGTGGTGATGATGTGTCTCTCTTTACAGTTGAAAAATATCTCTCCTTTCAGCAATGATCATGGTTTTTTAAGAGTATAAATTGTTTCCCAGATAACTTAATAAACATGTTATGTAAAAACAACCATTTTGAGTTTAATAGGAAAGTAAAAATCACATAAGCAAAACACTTTTGTATAAGACTTTCCTATAAATTTTTTTATGGGGAAAAAAAAGTGGATCTACTAAAAGGTTTGTGGTTTATTCAAAGAGAAAAAAAAGTGTTTGGGCCCAAAGGCATGGCACTCCATCTCAGTGTGCCGCCAGCAAAAGCCCTCTCGAATCCAAGTTGGGTTTTAATTTGGACAGTTGTTTCAAGTTTGCATAAGAGAATGGTAAATAACACGTTCAATCGACGACACTTACAAAAGTAAAACGAATAAAAATCTCACACCCAAAATTCAATCCAATGATAAAAAAAAAAATTAACTGATTTATTGTGCTCTTGTCAAAAGTAGGTACATTCTGTGAATCACTCGAGTCGATTTGATCATTGTTTTAAAAGATTTCAGTAAAAACGATAAGAATTTTTTCTTTCTTTCAGAAAACCAAAAAAAAAAACCAAATTCAATTTCCATATAAGAAGTTAACCATCAGCTTGAAGAGTCTTCTGCAGGCAAACCGAAACAATAATCGGACCAGCCAAGTCCCCCAGCGCGCAGCCTGCATTATATATAAAACCATACACATCAGTCACACAAAGAAATGAAACTCTATCTAGTTATCACTACAGTTTCTAATAACCCGTGAGCTTACCGATCCATTGGCCCGTGGAGGGACGGATAAGGCAAGAGCAGATCCCGGCTCCAATCGCAGCAAACACTAAGGAAGCACCACACCGTACTGTGATACCCACAACTTTGTTTCCGAGATCCTTTGCTTGCTCTGATATCACGACTTGTTCCTCTTCTTCTTCTTCCTCCGGTTTAACATACCGGGACACGCATCTGTAGATTTCTATGCCCACTTGAACTGTCCATGATGCTGCAATCCCGAGAAAGTGTCCTGCATAAACACAACATATATATTATATAAGCTTCAAGAGAGTTATGGTGAAACTAAATAATGCTCGATCTGAGCTTTTGATGTTATTGTGATTCATACCTCTAAGAGTTGTCTGGCTGACTTTAAAGATGTATAAATGTGTGGACCACCCTCTCTCAGCCTTGCGTAAAGCTGACTGAGGAACATCTGCACATATACATACATTTATCCGATCAATCAGTTCACTGAACTAATTCTGGTCCACTGACTCTTTTACGTTATACATTATTGTAATGATGACTAGTTTGTTGTTGGAAGCCAAATGTAATGGAAGATGTATAGTAGTACCCTTTAAAAGTTTCCATGCCATACGCTGCGAGACATAACTAATAGCCAGCCTTTCAAGGACTCTTCGAGTGGTCACAACTGTAGTCTGCAATCACATCATGAAGCAACCCTTTAACGCGTATAGTTCAATTTCAAACCTCGATAGCAAAAGTTTTTTAAGATGCTTGATTACAACAAGAGAAAGATCTTGGAAATACTAACCTCACGGGCAATTTGCTTCACCGACTTTTTAAGAGGAACAATCAGGTCTGCGCGGGGTTTCTCCGCGTCATTGTTTAGGAAATTATCATCGTCCTCCTCTGAAGCCGTTTTAGGCTCCAACAGAGGCAAATAGAACATGAGGAGTGATCTCACGGTGGTCATCGCAAGCGCCCTGTACTCGAAGGCCGAGAAGATTGGTTTCGGCTGAATATTGTATTGCTTTGAAGTAGAAATGTATGTAAGTGGCTGACGCTGCAAGACATCCGCAGACATTTTCCGTATAGCAGCAAGGTAGTCATCATCTATTGCAGCTGCGGCATCACAATATGCAACTCGAGGCTCGAAAGAACTGTACCAATGAGCAGTTTTAGTCATTGAATAGGTTGAAAACTGAAACGTGCCATTAAGATGCCCCAAAGATCATAACAACGCTACACAAGCGAATTACGCAAATGACGTTGAAACACATAACTACTCTATGAAGTGTTGCTGATCATCGAGTATCCACTATCCACAAGACACATGAATGAAAAATCTATCAAGAGATCTATATAGATTACAAACAGAATCTTACTCACAAGAAACTATTCTTCAAACTGGATTGCAAAATATGATCTTCACTAGTAGTTGATGAAGGTTTGGATTAGTGTGTTATTTTAGCTAGATTGAAATAAAAAATCTGCAGCCTTTCTTATTCAAATCGAGAGTTAGGTGGTATATATTATCAGTTGTGAATTAGGCTTCTTTAACCCTAATCAAGAACAAAATTACAAATACTAGAAGAGATCCCAGTGATCAATCCGATAACCCTATTCATCACGATCCAGTCGAAACTGTGAAAGTCAAAACAAATCCAATCCGAGCACCAATACAGAGAGAGGCAACACATACCCGAAGAGAAACCTAGAAGCGAAAGGAGCACCGGCGGCAGCAGATACGGCGGCGGCAGAAGCGACGGCGGAGGCGGAAGACAGCGACGATGAGTGGAGACTATGTTTGGTTTGAGATTTCTTCAGTAGATCTAAAACTATAGCTATTCCCGCCATTACTACAAGAGGTTAATCGAATCTCCCGATGCCTCACAATTGGAAGAAGAAGAAGAATAAGATGAAGAAAGAAAGAGTAAATCTTCGCTTGCTTGTATTAACTTGTCGTAGATTTTCTCATCCAGTTTCCTTCCATTAAAATAATAATTTTCTCGAGAGAAAATAAAAAGTAATGATTCTGAACGTTTATAAACTTCTGGGTTTCTCGGTAGAGACAAGGTACACAGAAGAGTACAGAGAATAAAAGAAAAAGAGATCTGTTGACTTTCCCTTTTGACTTTCGATCATTTTATTGACGGGCTGGCCCATTAAAGGCCTATGATATCATAACTAAACCGACCCAATACCTTTATTTTCGTTATTTCGTTGTAAATGCACATTTTCCTTCTCTTTCATCAAGCAGCTGCTTTTGCCAAACCCCTGCAACTTTGGTAGAGAGAGAGAGAGAGAGAGAGAAAGAGATCATCCATGGGAATACCCTATTTTCTTCAAGTTCACCTTAATCAGAACTCATTTACTACCTCTTCATCTCCCTCTTCCGGGTTCTCCTTCTTCCAATCTCCGAAATCGATCGTCGTTGTTGTGTTTCAGCAGCTATTCTGAACTTTCTATTTCACCTTTTCTGCTTTCTCTGAATCCTTTGCTCCGCGGCGGACTAAAAACCTTAGAATCTGTACAAATCATCCTTCATTTCGTGTTTGAAACTTGAGATGCCCATTTCGTCTTCGTCATGCTTCAGCTGATTACCGCAATCAAAGCCGTATCTTGGTGTTTTGCGGCGCTCTCGAGCTTAGATCACTGTTTCCACGGCTTCGTCTCTGATCGCTCGGCGGATCTTCGGAACTTTCCTCTCACTGGGTTCTTGTCCGCCTTCTCTAATCCTAACTTCTTCTTCGTCCGGATTATTTGATTTCCCCCCAAGCTGGAGATCTGCAGAGACATCGACGATTTAGCTGTGTGTAGGAAGCTGTTTCTCAAGGAAAGGATGTTAATCAGAGTTATGCATTAGAGCGTTTTAAAAAAGTCTGCTTTAGGGTTTCCACGGCACAGGAGATTTAGGGGTATTGTTGGGTCAATTTTAGGGGTTTTCACGGTCATTGGTATATATAGATTGTAGAAAAACTGACAATTTCCAGAGAAGTCTGGGTTGCTCTAGAACTTGATATGAGATAAAGAATATGAACTGGCATCATCGACGCCTGTTATCTTTCAGTAGTTAGCTCTTTATCTGATGTAAAGAAAGGGTTCAGGGAGATTTGTGCTGTTGGGACCATTTGAATATGGAAGAAATGTGCGAGAATGATCATCATTTTGTGGAGTGGAAAGAGCATTTTGTCTCACAGGAGAGAGGGAACCGTGTTGTTCATTACTTCCTGAAGGATTCTGCGGGCGAATCCATCTTAGCTGTGGTTGGAACTGAGAGAAGTGTCAGACACATGTTCTATGTTGTTTCTGAGGATTTTGTGCGTATGTATGGTTCCGAGAATTCAATCCATGCTGGCTTCAAATGGAGGTCGAGAAGAGAGGTTGTGGACTGGCTCACTTCAATGCTCTCTAAACAAAGTACACAAGGAAACTGGTCGAGTACGCATTTATCTTTATCTTGTACCATATGTGAGTGGGGAGTGAATGTATTTTTTTCTATTTTTAACGAAGTTATTTACTGTCAATTACAGAGTCACCAAAATGTGAATCGGCGGAATCTAACGGGTCTCCTGAATTTCCAAGCAATGGATTTGCTGCTCAGCGAGCTCAAGCAACTGAAGAGGTGATGTTTAGCTGCTTAATGCTTGATACAATAGTCACTGCATTTTACTCACCTGTAATACTGATGAAGAGATATCTATTTCACAGGTCCGGCTTCCCATCAACTTGAGGGTTCACAACTGGGAGATTATGTGGTCAGGAACTTCCTGGATGTGTGGGAAACAGCTCAAACATTACCCATCATTTTGTAGGAATGGGACAACAATAGGGGTAAGTTGAATACTTGGCATCAGATAACTTTTGAGTATTCCCTGGAGAGGTGCTCATGCATGCATAGCTCAGTCTATGTTCATTTTTCATCGTGGTTTGGATCTGTACTCACTTAAAGGTGTATTTCTTTTTTTGGATTTTCAGGTGCAATCTTTTGTCTTTGTCATGAGCAAAGGGGAGGACAGGTACGTTGCATATCTGGAAGATATGTATGAGGACAAGCGTGGCCTAAAAAAGGTCAAGGCCAGGTGGTTTCACTACACAAAAGAAGTTAAGGGTGTAGTTGCTCTAAAAAACCCACACCCAAAAGAGGTTTTCATCACCCCTCACTCACAGGTCATCAGTGCAGAATGTGTTGATGGTCCTGCCACTGTCTTGACCCGCGAGCATTACGAGGAGTGTGTAGCGTCTTTTCCTAATTCTTTATTGGCAAGGGTACACATGTGCTATCGGCAATTTAGGAACAGCAAAGTTAAACCTTTTGAGTTGAGTAAACTGCGTGGATACTTGGACCAACCGATTATGTCTTGCTTAAGTTCGATGGAGGCTGGTTCTGTAGACTGTGCCGTGAGTAAAGAGGAAGATGAAGAATGTAGTGAGGGTGAGAATGTCATGGTTGGTGCTGAGAGGAGCAAGAGAAAACAAGCTGGAATGATGTCTAACCATCTCTTAACAACCTATGAATCTTCATGTAAGAGACTCAAAATCGATGCCTCGGGAAAAAGGTTTACTTCCCCAACTGACGTACAGAAAAATCCATGTTACAATGGAGTGATTAAGGCTGATGCAAAAATAGAGTTCCTGTGTCAAGATAGCGGTATTAGAGGCTGCTGGTTTAGATGCACTGTCCTGGAAGTATCAAGGAAACAGGTAAAACTCCAGTATGATGATATCGAGGACGAGGATGGATATGGAAACCTTGAGGTATATATTTGGTTTCCACATCCTTTGGATATTTGAATTTTGTTTCTATTAGAGTCTTATGTTCGTCACCTCATTTTTTCGAGTAGGAATGGGTGCCGGCTTTGAAGCCTGCTATGCCTGATAAGCTTGGTATGCGATCATCCAACCGCCCAACAATCCGGCCTGCTCCTGCTGATGCTAGAACAGCAAATATTTATCCTACAGTTGGTGAAGCTGTTGATGCGTGGTGGAATGATGGATGGTGGGAAGGTGTTGTAATTGCCACTGACAAACCGGACGCTGAGGACTTGCAAATATATATCCCTGGTATGATTTAGTGTTTTCCTATTTTCATCTTCCACTGTCTAGTTAACTTTAATTTCTCCATCTTTGTATTAGGACTGACATGTGTTTTTGTTGTCATGATGTTAGGGGAGAACTTATGCTTAACAGTGCACAGGAAGGATATTCGTATTTCAAGAGACTGGGTGGGAGACAGCTGGGTTGATATCGATCCTAAACCTGAGATACTCTCTCTTGTATCTTCTGATATTAGCCCCGAAGCCAAGCTTTCCATGTCGTCCACTCTTGCAAAAGATGCCAAGGCAAAGCCCATTGCTATGCCAGATATTGTCGAGGAGGCAAAACCTGAAGGCGACAAAGCTGACAATGCCCTTTTAGAAGAAGAGAACAAAGAGCATAAAGATGATGGGGTTGTTAAGGAGGATGATGAAAGCAGACTTTCAGTAGTAGAAGAGGATAAAGAGCTTGGGAGTAACCAAACTAATAACACCTATGTCAACCATGAAAATACCGTGCAGGACCACAAAGAAGATGATGATGTTACCCTTAATGATGAGAAGCCCCGCAAATCAGAATCAGTCTTCACCCTATCAAAAACTACTACCACGCTGGTGACAACGTAAAAGATGCTTTCTTGAGGTCATATATAATGATGGTAATTCTGGTACGTGCCACATCTCTGGGAAACTTTAATGTTTCTTTATGTATATATATTTGACATTAGTTTGCAGAAAGAAAAAAAAGAAGTGATTATGGGTTTGACTTGGTTGGTGCTGAGGAGAGAGGAGTAGGTGAAGGTTGTATAGAAAATTGAAGAGGCATGATTTTGGTGGTTGCATTTGTTTTAACCGATCTAAGAATAGGATTATTTAGGAGTTGGTTTATTTTTAAGTTTTGAGCAATGGTATTAGGGAAAAAGCCAAAAAAATAATCTCCATTTGTATTATTCCTATTATCACAAAACTCCTTGTAAACCACTTTGTATCATCATCAGCTTGTAAGAAAATTTATATCTTAAACCAAGAGCAACAACTTTTTGTTTATCAGTTTAAACACGCAGATTCTATTTCCCTCTTTCTCAGATTTAGTTGTAGTTACAAAAGGGTTACATATGTGTATAAAGTATAATTAGGTCATGGTCTCCTGTTAGCTTACAAAGGGGTTTAGAGTTTCAGCCATTGATCTCCATATATGAACTCTCTCCCAAGAAAAGGCTTGACTTCATCTTGTGTAAGATTCTTGGACCATGGTACTCGATCTCTTCTCTCTGCTCCTCTTCCCCTGCAATTATACTCCCCGAACAGTACCTTCCTGCAAAAATAACAAAAACTTTAAGACAGAACCGCTCTAAGTTTCAGACCTGAGTTTTCAGTTTCAAGAGTCTATAGTATTATTAACCTTTGCCTGTCAGTGTCGTTCCAGTCATTCCAGCCGACAGGAGTGATGACATCATCTATGAAACAGTTTGAATAGACAGTTCTCGAGTAGTTTCCCCAAGCTCTTCCCAAGTAAACCTTCCCTGTACCGCCGATGTCGCAGTTCACAAACGAGAAACCGGTATCATCATTCTCCATCATTCTATGGTGAGCTGCGATTGCGCCAAATCTCTTTGCGGTTGAGCGGATGTCACAGTCCTGTAGTTTCAGATCATATTATAAACACACACAGTCCTGTAGTTCTGATATACAGAAGGATTGAAAAAGAAAGATTATTCTTGCCTGGTAAAGTGATTTGGCGTTGCCAAAGATGAAATCTACATTTCCTTGGATATGGCATTGGTAAAAGTAGTGAGATCCAATTGCATCATTGAGAGTGTCTTGTGATCCCAAAACCCTAACTTTATAGAACATTGCCTTGTCCCCTGTAATCCTCAGCGCCACCGCTTGCTTCCCTAGCTCTCCCGGCTCTGCCACCACTGTGTTCTGCCCTCATTCCGAAAATTCAGAGAAGGAAAACATTCAAAATCCATAACCGGAAAAGATTTAGAAGAAACAAACAAAAGAAGAGGAAGAGAGGGTGGTTTTTTAGGACCTCGAAAGTGATGGCAGTGGCGCAGAAGAAATCAGAGTCAATGGAAACAGTGGCGGATCTGAAAGTGCCGAGTTCACCACCATTGCTGTCACGGTCTGAAGATTTATCGTTCCAACTAATGACTGTGTCTTCCGCATAACTCTCATTGCCTATGAACGAAATGTACGGTTTTGTCTTCGGCACAATCACCTTCTCCCTGCAACGACGTAGACATAATGTGCAATTTAGCACAAAACAGAGTATTATCACAGACAAAGATTCTGCGAAACAGAGTATGACACAGACAGAGATTCCGCTAAAAAACAGAGTGAGACCCACGATGACATTTAATAATCTGAACAGAAAATTTTGGAAAAGATGTAGAGAGAGAGAAGATAGAGAAATGTATTACAAAAACTACCCACGTAGCTAATGTGTAAGATTATCCCACTAACCCAAGAATTTAGCTTCAACTGCTTTAATTAGAATAAAACAAAACATTTCTAATTTTTCTGCGTCGAAACTAAAAAATAATTACTCGAAATTTTACTAGGAAAGACGAGATATTCGGAGAAAAAAAATCTCCACACTCTCAAAGACGTTTCTCAAGAAAAACAAACAAAAAACCCAACTGGATCTAAACGCGGTTTCTGTCTTAAATCAGAATCTTTTAATGTTTACCTGTAAATCCCAGGAAGAATGAAGATTTTGACTCTCTGTGAATTGGAATCAGGAACCATATCAACAGCTCCTTGAACTGTTACAGAGTCTCCTCTTCCTTTCTTATCAACCACAATCACTCTGCTCATATTCGCAGCCTTTGCGTTTGCGTTTGCATTTGTTATCATCCAATTATACAGCTTAATGCTAAAACTCTTGTCTGTTCCAACATCTTCCACAACTCTCAAGTCTTCCCAACTTATGTAACTCCTAGACTCGTGACCTTCATCAGCAATCTGCAACATTCTCGAAGTCCCTAACCCCAACAGAACCCAAAAACAGAGCAATAAAACCGCGGGAATAAAGGCCTCGACTTTCATGGAGTATGTCTCTGAAAAAAAAACGTAAATTAGATGAGAAGAAGAAGAAGAAAACAAAAAAAAGTTAGTGTGGAGTTTTCTCGAGCTCCGGAGCAAAACGTTTTAAGGTTTCTTCTTCTCCCTCTTTCGTGTGAGTGTGTGAGAAGAAACTTGGCAAAGTTTACGTTTTTATTTTGCCTTAGTTTTTTTTTTTTAATTTGGAGTCTTTTGGAGGTGAAAGGTCGTGTGGGAAAGATGGGTTTAATAAATACGAGGAGCCTCTCTCTTTGTTGTATTCTCTTTTTAAGCTCGTAACTCCTCATCAGATAAACTCTATCATATACTTAAAAATCAAATATACTGTATGCTCAAATGAAATTTAATTTATTTTTGGGACTCTTTTACCTCAGGTTATTATTTGTCAAATTTATTATATTCTCAAATTTGTAATTATCTTCTTGCAAAATCATATTTTCATGTTTTTAACAATTCATAGAATCAAAATTTAACTGTAAGAATCAATTTATATAAATTTTTATGCAACAAAATGTAAATGCTCGAACACTCCAATCTCCAATAACATAAGTTCATTTATTTTTATGTACATTTTTTTCTGATAATGTCGATTTTAACTAAAAGAATCTAATAGTCTAATTATTTAAAAATGCATTTTTATGACGATAAGTTTAAATCTTAAAATGATTACAAGATATTAATTTGAATATAGTCACTCGTCTTTGATAGTTATGATATTGTGTTTATTTGGAGTAGTATCTCCTAATTTAATCCAACTAACAAAGGATATTTAACCCAAATTCTAGCAGTATTTAATGTTTATCAATAAAAGTTTATTATGAAACATTATTATTCTATATGTTATAGCTAAATTATAACAGTAAATGTTATTAGAGCATTTAAAGCAAAATAACAAGTTTTTCTGAGTAACCATGATTGTTTCAAACGTTGTACAAAAATAGGTTTAAGAAACATACCATACAAAATATATTACAAAAATTTACCAAAAAACATTAACTCTTGATTAAACAGAATTTTAAGTTACAAACAATCTTATTACGAAGTCCCTAATTAATTAAGCAAACTAAGAAAAAAAAAATCATCTTATTACACATTTGTCATTCTTGAAAAGCCTTTCTGCTTAGGCAGTAGAGTTAGCATTTGGATTCTTGAAAAGCCTCTCTGCTTCGTAAGTAGAGTTTGCATATGTTGCTTTCATCTTCTTATAAACGTCTATTATTCCATTCTAGAGTCTCATGATAGATTTGATAAAAAAATATTTGTGTAATAACAATTTAGAGGGTAACAAGTTTTGAAACATCTATATATTTATGATTAGTAAATATTATTTTGTAAAATCTTCCTTTCTATGCAAACTGATGAATCAGTTGCCTCAAAGTATTATTTATATCATAAATAATTAAAAGAAATATTCTCGATGCAGAAAGTATATAATCTTATGAGTTTGGTTGCTTTTGAATGATATCACGTTAATAAAATAGTTTCGAGACGTTTTGTCCAGTTTACATGTTCGTTTTGGTTTGAATACTTTATTATGTCCATTTAGAAAATCAAATAATCAAATTGAAATACAATCTATTTTGCATTGTCTATTGTCTCAGTTTAAAACAAAGAAAAAGTAATGAAAAAAGGTTGTCAGAAGCTAAAGAAACTTATGGGACAAACTAAGTACTTATGGAGCATGTATATGATAACAAGGAAAACTATAAGTAGTAAGATGGAGTTGTTGCAACTTCTTATAGTAACTAGAAGGAACAAAAAAGTTTATTTTATCAGATTAACGAACGAGCATGTAGCAATATATGCATCATCATCTTTTTCTCCAGTGATCAGAAAAGTAATAACCGAGGGAAAATGAAAAGATGAATGCAATTTAGAAGAGAATTAATTAGAACTTAGAAGTGTGAGTAAAGAAGAATGAAATTGTAAGGGACATGATGGGGTTTTGGCATTAATGTTAATCATTATATTAGAGCTACGTTTACTCATAAGAGTTTCGTGTTCGGTGTTCATGCAAATGCAAAGATGGTTTATTTGGTAAATTATGTGCTGCTGTGTATGCCCGAGACCAGCTAATTTCACATATGGGCATATCTTCTCGTATAGGCTTGGGCCTTACCTAAATGGCCTCGAGACGTCGAGATAACTACAAAAACAAACGACATCGTTTAATGTGCATTACCCCGTTGACAAGAGTCTTGTGTTTTGTTCCCAAAAAGAATGTAAAACTAACAACAACTGTACACTGAACAAAGAAATCACCGAAGACAGGAAATAAAATATAAGTAGAAAAACCACAATGGAACTCACTTGAATCTTTCCTTCAACCTCTGTTTTACACAAGGATTAAACATAACAACATCACTTTACAAAATGTTCTTAGTATGAACTATATATGAGGCCAAAAAAATACACCACATAGATTGTGTTTCTCTTCTCCATGATTTACTAGAAAGAAGAGAGGAAAAAGAAGAAGAGTAAAACTTTACCACAAAACATTGCAGACAATTGCAGAACTTTTGAGTATAGACAAACCCCCAGAAAAGATTGCGGAAGCTCTCATCTGGTTAACAAAAGATGAATGATGTATGTTGCCACACCGGTTTCTCTGAAGTTTATTTTCCTGTAAATGTTTATAACTTGCAGAGACTGTGTGTCGTATTTCACAAGAAGTTAATGGTCACTCACAGTTCTGCTTATGAACCTCCTCTTTTACCGGTCTTGGAGCAATAAAGAAACTAAACTGTTGACTGTAATCAGGAACACAAGAGACTTCCCTCCTGGCATCATCATCCTCTCTTCTCATACTTGTTTGCAAACTCCTTGAGTAATAGTCTCTGACGAAAGGCGAGATACTTATCTACACTAGTCCCAGCCCATTGCTGACAGAAGCTTTCATCGTTTGGAACCAATGAGCTAAGAGGGAATGGCCCTTTCCGCACTTTCTTTAACTCAACCAGGAAGCGGTGACGTGGACGTATCCTTTGATCCAAGGACAAGCTCAAGTACATTGGGTATTTGGTCAAAATGTGCACTTCATTCTTGAGCTCATTGACCAAATACATGTACTTAGGCTTCAGATTATCTTCCAGTGAGAGAGACAAAACCTGTTAAGAACAATTTGAGAAGTGTTATAAGAGCAAAACTCAAGAGATTAAAGTTGCAAAAATGAATCAAGAAATCAACTAACCTGTGTAAGGCTGGTTAAGACTTTCAGTATATCAGAATTGCACATCCCAATGCTTCTAAGGAAATTGATCCGAGGGATGAATCCGTCATCGATACTGTAGTGAAGAAGCTGCGGATGTTTCTTCACCATCTTCACTACACTGTCCCTAGGCGCTCCTAACTCCTTGGAGAGGAACATGTAACGAGTGTTCCACGTTATATCGAGCCGCTGAATCAGAATCTGAGGGCTAAGCTGCACAACTTTGCCAACATCGTTTTCGTTAATCCCAACCTCTTCGATCAAATACCTTATCGTGGGTCTCAGGGAATTCTCGACGCTGTAAGAGAACAGAGACGGAGTTACAGCAACTATCTGTCCTATTTTGGAATTGGGAATCCCAAGACCCATCAGAAAGGAAATGTGAGCTTTGAGATTGTTCTCAACCGTGTATTGAAGTATCTGCGGCTGTCTCAACAGCATCCTCTTGATATCTCTGTGTTTAACACCGACACTCAACAAGTAGTCGAGTCTCTCTTGCGCTGATAAGACATTGATCTGAAGGGAAGGCATGTGCCTCTCATACATTTGAAGAAAGTGTGATTCTTTCAGACCGAACGTGCCCAAGTAGTCCAGAAGCGGTACCCATTTCGGATCTATATCGATCTCTTCTGAGAGCCGTGGGTATAGTTTCTCGACATGTTTCCTCGAGCTCACCTAATGAAACCAAAGAAAAATAACTAACTAAGTTGCTTTCTCAGCTGTATTCGTGCCTCCACCGAAGGAAATTACGCAATCTTTTTTTTTTTACCTTTCCTCGGCCATCTAAACGCCAAGAGTCCTTCTCCATCTTCTTCTTCTTCTCAGAGGCATTTCGAGTAATGTCAAGATCTAACTCGTCTTCATCAGTCTCGCTTTCTACAGGTTTCTCCCAAGTTTTCACGATCTCCTTCTTCACACCTTCACATTAGTAAATCCACATCTTAGCAATTCTAACGCAAATATGAAATTCAAAAGCACACATTCAACTCAATAACAAGTTACATGATAATAGCTTTCAAGAATACACAAACCTTTCTTAGCAATGGTTTGCTTCTGCGACTTGGGTTTCTTCTTTTCATACTCTGTGACCTCTGCGAAGTCATCCTAAAGAACAGAAAAACCCCAAATTTCACTCTCTTTAACAAGTTCCACTGATCACAACACTTTTCAAGAACAACAAAAACCCAGATTTCACTTCAGAATCAAGCTAATTTTTGCTGAATTCCCTACCCCAAAGCTCAAATCACACATCACTGACATTCTATAAGCTCGAATCCCACAGTCTCAACAAAATTTACAAGAAAAATAAATTCGATGAAGAGGAAAGAAACTGACGTTGAGTAACCAATCATCATCATCGTCACTCTCATCATCTAGCTCTTCATCTTCATCACTGTCATACGGAGATAACGTTTGACCATACTTAGACTTCTTCTTCGGGTTGATTATCTTCGGGTTCGAGTGCGCGTACGATACGACGAGCTCACCGATATTTCTGGCTCTCCGTCTCGTCGCCGGCGAATCTTTGCCGGAACCCAAAACAAAGAGAGGCGATTCCAACGAAAGAGTAAAGAGAATTGGTGGGTTTATAAGGCAGTACAATGAGAAACCCGCCATTTTCGGGAGAAAGAGGATAATGTAACAGAGATGTTATCCAATAAGGGCTATATCGAATATACCCTAAAACCCTAAATCCAAAATTCTTGTTTTTTTTTATTCGTAAGGTAAAAAAAAAAAAACTTTATTGAGCTTCACACAAAGACATTAATGGCGTTTACTCATTTCCCGTTTTAAAAACGACAGCGTTTAATATGTCGAAGATTTTTTTATACACGGCTTTTAAAAGCCACACGATGGCTTTTGCATTATTCTTGTGGTTGGCGCGAACCCGACCCGAAATCTATCGACGTGGCCCGATTTAAACGGGTCGTTTCCGAAATATTACCACACCCCCTCGGAGAATTCGATTTGTAAGAGTCACGGTACTATCGACAATGGAGGCTTCGTCTTCTTCACTATGTCGAGCTCCATCTTTGTGGAGCGTTGGATCAAGACCTCGTCAGATTAAATCGACGGCTAGTTTCGTTTCTCCGGGAAGAAGAAGCCACGGTTTGATGGTAGTAAGTAATCGACGGCTCAGAACGCCATCGGCTCTCGGTGAACTCGCTGACACGGTGGCGGAGACGGGCAAATCGGAGATTACGTGGCAGATTATAGTCGGAACTATCGGTAATTTAGCTAACATCTGGTGATGTAATTAATCCGTTAAATGTAATCTATTCTTATGCAAATCAATGGGATCTTGCAGCTGGAGTCACACCCTTTGTTGTCGCAGGTGTCGAATTCAGCAAAAGAATAGTATGTGATTAAACTATTTATATACACATACACATGTCTATGTATATTTGATGTTGTCCATTGAAATTGAGTTTTGGTTTCAGATTGCACAGAATAGATGTGAAGAATGTAGTGGATCAGGGCTTGTTTTTAGAGACAAAAAGTACTTTCGTTGTCCCGAGTGTGGTAAACTTCGATTTCTCTCTTTCTTTTACATTTTTGAGGAAACAATCCAGACAAACGTTGCTTCAGTGAAATTTTTACTTTTCTGGGATTTTGGAACCTGTTTGCAGGTGGGTTTCTTCCATGGCAGTCATGGAGAAGATTCTTTACAGGCTGATGATGATACATTTGAACATTTGTGTATATTTTCAACACATTTTGGAATTTCAAAAAACAAACAAATATGTTAAGAGATGGTTTGAAATCAAGACTAGTATCTCTCTCTCTATACCTTAGTGTGTCATATACATACATATATATATATATAGATAGATAGATCATAGATTACAGAGAACAATCTTTGTTCCATTCCTAACCTAAGAAGAATCAAGAGAAAAGAATGGAAGAAAAGAGCCTTTGTGATTCTTTTGTTGTGTTCCTCTTCTAGGGACCAGATTGTATTCTCCCTATGTTATGCGGATACGGGTAAGAGGACGAGATGTCACCTGTTTGAGCCTCGTTTCCGGTTTCTCTCGAGCCGTTGTATTGATGATTCATACCGGCGTTTAAGCTATTAGCATAGTAGGATCCCATGGGAGGTCCATGAACAAACCTGAATCCAGCATCTCCATTGGTTTGAGTTTGGTTTACAAACTCAGAACGAATATGATGTTGTTGTTGTTGCTGATGCGAATGCGAATGCTCGTTTGATGTAGTATGGTCAGGACCGCCAGATGCGATTCCAACACCCAAGTCGAGGCTGATCGTGTCAGAGGTCTCTTCTTGTCTGAATCTGGGTGCTATCATGTCATGGTTGTTGTTGCTGCTGTTGTTGTTAGACCTTGCGGTTGGTACGTCGTGATTGTGTTTGCCTTCGTATGTGGTTATGACAGCTTTTGGATCGTGCGACGCTCTCTCCACATGTTTTCTCACTGGGCATCCAGGAGCCGTGCATTTGTAATAGCTCCTACATCAAGCCCAATCAAAGATACATGCATTCACTATATGAGCATTCGACACTCATGTTCTAACCAAATCTCTTAAGTTTCTCAGTCTATTTGAAAAGTGCTGTGTACGAACCTGGGGTTCGGGTTGCCTCTTACAACTTTCTGCCCGTATTTACGCCACCTGTACCCATCATCCAAGATGTCAACTTCACTCAGAGTTTGAACAACGACGCGAGGCTCTCTTATGGGTTTAACAAGTGAAGTTATTTCCATGGCCCCATCCAACCTCCTGCATAATAGTCACAGGAAAAAGCATCCAGTGTGTGTGTGTGTCAAAACACCTTCACCAAGCAAGTAACCTTAAAGCTTTTGTTTTAACTCTAATACCTTCGTTTCGAGAACGGATCACTGTCGTCCCCGTCTTCGTTGTTCCGATTTGACATTGCAACGTCTCCACCATCTTCATTTGCAGAGACAGGAGATACATCTGGATTACCGTTTTGCTCGACAGGAGGAGACAAGTTGTATAAGCTACATCCCTTCTCTGTAGAGCAGAAAGAAACAAATGAAGTTCTACGATGTTGAAGAAGGAAAATAGTACAAACGTGTCTCTAGTTTTACGAATGTTTACCATCGCGGCCATTTAAAGAAGAATACTTGTCGAGTCTTTCTTCTTGTGCCGGTATAACAAAACCACCTGAGTTCCGGCGACTAGGTTGGGGTTTAGGATGTTCATGCGTTCCCTTGTATATAATCTCCGTAATCTGTCCGTCGTGGGACCTCTCGAACAGCTTTTTCACTTCACAGTTAGGATGTGTGCATTTATAATAGCTCCTTGGAAACTCACTTCCTTTGACGTGCTTCTGACCGTATTTTCTCCAGTTATAGCCATCATCAGCCAAGACCGGCGGTGCACTTCCTCTGGAATCGTTTTGAGATGCCTGGATTGATTCATCTGGCTCAGATCTCTCGGAGACTGATGGTGTTGTCTGATGAGGAACAGTTTGTCGGCTTATCTCACTCGAGGAAGCAACAGCCTCAGAGGCTGAAGTCGGCGAGTACTTGAAACTGTGGCCTTGGCTTTGAAACTGAAGCGGCGCTTCATTTCTATGCTCTGCATAGAACTTGAAATCAATAAAGCTGTTTTAGACAGCTACACCAAACAATGAACAAAGACTATACTCAAATGCGTTAAGCAACTAAAGCCAAAGGTCTTTAGATATTACCATAGTGGATGCAGGAGGTCTAAAATCAAATTCGCTGGACTTTTGCTCGTCTAAGATATTCTGATGGATTGTTCTTGCTGTGTTATAGGAGCTCGAATTAGCATGAACTGCCTGAGGCTTGAACAATGAACCAGTAGTAGGGGAAGGTTCTGCCTGAAAATTTTAAACAGAAAATGTTCCATTACCCAAACTGCATCAGCAACACCGATGGAAGAAGATGAGAGAAAAGGGTTTGATTCTAGTAATAGCAAGAATAAGAATCTGAGCCACAGTGTACATATATACATGAGCAACAAAATCATTTAGGTTTCTTTTTAAAAGCATTTCCCAAAGGTAAAGAAACAAATATAGAAACCGAATTGTCAAAGTTTTTTCCTTTGTGGGAAAAAAAGCAGAAAGCATCTTCACTAAAATGATGGAACCTCGATTAAGAAACCCTAGAAACTATTCTCCACAGAGAAAACAACAATGGGAGAATCGTAGCTCCAAGATTAACTAAGAATCTTAAAACACTAACATGAACAGTGTGAAGAATCTGAATCGATCCGACCAAAGAAACAAACAGTGGTCGTTTCTAATGACCTCAGATCTTAAAATGTCAACAGAAGATAGTAAGAGACGGTGTCTAAGAACACTCACTAACTAACCTTGATGTTGGAGAGAAGCACAGGAGACTCCAGAAACGAGGTCGGACTTAAACCAGGAGGAATATTGATGCAAGTCGATCTGGAGATCGGGAGTTTCGCCGGAGACATCAGCTTATACCTCGCCCCACCGCCGCCGCCGCAATCGGATGAATCGCGTCTCGATTCAGAGTGTCCCTGCGCAGAACAATCGACCCGAGACTCATTCCGGTTAGAAACATCCGGGTCCATTTTTCAGGCTTCGAGAAAGCGAATCAGAGGGTTGAATCGAGGAAGGATGAAGAAGTTTTGGTCTGTGTTAGTGAAGATTGTGGAGTGAGGGAAGAAAGAAGTTGACTTGACATCTGATCCGCTCTTTGTCTGTTCTCATTTTCATGATTTTCTCTTCTTCTTCTGCTTCTTCCTCTTTTTTTTTTTTTTCGGACATCTCTCGTTTATATTTTTATTTTAATATATCTTGTCATGATTTGTTATATTTTTAATATATGAAAAAAGGGAAATTGAGGACCTCCACAAACGACAAAAGTTAGTATTGTCGCTTTATATATTTCCTTTTTAAATAAAAAAATGGACGGAGATTTTTATGGTATCAAATACAAGGGAATTATTGAGCAGCTAATGATTTAAAGATTCGGGAATGATTAACTTGAACTAAATTTGGAAATTTGTCAGTCAATTTGTTTCAAGTGGCACACTAATTATTTATTTTTGTTTAGTGATTTGTTTGTCTATTTTGATTGGTAAGCTTTTACGTTTTTCATAATATATTGCTCATTTTGTTACCATTACAAATATTTAAGATGGGGCTTTTTTGTTACATAAACTGGGTTAATGTAAATTAAAAAACCACCGAAATTAGTTTTGAGGGCTTACGAGCCCAACAGTATTGGCCCATTTGGAGGGGAGGACATATAGCGCCTGGAATGTTGGCCCACGTTCTTCCTCGAACAAGTAGCCACCGCTTTGGCTGTCACCGGGGGAGTCTGCCTCGCCGGCGTGAGGAAAGAAGCCGAAGCAAGCTTCTGTTTTGTTTTTCGATCTGTTTCCATCAAACAAAAGCTTGGATCCAGCAACTCCGAAGTCTAGAACGGCGCACATTGTAAACATAAAACGGCACGACGACATATTTGACTTGCCATTTGATGGGAATTTCCCAACGAAACACTTGGGCAATGGAAGGTGAAGATGAAGATGAAGATGAAGATAATGATCACTTGGGCAACAAGGAAGTCTTCGTGCGTCTCTCTCTCTCTCTAGTCTCTATCCATCTCTATTTCCTTCTACGTGTTGCAGATTTGTAAAGTAAATGTATTGAGTGGTTTAAGAATCTACATGGCTTTTGCTCACTATATCAATCGCAGAACACAGTTCTCTGATTTTAGTATTTTCTTCTAATCGTCTCTAAAAAACACATGACAGGACGGTTATCTCGAAATTTCCGGTGATGATACAGCGGAGAGTCCCGATGGCAAGAGGAAAGTTGAAAGCGGATATGGTCTCTTCTGCGTCATGAGAAAGAGAGGTTGTAGGCACAACGATATGTTTATGGGTTTGGATTATGCAGAGAAAGGTGATGGTAACCATATAGAAGTTGAACAAGACGACTGCTTCTGCAGTGGCAGTGACAGTGACACAGACCTGTCTGAATGTTCAGAATTCGATGTTATATCACAAGAAGTTGTACAAGACAAGGATTTTATCTTCTTGTTATCTCCTGATGAGGTTCACGAGGAGGATGGTGTAAGGTCAAAAGAAGATGTGGTGTTATCATCTGTTTCTGCATCCCCAAATGATGAGATTGGCCTTGGAATCTCTCCAATACCTCTAGCGAAAACCTTTCAAGGACCTAATAGGCCGTGGTCAGTTTGTGGTTCTTTAGACGCAGGCAGAAACATACCTTCTCTATTGGGTGATGCTTCAGGTGCTTCTAGTTCCTTGGATGCACAACTTTCTCAAACCCCATCGACTCTGTACAAGGAAGAAGAAGTTGATGGTGAAGATGAGATTTCCTTTTCTGACGTTGATGCAATGGTAAAAACCTGGTTACTCTTCTTGACACAGAAGCATGTCAACTTGAATGCGTTTTCTCATCTCTGACTTCACTTGGAAATGTCTCCAGATACGCAGATTGAATCTGATCCCGGATGATTCAGATTCAAGCTTAAACAGGGAAGGTAACTCATATGGCTTTTGATGTCCAAACATGTTGCTTGTTCACTTTGTCTCAGCAATGGTCTGCTTTATGATCTCTAGAACGGAACATGTCTAAGCATCCAAGACATATATTACTTGGATCGGAACACTGCACAAGGACTTCAGTTCCAAGAGGAATCATGTCTCAACGGGCAATAGCGTTCCTGAGTTGTCGTGATTCAAAGCATTTTATTAGAAAACATGAGGTATGTAAGACAAAATCGTTTTCTATCTGGTCATGGAGTTTCCATCTCCTATCAAGTCCTCTTAGTTACATGTCACAAGCTCGTTTATCTGTCATAGGTAATCATTGGGAGATCTTATGATGGCATGAATGTTGACATTGACTTGGGTAAAGATGGTTATGGGAGCAAGATATCTCGGCGTCAGGTGATTCTCAAAGTTAAAATAAGTTCACTGATGAAAGTTCTTAATTACCATAATAATATGAATGTGCTATGCTTTTTCTTTCTCCATATTTTGTTTCACCTAGGCACTAGTGAAGCTAGAGAAGAACGGATCATTCTCTCTAAAGAACCTTGGAAAGCGACATATCCTTGTAAATGGGAAGAAGCTCAATACAGGACAGATTGTGTCCCTCACATCATGTAGTTCAGTCAATGTAAGCACTAGATTATGCTTTGTGTTATGCACGTTGATTGCATCTTTCTATTAACTAAATAAAAACTTCCTAAGTTGTGCAGATCAGAGGAATAGTCTTTGAGTTCAAGATTAACAAAGAAGCAGTGAGACAGTTCTTGAAGAACAATACACGGAGAAACAGCGAGGAAGACACCAAATTCAGATGGTGCGAATAGATTATTGTTAGTTCCTTTTGCCAACGACAATAAGTGATCCCATCCATCATTTGAACATTTTTGTCTTCTTCCATTTATTTATAAGTTAGTTAGAGCCAATGATTTGCAGCCTTTGCTTTCTAATTACTTCTTTAAAGTGTTTTCTCTCTTTTTTCTGTAAAAAAAAAACCGAGAAATTAAGATTTTGACAATATGTGGTCAAATGGGTATGTCATGTTTTAGAGGACAACTACAAATTTATTAATTCTTAGCCGTATCTGTCTATGTGTGACTAGTGAATCGGTAATATGCCTAGTAATCTGAAATCACGAGATGTTCTGCCTTTGGAAATCTAAAGAGAAGAATCTAAAAGCTCTTCTTACATCTGAGTTATGGTGGTTGTTGATAGGGCCAACTACACCGCACTGTTCAGTACTTGTCTTCACACATATCTCTGATGGACCATCACACACATGATAGAATTTTACATTTTCTTACATCATATAAATTAATATCTACAAATATCAAATCAATACTATATAAGTTCTTCAAGTGTCAGAACAACGTTCAGTAGATCTGTCACACGCCTTGCTCCGCTCATCCAACGGTCCTATTCACTCCAAACTCTCTCTTCTTCTTCTTCTTCAGTGTGTCTGTGCAGCCAAAAATGGCTTCCCTGCTTCTTTCTTTTGTGCTGCTTCTTTTGCTCACTGTTTCTTCAGCGGAGTCCAAGACTTTCTGGGCCGACGTGGCAGCTCTTAAGGAGTTCAAGAACTCGGTCGATCCCAAATCGATAAGCCCTGGCTCTTGTCTCAGTTCCTGGGATTTCTCCGTCGATCCCTGCGACGGTTTGTCCGGCGAGACATTCACCTGTGGTTTCCGTTGCGACTCCGTCGTTTCCGGATCGGGTCGGGTCACGGAGCTAATTCTCGACCAAGCCGGCTACTCCGGCTCCCTCTCCTCCGTCTCCTTCAACTTTCCTTATCTCCAGGCCTTCGATCTCTCCGGCAACTACCTCTCCGGTCCGCTTCCCGACTCTCTCTCCAATCTCACCCGCCTCACCCGCCTCTTCCTCGCCGGAAACTCCTTCTCAGGATCCATACCCGATTCTCTCGGGTCCATGCCGGTTCTGGAGGAGCTCCTCCTCGACAACAACCGCCTCGACGGCTCCGTTCCGGCGAGTTTCAACGGTCTAACCAGCCTGAAACGGCTAGAAATCCAGCTCAACAACATCTCCGGCAAATTTCCCGATCTGAGTTCGCTCAAGAACCTCTACTACCTAGACGCGAGCGATAACCGGATCTCCGGTCCGGTTCCGTCGTCGTTGCCGGAATCGGTAGTCCAAATCTCCATGCGAAACAACCTCATGGAAGGAACAATCCCGGAGAGCTTCAGAAAGTTAAACTCTGTAGAAGTTGTGGATCTTAGCAACAACAAACTCAGTGGCTCGATCCCATCATTCATTTTCACTCACCAAACTCTGCAGCAGCTAACACTCTCCTTCAATGGCTTCACCTCCCTGGATTCACCTTACTACTCACCCTTGGGTCTCCCCAGCGAGCTAATATCCGTGGATCTCAGCAACAACCAGATCCAAGGCCCATTACCTCTGTTCTTGGGTCTACTACCGAAGCTCTCGGCCTTGTCGTTGGAGAAGAACAGCTTCTCCGGTATGATTCCGACCCAGTACGTCTGGAAAACCGTATCGCCCGGATCCGGATACGCCGGGTTTCAGAGGCTATTACTAGGCGGCAATTACTTATTCGGAGTCGTACCGGGTCCTTTGATGACGCTCAAGCCTGGATCAAGGAACGTGCAGCTCGAAGGAAACTGCTTCTCGTGGTGTCCGGCGACGTTTTTCTTCTGCCGGGGACAAGAACAGAGATCTCTTACGGAATGCAGAAAGTTTAGTCGTGTAATTCCTTGATTACTAATTAATCCACATTCTCTTTTTCTTTATATACTTCTTTTGTCTTGAATTATCCGGTCGGGCCGGATCTTTATGATCAGATGATGAAGCTTAACCCGAAGCTTAAAATTTGATTAATTAATTGAAAATGCCGTACCGTTGGGAGAAACAATTAAGGGCGGTGATATCGTATCTCTATGTAGTAGTACTCTAATATCATGTAATGACAAATTAATTTTATAAGAAGTTAAATACATAGATGCGTAATGGTGAGCAGCACTGACCATGCATGCATATGTTTTCTGGCCCTCACATAATAATTCGTCGCTTTCGGGCCCAGTTGATGATTAGATCAGAGATGATGATGACTCATCTCTTCGCGTATTGTATATGGTGGGTTTTGGATTCTGTTTGACGAGCAAGGAGAGTTTGTTTGGGACAGAAGTTCTTCTGATTCTGAATGTAGTTTCTTTAATTGGGAGATTTGTGAGAGTTCTGAATGTAGTTTCCCTGGGCTTTCCACTTTGGGCTTAATTAATAATATTTGCTCCAGAAGTGATTAGTTGAAGATCTTCATCTCTCTTTTATTGGTTAGAGTATAAAACTCACAAACAAGTAACCCCAATTAAAATAAAAGTAGCAAAACTTATACCGATATACGGTCACATCAATAATTTAAGATCCACTGCCACACTAATCTAAAATTCTGCAAATTCTACTTCCCTCTATCGTTTGGTTTGTTATCTTTTTAGATGAAGATGCAAACAACAGAAATAACCGAACACTAGTTTTTTGGGCTTTCCACTCTGGGCCCAATTAGTTGAGCCCATCTATATCATATCATACGATAAACCCCGAAGATAGAAGAAAATGATTTTGAATGGGTTTGATACTCCCAAGTCCCAAGTCCCAGGACCAAACACCCAAGTTATATATCATCAGATCAACAAGACATTGCCTTCATGAGGAAAGTGCCGCCTACATCATTTTGCTATTCTCAAAGTTCAACACTAGTAAAGCTCAAAGATTATTATAATTTTCATTTTCACTTTCAATAAAGAAAGTGGCGCAGCGCCTACATCATTTTGGTATTCTCTAATCATCTCATAGATTTATTAATTTTCACTTTCAGTAAAGCTCTTGCACATAAATTTAGATTTCCTGCATCTCCGTTTCATATACAAAAGAAAGATTTACTTTTCTTTTATCGTAATGCTTGTTAGTTTTTTAAATATAAAAAAAAAAACATTGAAAGGTGAGGTAGTGCATGGCACAAGTAAGCCTACCATGGAGTATTTGGTATTGGTCAATTGTTCTTTTACAGTTTGGGACCGGTTATAATGAATCGATCCGGTTCGCAGAAGGACAAGGACCCGTTGAGGAAAGTCACAAGGACATGGTCGACGCTTACTCTTCGTCTACATCATCGTTTACATGCCAGATATGTATCATTTGTTTTTTTAGTTAACTTTTCCATCTACTTATGTATTTATGTTGTGTCTTACAGTAGCTTATTTCTACGATTTTATGATGACGATTTCGATAAATCGTTCCAACCACCAATGGTATCATATACATCATGTATGAGTGCTACTTGCTGAGTGGGTCATGAACAATTTGTTTGCCTTTTCCTAGAAAACATAACAATTGCTTTTATTAAAAATTTCTTAGAATTTAGTTCAGTTAATCTACAATGTTCCTGGCCGTGTCGGAATCAGCTTTCTTGCCACTTTTTAGTTGTCACGAATTTGAAGAAAGAAAGAAAGAAAAAAGGGCAAAATAAATAAATGCAAACATCATCATTCGTGTATTCCACTCCACTTCTCATTTAAATACAGTTTTTAACTTATTGTTCCCTTTTGTTTTTGTCAACTTATTATTCCCTTAATCCCTTATATAAAGTTATTTTATAAGAAGATGTGATCGTATTAAAAACAGGTAAATGCCTATCCAAGTATAACTTCCGATAACACATAATATAACTACTATATTAGGGTGAAAACTAAGCAAGAAACAAAAATATCTATTCTTTTAACATCAAAATATCTTTTAGCAAAAACTACGTTGAAATATATATCAAGAAAAGATATTTGGTAAGAAAAAAAGAATGAAATAATGTGGATGTTCACATGCAAACAAATAAATATACATGCATTTGACATAAATGGAAGCAAGGAAGGTAACAAGTTGGGCAAAAACCTTTTAATATGAGAGAGTTAACGTGAGCCGAGGAAGATCACAATTCACAGCTTCAAAGTTCACATGCAGCTTTGCTCTTTTTATAAACTAAGTAACTAACATCACAGACATCACTCAGGCTATAAGCCTATAAGGCAGCTATTAGGCAGAGTCCACGTTTTTCATGCAAAATTTTTCGAAGTAAATGTACATTTGTTATACAAACAAAAAATGGTTTTAAACTACAAAAGAGTTTTGCATAAATTTCATTTAGCAGGTTGAGCTTATAAGAAAAACAAAATATAAATATTTTCAAACTGCCAAAAATAAAAATAGGCCTTTAACATATTTTATATACAGTAAAGCTTCTATAAATTAATAATGCTGAAACTCTCAAATTTTATTAATTTATAGAGTTATTAATTAATCGATAAATTAATAATTATTTTTAGTTTGAATTTTTAATATTCATCAAAAAATAAAATTAATATTTTTAACAATGTAAAATTCATTCAAAAAATATCTTACTAATGAATTTTGAAGATAAACAAAACAAATTTCATAAAATTGAAAAATAATATTATCATAGTTTATTATATTATATTATTAATATGTCTAAATATATAATTATTAATTTATATTATTATTGTGATCATATTTTTACATAGAACTTTCAAAAAAACTATTATTTTATTATCTTATCGAATTTTGTTAATTTTTACACTGACCCGACTTGTGATCGGTAAAAATTATTAATTTATAGTGATTATTAATTTATCGAATATTAATTTATAAAAGTTCTACTGTATCTTATCTTATTAATTTTTTTTGCGAAAATTATGTTGCTAATTTATGGGTCTCAACTTTTTCTCACGATGTATCACGTTTCTAATATATAGGTTATAATAGTGTTAGCTAGCAACTAGAAGTGTTTAATTTGAATTTTGATTTGATCTGAGATTTGATGGTTCTAAAAGATAAGTAACTAAAGTTTAACAAGATCTAATATGGATCCTTTAGTACTGATTTGATTTCGGGTCTGTTTCCATAAAAGATATCTTTAATTTAATTTGTTTATTTTTGCTTCTTCTTTTATTTTTGGTAATTTTTATTTAGTTTACTATATAGTAAACATTTTTTCATTTTTATTTGAAAAAATAAAACCATTTCACAAAACTAAAATCGTTGATTTTATTGAAGATTTATTCATTTTGGATTTGATTGGTTACTGCTGTAGCTTTAATTTTTTTTATTGTAGAAATAAATCTGTAAGTTTTTTTGCTGTGGCTGTAGATTTTAATTCTGTAGATTTTAGTGCTGTAGGATTATTAATTTTTCAAAGTCCAAATTTTTTCCTTTACATTTTTTGCTTTCTACAGCCAAAAAAATTAAAAAAGAAAAAAAATATATATAGCTTTAAAAAAAATATGTAAAGTATGATTGGGAAAAAATTAATGCTTTAAAAAAATTATGGCTATGTACAAATTCTACAGCACTTACCAATCAAGCCTTTTGAAATTTATATTATCTAATTTTGTGTTACAATTAACAACTTGGACCTAAACTGAAATGTATAACCGCACAATAATAAAAAATAAAAATAATTAACTAAGAAGATTTTTAAAATAGAAAATTTAAAATTTGCTATGAAAATTTGTTTTGAACGGATTGGAAATTTGTTTTGAACGGATTGGAGCTAATCTTTAACATAACGAAAACTGTTAATTATACGGAAAAAAAATCTAGAAAGGAATTTTTAGAACAATTTTTCCAACATTTTGTTAAATTTTTGGTGACTGATACACTATAAGACTATAAGTCTAATCCTTTTGAAATTCCAAATTTCAATCATCTAATCTATATTTTTATCACATACATGATTACATTCATCTATATGATCAAATTATGAGCGGAACAAAAATCCCAATTAAAAATAGAAGAATATGTACAGGGTAAAATATACTGTTACTTGAAAAATTTATTGGAAAGTCAAACATACGTTCTTCGCTTTGACTAGAGAGCCGCCTTCGTGCTTTGAAAATTTCAGAAACCTCCACAATTCTCTAATTTCATCATGATCGTCCAAATGACGAAACCGACGGTCTAGATCGGTCAGACTCCTCTCTTCAGGCACAGAATGTTTGACTTTAATTCTGTAAAAGTCTACGAAATTATAGAAGTAAATCATATTCTTATCGTAATTACTGTTGGTTTTGCGTTTTGACACAAATTTTCTCTATTTGCATTTAGGACTTTCTAAGCTTTTAGTTTTTTTTTTTTTATAATTTTAATTTGGAATCAAAATTTAATATGTTTTTATTTCCGTAATAAATTCGTTGGCAACGGATTTATAAAACCCTAAACACAATTAGTTTAATACTCTTCAGCCTCAGGAGTCTCTCAGTTCCAGATACGCATAAATATTTGTTTTAAAATCTTCACTATATATTAAAAATCGCCCACAATCTCTTCCGCTTCTTTCGTCTTCAAAAGCTTTCTCTAATCTCCCAACGCTACGCTCTACGTTTGCTTCCTTTACACAGCGAAAGCGAAAGCTCAGCGAGAAGGATTTCGATTTTTCATTCTCTCCGATTCAATCGATTTTGATGGTATCTTCTTCGGTCTCTCAATGAATTTCGCTTCTTCTTCGCTTTTGTTTTGCTGTTAATTGTTTCGGCTTCTGAAACTTGCTTAGCCGGCAGAGATTTTTTGGGGTTTTTTTGCCTATCAATGTCATTTTTTTAGGGTTCTTATGTTTGCTGATTCGATTTGCTCGATTTAGGTGACTAAGGTTTCCCTTCAGCTTCGCTTCCGTGAAATCTTCGATTTGATACTAGTGCAAAAACTGAATCTCGGGCTCTCGATTCGCTGATTCTGTGGTTTCTAGGTTTCTTAGCTTTATGCTGAATCGTGTTAGATTCCGAAATACTAAAACCGTGAAATCTTTTTTTGCCGCTTTGTGAATTCTGATTAGCCGTTTAATCAGAATCTCACTCTGTTTCTGCTAAACAGATGCCCTGTGAGAGCTCGGATCCGTTAGACAAGGACTCGGAGCCTTTCGTGGAGGCGGATCCGACCGGTAGATACGGCCGGTACGATGAGCTCCTGGGCTCAGGCGCCGTGAAAAAAGTCTACAGGGCCTTTGACCAAGAGGAAGGCATAGAAGTCGCGTGGAACCAAGTCAAGCTGAGATCTTTCTCCGACGACCCAGCAATGATAGAGAGGCTTTACTCGGAGGTCAGGTTGCTCAAGAGCCTGAAGAACAATAACATCATCGCCTTGTACAAGGTGTGGAGGGAGGAGAAGAACAACACCTTGAACTTCATCACCGAGATTTGCACCTCCGGGAACCTGAGAGAGTACCGGAAGAAGCACAGGCACGTCTCTATGAGAGCTTTGAAGAAGTGGTCGAAGCAGATACTCAAAGGCTTGGATTACCTCCACACACACGAGCCTTGCATCATCCACAGAGACCTCAACTGCAGCAATGTTTTCGTCAATGGAAACATCGGCCAGGTAATGTATACATTGTTGTCAAAAAGTCACTCTTTCGTTGGATTAATGATTGAGTTTTGGCGTCTTGAATGAAAACCAGGTGAAGATTGGTGATCTGGGTTTAGCTGCAATCGTGGGGAAGAACCATATAGCTCACTCGATCCTAGGGACACCAGAGTTCATGGCTCCTGAGCTATACGAGGAGAATTACACCGAGATGGTTGACATTTACTCGTACGGGATGTGCGTGTTGGAGCTAGTGTCACTCGAGATACCATACAGCGAATGCGACAGCGTCGCCAAGATATACAAAAGGGTGAGCAATGGAGTGAAACCAGAGGCTCTGAACAAAGTAAAGGATGTAGAAGCCAAGAGCTTTATTGAGAAGTGCATTGCGCAGCCAAATGCTAGACCTTCTGCAGCTGAGCTGCTTCGTGACCCATTCTTCGATGGGATAGTAGATGATGACGAAGAAGGAGAAAACAATGAAAATAATGGAACTGGTCGTATTGTTTCTTGATGATTGGGATACAAATGACATGTAGTTTGTTTCTTGTTGTCTTATGAGTTCGAGTCTATGTTACAGTTTGGGAGAAGGCATTGTTTAGTTTTTTTTTTTCTCCTTTCATATCTTTTTCATTTTGTTTGTTTGTACATAACTGTTTGATTCGACATGGAAATTACACAGTTGTTTTTCCTATTAGTTTATAACTGATTCCAAACATGAGACAGAGCGGAATCTGTAAATTTATTTGAATCTTTGAGAAACTTTTGTAAATTTATAATTTGTTTTATGTTCTACCATTTGCAATACCATAATTCCTCGTTGAAGGATAAACTTTCTAAGCTCTTGTTTTAAACATACTTAAGGCCAAATCTCTCTCAACACATGATCCTTTTTAATTGTCAGAGCGTATTGTTAAGGAAAAGTTGGTTTATATTGTTTTTTGTTCGGGCCAGTTCCCCTAGGATCTTGATATGACTATGTGTATGGGCCTTAGTTTTTATTGAATTCAAAGAGGATGTAAATGTAAAACAAATCGTAATGCTTTTCTTCACAAATTTCTTCAAAGAGCTCTTTATTTTTTCACGAGTTATGATTTCCAAATTCATACCGGTTTCTGGATTAATCTCTACATGATTCGAAAGCGGAATAATACATATAGTGATAATATAGGTCTCATTTAGAAATTTATTGACTTATTAAAAAAACAAATTACAACATGTACTTCTTTAATTTACATACCGGTCATGCTTACTCATTCTACCATTCCTTTTCCTTTTGTATTCCTCTTTGTTTCGGCCTATGTACTCTTACACACGTCAGTAGATTTAATTCAAGTTGCTGAGCAGTTATGTTCTTTAACGCACGTCATGTTTATTATCTGCAGCTGTGTTCGTAGCTTGAGAATGCTTTCACGTTGCTATGCCCACTAACAATATGTATTTACTATTAGGAGATAGTCAAATATTTCTATATATCTGACTAGTCAACAATATACATACATATTTAAGCATGGGACATTATTCGATTTTCTGTGGAATGGTGATCCAATATGGAGGACAATATATGTTGTTGACCTTGTGCTAGCTAGCTTTTGTTCTTGAATCCCAAAAGCTTATAATTTTGTTTACTAAGAGAAAATGTGTTTTGATTTGGAAGTATGTTATTTTTCTCTTAGTTTTCACTTTTCAACAACTCATATGCATATACAATCTACTGGGTTTAAATGTAGATGGATGAACGGAACTAATACGCTAACTAGTCCTTTAGCAAAAAAATAATAATATTAGATTAGTCTTAGGTTTAGAGATTGATCCTACTACACTACCGAGATGTTTTTTTTTAACTCAACTACGAGAATCATATCTATGACCCTTAACTAACACTAGATTTTTGGTGAAATAATTTGTTTTTTTACTTATCCCTACACCAAAAAGAAAAACAAAAACAATATTCAAAAACCAGGATTAGGAAAAAGAAGAAAGAAATTAGAATATGTGGTTATGTGAAAGTGTTGTCACGCTGAAAGTTGTTGGGGGCTTTGATAGCTACCGTTCACACCAAAGTTTACGTTTTCCTTATTTATTTTCGTCCCCTATTTTTTGTTTTTTTTGTTATGTTTCTAAATTTTAACATCGGCACTATGAACAACAAAGTCCAAATTGTAATAAAGCTTAAGTTATGAAAATGGTTGATAAAAAAAAACTTATAAAACGTTCTTGATGACAAAAATTAAAGTTATATCACTTTTGCTTGTCTAATTTCGGTTGCCAACTTATCTGTCCATCTCTAAACCATACTGCATACATTATGTTTTTGATGTGGATTTGGAAAAATGTGATCGGAAAATATATAAATTCAACGATAAAATAACATCAAAACTAAACAAAGAGAAAGTTGTATGGAGTTTGTGGCTTGTGAGTATGATACCATGTCAAAATACCAAAACAACAGAAATTATGAAGATGGATATGTGAAAATAAAAATGCAGAATTTCTGATTATAAAATATTATTTCATATCACGATCATAAAACGATCAAAGCTGAACGGTGTGAAAAATATGCGTGGTGTATCACAACAAAATTAGGTAAGAAGGAAATCTTAAATAATTTTTTTTTTCCAAAAGTTGTTCTTGCAAGTTGATAAAGCTTGCAACAATTTTAAAAGAAGAGAGAAAATAAAAAGAGAAACCATATTATTATAATCTTAAAAGCGACAACTTTGCATGAAAATTTTAAATTCCAAAAAGTTGTTGTCCTTCGCATAATCACTCACCACCACCATCATGTTACACCAAGAAAATAGTTGTTTCAATCTAACATAATTATATACAAATTATAAATTTAATAAAATATCACTAGACAAACATTTATTTTATCCCAACGAATTAATACATGGTATACTCAATATGTTTCCTATTTATTTGTGATTTTATATCTTTACCCATATATATATATTTTCTTTTGATAAAAATGCACTGTCATGATTCATGAACCCAGTTTGTTTTCAACATTTCCTGACTTATTCACAACATATGATGATATGATCTAATGAATTTTTTATATATATGAAAAATAACTAAAAGTGAGTTATCTAAAAGTGAGTTATATATAAGACTAGTATCTATAAGAACTCCAAATGTTTCAAGAGTTGATTATTGTTTATAATGATGCATCCTTTAGATACTCCATTAAACATTACGTTCACAAACAAAAGAAAATACTCTTTTACCAAAAAAAAAAAAAATACTCCGTAAACATCATTATGCCAGAAAGATCCTTTAGGCTAGACTTTGCCTACACACAAAACAAGTTGTGTATTTATTTTGTTTTTTTAGGTCCCTATATTATTTTTCCAATGAACGAGTATTATTATACTGAATTACAGTTAGTTTTTGTTTTTATGTCTAAAAAAAGATTGTTTCAATTGCATTAAAGTTTTGAACTCCAGATGTCAGGACACCAGTCAGAATCTCTGACACAACTGAGTTAAAATTAAGGTTCCCCAAGTATTATATTCACCATTTTTCAGTGAAATAGAATGGTACTGTTAGAAAAACAATGTTCAAAAATATATAAAAAACTAAGAAAAATACATCTCATATGCTGTAGAGTTTGTAATGAATAAATGATATCTAATGACATTTAGTTATCGCGACTAATTTTAGTCTAGTTAGAATTGGTGGAAAGAATTTGTTAGAATAACAAGTCTTTTAAAACAATATGGCAAAGTGTTAAAATAAAGCAATTAGAATAAAATTTCAAAGTAATCTAGTATTGTTTATTTGAAAAATTAGGTCAGACATACATGATATATTATGGGTCTCCATGATAGTAATAGTTTAGTCTTAATTCAAAAATAGATTACTCTCATTTGCAATAAGTTTAGGCTTAAATAATTAATATGTCGAGATTCTTTGGAAACATATTAAAATTCGCACGTTGTTATTTTTCTTCAATATTATTTCTCTATGTTAATTTAGATTTATTTTTTTTAAATAAAATTAATAAACAAATGAGGTCATCATCTTCTGTCATTTCTCTTTAGGACCTCTCTGTCTCTTACAAATCCCACCCCTCAAAAAAAGATGCTTAAACCATAAGAAAGCCAAATCTCAAATCTTTTGCACTATTATTATATGTGAGACTATTGTTCTCTCTTACTTTTTAATCTTATTTTAATTATCAAAGAACTCTTCTTAATGGATTATTAAAGAAAACCATTTACAGATATCAAAAGGAAAGGTTTTTAATAAGATTGAGAGAGAGAGAGAGAGAGAGAGAGGCAATCGTGATAAGAGAACCCATAGGCCCTAGAGAGAGAGAGAGAGAGAGAGATGATGTTCTTTATAGGATGAACAAAACATCCTCTGTTTCTCTATTCTTCTTTTCTCTTCACATTTCCTCATCTGGGTCATCTCCAAAAATGGTGAATTTTTTTTTTTTTTTTTCATTTTTCTCAGAGTTCAAACTTTGTTATTCCTTCATTAATCTAGCGTTTAGTCATTGCCCCCCATTTTTTCTGCCGTTATTCTTCTTAATGATTTTTCCGTTTCTGGGTTTTTGGTTTTATGGTTTCGATGATGCATTTTTTCAGATTTGAGGATCACCCAATTTCGCTATTTGATCAGGACAAGAACAAAAAGATCAGATTCCGTCTAGATTTGCAGACAACCAAAAGTATGTTCCATCTTTGCTGAAAACTCATCAGAAATTCAGAATCTCGGCCTACACAGATTGTTTGGGATTGAAGTTGTTTAATTTTTTGGAATTTTGAGCAGGAGCTAATAAGAGATGGAATCGGATCTGGGGAAGCTCTTCATTGGTGGGATTTCGTGGGACACAGATGAAGAAAAGCTAAGAGACTATTTTAGCAAGTACGGTGATGTGGTTGAAGCTGTGATCATGAGAGACCGTGCCACAGGACGTGCTCGTGGCTTCGGATTCATCGTCTTCGCAGATCCTTCTGTCGCAGAGAGAGTGATCATGGAGAAACACATCATCGATGGCCGCACGGTTAGTATTACTGAATCATCAAAATCACCCTCTTCAATTTCCAGAACGAATCTCGAGCATCAAAAAAGCTCAGATCTTTAAGGATCTTCTTGGAAATGCACATTAGCTTTCGTATTGATCTGATTGGGAACTTTGGAAGTGGCAACAATGTTTTTAGAGTGAAAGTATTTGTTTTTTTTTTCGAATTTTCAGGTTGAGGCGAAGAAGGCCGTGCCTAGAGATGACCAGCAAGTGTTGAAACGGCACGCAAGTCCTATACACCTTATGTCACCTGTTCATGGTGGTGGTGGCAGGACAAAGAAGATCTTTGTAGGAGGATTACCGTCAAGCATCACGGAGGCGGAGTTCAAGAACTACTTTGATCAGTTTGGTACAATTGCTGATGTTGTGGTGATGTATGATCACAACACGCAGAGGCCAAGAGGGTTTGGCTTCATCACATTTGATTCAGATGATGCTGTTGATAGGGTTCTCCACAAGACCTTCCATGAGCTCAATGGGAAACTAGTCGAGGTCAAAAGAGCTGTTCCCAAGGAGGTCTCTCCGGTTTCTAATAACCGAAGCCCGCTTCCTGGTCCTGGTTATGGCACCAACTCTAATAGGATCTCTGGTAATAGCTACTTTAATAATTTTGCTCCTGGTCCTGTTTACTATAACAATCTAGGCTCTGTTGGTGGCCGGTTTAGTCCTGTTATCGGTAGCGGTAGGAATCCGGTTTCTGGTTTCGGCCTCGGTTTGAATCATGAGTTGAGTTTGAACTTGAATCAAAGCTACAATGATGGAACAACCTCTACGTTTGGGTTTAACCGGATTCCGAGCAACCCTTACTTCAACGGCGGTTCACCAAACCGTTACACCTCTCCTATAGGGCAGAACAGAACCGAGTCTCCTTACAATCCGAACAATAGAGACTTGTGGGGAAACAGAACCGAGGCTGCTGGTCCCGGCTGGAACTTGGATGTGTCGTCTATTGGAAACAACAGAGGGAGCTGGGGACTTGCTTCTTCTGCTGCGGTTGGTAATGATAACAATGGCTACGGAAGAAACTTTGGGACGGGTTCTGGACTTTCTGCGTCGCCGTTTAACGGTTTTGAAGGTTCTATAGGTGAATTGTACAGAGGCAGCTCGGTTTACAGCGACTCAACGTGGCAGCAGCAGCAGCAGCAGCAGCTACCACATCAGTCTTCTCACGAGCTAGACGCTTTGTCTCGCTCGTATGGTTATGACATTGACAATGTAGTTTCAGACCCATCTGCAAATGACTCAGAAGGTTACAATGGAAGTTACAATGTTGGAAATAGACAAACTAATAGAGGTAACAACTCACTTTAACTTTCTTGTTCTTAAAAAAGACTCTTTAACTTTGATCACGACTGAAATGTTGTGTGTTTTGTTTAGGTATTGCGGCATAGGTTATCAAAAACCAAGAAAAGAGATGAGAGATTTGTAGATTGAAAGAAACCAATTTGAATTGCAGAGTTTGAAGAGGTTCTCGTGACAAAAGAAACCAAACTTTGTTAATCACAGTGAGTCTTTGCTAAAGATTAAGCTTTACTTTCCCTTTGTTAGACCGAACAAAACAAAAACAGAACAGATTTTTGTTTTCTTACATAAAAGATCAGATTGTAGCAGCAGCCAGAGATACAACAAGTTGGATGAAGATTATCTTTCAAAGTTCTTCTCAAAAGCTTTTTTTTTTGTCTTTATCATAGAAATAACCCAACAAAGGTCGTATAATTTTCGATCAAGATTCTTCAGGGTTCTGTGCTCTGTTTTGTAATTTTAACTTTTTGCTTTGGTTTTCTTCTTCTAAAATCGAATTGTTCATGAAAACTTTGATTTTACTTTTTTTTTTTTAATTAGCGTGGGAGAAGATATTGTGTATGAGAGGGATATGACTATTTTGTTGCATATATCCCTAATGAGATATATTCACTTTGGTTTATTTTATAGTTATTATCATATGATTCATGACTAATGTGGAAGAAAGATTGTGAAAACTTCTTTTCATGTTCAGATCTTTTCCAAATTTTGAAAAATGAAATCATCTTACAAAAAGAAAAACAATAAAACCAACGGTATTACAGAACAAGCCGTAGACAGTACAAGACAGGTCCCCGTTTACATTACAAAAGTCAAAAGTCGGTCCAAAACTTTTATCTTTTCTCTCCACAAATTTTTTTACGCTATTATATTTTTGTTTTTAAATTTATTTTATGATCCCACACATATATTGATTCAGTAGCATAGTTATTTTCTTAGGTGATACGTATTAACAATTTCTAACAATCTTATAAAATTTTAACAATTTTATTAACTAATAAATTTTAGGAAGTTTTTTACCCTTTTTATTGTCAAAGAAAAGATTTCTTATAATAAATCAGTTGTGGATTTGTTTCTTTTATTGGAATTTATACACTAAGCTACCCATATACTAAATTTCAGAAATATAAATTTTATTTCATAGTTAGGAAAAAAGAATACTGAGTTCATAACTTTTTTTTACTGTGACCTACTTTATAGATTTTATTATTTATATATTCAAGTTATATGATGATGTAATTGGTATGTAATTATCAAGACATTATAAGAGAACTTACTTGTCAAATTCTTATAAAAACACTATATCACAACATTTTAATGATATTAAATCAATAATATAGTCTTATATAAAAATATAAAAGGTCACCAAGCATTTTCAAACTCATCAAAATCCCCACTGTAAATCTTCAAAAATTCTATTGACAATATTTTAATTAGTTTTCTCACTTTACCTTTCTTCTTCCTCTATCTCTCTCTCTCAAACATGGCGTCAGAGGCAGACCAATGCTCCATAGACCTCTCATTGTTTCTCAAAGCAATCCAAGACCCAGACCAAAATTTCTTCAATCTTCAAACCTTAACCATCTCTGCTTCTGGGGTATCCACGCATTGTCAGGTAATAACAGAGAACTCCTCCATGAACATCAACGTCACCAGCTCGTCTGCAATTTGCCAGATCTTCATCGAGCTAGCCACATCTTTAGAGACGCATACATCTGTCAGCAACTTGGAGTTCGAAGGAATCGCTTGGCAGATCGAGCCAATGCAGTGCCTTGGCATTTTCCTCGACAACACCTCCAAGATAAAGCAGCTTACTTTCAAGAGGAACAGGTTCAGTGAGCAAAGCATGAGCGCGCTCTCAGAGATTATGAAAAGAAACACTTCGTTGAAAGAGGTTATGTTCATAGAGTCGAGGGTTGGGTTCAGAGGAGCTACGCTTCTCGGGTCGGCTCTCCAAGTTAACGCTTCTGTAGAGGAACTGCAGATTTGGCAAGACTCAATCGGGTCGAAAGGAGCAGAGGAGCTCTCGAAGATGATCGAGAAAAACTCAAGCTTGAAAGTTTTCTCCATATTCGACTCGAGTCCCCTCACTGCGGCGCCGTTGATATCCGCCGTTTTGGGTATGAACAGGGAAACGGAGGTTCATGTGTGGGGTGAAGATCGCAAAAGAGACAGATGCTCAAAGGTCGCTGAGTTCTTGCCTGAGAGCCGCACTCTTATGATTAAGCAGAGTGACATCCCCGGCTCTTGCAGGGTGGTCGCAGCGTTGGGGATGAACACAACCGTGAGGTCTCTTGACATGACGGGTTCGAATCTGAATTCGCAGTGGGCGAAGGATTTCCGACGCGTTCTTGAGCAGAACAAGACTCTGCAAGAAGTGAAACTCTCCAGAACCGGTCTTAAAGACAAAGCAATTGTGTATGTTGCAGCTGGGCTTTTCAAGAACAAGACCCTGGCGAGGCTGTATGTTGATGGGAACCAGTTCGGGAGATTTGGCGTCGAGGATTTGCTTTGTCCACTGACTAGATTCTTTTCTCTGCAGCGACAAGCGAACATCACACTCACGTCGATTGCGTTTGGAGGCCCCAATACAAAGATTGGAAGACATGGAGTCACCGCGATTTTAAAGATGCTGACAACAAACGCGACGGTGGCTCACCTCGGGATCCACGACGATGTGAGTTTAGGACCTTATGATTACGTTCAGATCTTCAAGAGCTTGCAGAAGAACGAGTCTTTAAGACGGCTCTCGCTACAAGGATGCAAAGGGGTAAGAGGAGATAGAGTCTTGGCGGCAATCGTAGAGACGCTGCAGGTGAATCCATTGATTGAGGTTATTGATTTAGCGAGAACTCCGCTTCACGATTCAGGGAAAGCAGACGAGATTTACGCGATGCTGGGATACAACGGTAGGAGCATAGATGAAGCAGAGATGGATGTGCCACTCACGGAGCCAAAGAGCATTAGAGTGTTCCTCTGTGGACAAGACTATGCAGGCAAGACGACACTCTGCAACTCTATACTGCAGAGTTCCTCTGCTTCCGGTTTCCCTTTTGTGGAGAATGTGATAGCTTATGTGAATCCTGGGGATTACGCTGTTGGTGGGATGAAAATAAAGACGTTTGTGGACGAGGAGGAGACAAAGATCTCGGTGTGGAATCTCGCGGGGCAGCACGAGTTCTACGCTCTTCATGATCTCATGTTCCCAAGCCCAAGCCTCTTCTTGATCGTACTGAGCTTGTTTAGGAAGCCGAGCAACAGAGAACCCAAAACGCCAGAAGAAGTAGAAGAGGAGCTTCAGTACTGGCTTAGATTCATCGTTTCAAACTCTAGAAAGGCGGTTGCGCAGTCCGTGAAACCAAATGTCACAGTCGTCCTCACGCACTCCGAGAAAATCAACCTACAGACGGAAAGCTTTCAGGCAACTGTGGGTTGTATTCAGAGGCTGAATGATATGTTTCGAGCTGTAGTGGATTTCAACCCGACCGTATTCACAGTTAACGCGTTATCATCTTCTTCGGTTACTAAAGTCACGCGTCATATTCGGATGACAAGCAAATCCATCCTTCAAAGAGTTCCTCAGGTTCATCAGCTTTGCTATGATATGGTACCGTTCTTAGCCGAATGGAGATCAGAGAACCCAAACAAACCTATCATGAGATGGAAAGACTTTTCAGATTTCTGCCAGTTTAAAGTTGCTTCCCTGAGAGTACAGTCTCGCAACCAGAACATTCAGATTGTGGAGACAAGACGGCGAGCCATGGCCACATCCCTTCACCAAGTAGGAGAAGTGATTTTCTTTGATGAGTTGGGCGTTTTAATACTTGACTTTCAGTGGTTTTATGGGGAGGTGCTTCCTCAGTTGGTAAATCTTAGTGCAAGATGGCCAAGCACAGGAGAAGGAATCGGTTTTGTCAGCAGGCAAGAGCTGGAGAGTATTTTGAGAAGTAATCTACATAGTCCAGTTCCAGGGATGACCTCCAAGGCACTTGAGCATTTCAATGCGTCTGAGCTTGTGATGCTGATGAAGAAAGTAGAGCTTTGCTATGAACAAGACCCTTCCAATCCAGATTCTCCATTATTAGTCCCGTCGATTCTCAAACAAAGCAGAGGAAAGTCTCCGACATGGCAGGTGAAGAAACGCGACTATGTTTATTCAGGCCGGCATCTTCAGTGCGAGGATTCGAGTCACATGTTCCTCACAGTTGGATTCTTCCCTCGTCTACAGGCAAGTGCTCATCAAAAGAAATTCTCTGTTTGTCCTCATCTCTGTAGAACTCAAAACGTTTTTACTGATTGTCTGTATTGCTTGCACAGGTGAAACTCCACAACGTAATCATGGATCTAAAGAACCAACACGGGGCAACTTATAGCATTGAGAAGTACCTAATCGCTATAACGATCCAAGGGGTTAATTTTAGAGTGGAGCTTGGTGGACAGTTCGGATACTACGTTGATGTTCTTGCTTGTTCAACAAAGAGCTTGACAGAAACTTTGAGGCTCTTTCACCAGGTAATCATTCCAGCTATCCAGGAATGCTGCCACGGTGTAATCCTCCTTGAGCACATCATAAGACCACATTGCGTCCAAAAGCTGACTCCACCGCGATTCCGACAGTTTCAGATGCTTTCCCTCCAGAGACTAAAAGAAGCAATATCATCAGTTCCTGCAGAGACTATGTATGACTATCATCACACATGGAGCTCTGTTGTTGATTCAGGTAAGACTGTTGTAGAAGCTGGATTCGATTTAGCACGAGACCTCCTCTCTGATGAGGATTTCAGAGACGTACTGCAAAGAAGGTACCATGATCTGTACAACTTAGCAGAAGAACTACTAGTTCCCACCGAGGAGGAAGAAAATAATGTACCAGTGACCAATGATCTGGAAGAAGTCGATCCTAGCATTGGTGGAATCGCTAAGGGTGTAGAAGCAGTACTTAAGAGGCTGAAGATCATCGAGCAAGAGATACGAGACGTGAAGCAAGAGATCCAAGGGCTGAGATACTACGAGCACAAACTTCTGATCCAGCTTTACCACAAAGTGGATTACCTTGTCAATTACAATGTCCAGGTGGAGGAAAGAAAAGTTCCAAACATGTTCTACTTCGTCAGGCAAGAGGACTACGGGAGGAAACTGATCACATCAATGGTTCCTGGCATGGTTGCTTTAAGACTACACATGTTATGCGAGTTCAGACAGCAGATGCACGTTGTGGAAGATCAGCTTGGATGTGATGTGATGCAGATAGACAACCTAGCTGTGACGGCCTTGGCTCCATACATGGAAGGCTTCATGAAGCTGGTGACTTTTTCACTGAGGATAGGAGCACACTGGATAGCTGGGATGGGCCACATGATACCTGACTTGGGCCACGCAGTCGCTGGCCTGGCCAACCCGGCTGCTATGGCTGGAGCGGCCGGAGCTGCAGGAGCCATGGGGGTCGCTGCTGCAGTGGGCAGAAACAGAGCCAGAGACAGAGAACTTCAGGAGCAGAGCCAAAGAGAAGCTCAACAGTGGATCATCGATTACTTGAGGGAACAGAATTGCTCGACCGGGAGGGACATTGCAGAAAAGTTTGGCCTGTGGCGAGTTAGATACAGATACGATGGGTCCATCGCTTGGATCTGCAAACGCCATATGATCACCAGAGCCCATGAAGTGATCCAAGTTCCCCTCTGATGCTTGCTAGTTTCTACAACCAAAAAATATATATATATATGTAATAAGAGAGTCATTTTAATTAGTCAAAACCATTTTCAGTGAAGTCTGTGTTACCGTATGATAATGCTTTTAATTAAAACTTTACCAATTTACTGTTGGGTCTCTTTTCCTTATTACGACAATGGTATAGAGACACAAAGCATCCTCACAAGATCCTGTGAAAAAGACACTTCAACTAACCAAAGAACAGCCAAACATTTGTTGTCACAAGAATTTTTTTCAGAAAGTTGAATCATTGGATCCTCTGCCTCTCTCTCCCACCTATGGGACCTCCTCTTGATGGTCACAATGACAAAGTGGGTCCAGAGAGTGACAATCACACCACATGATGATTGTACGAATAATTAAGCAATTTTAGCATTGATCGATATGCTTTAGAGATTTCAGTGGATGTTAACAATCAGCAATTCAAGGAAAACAAACCTGATTAGGCAGCATAAGTTCATATAATGATAGTACAACGGCTAGTGATACATAATAATAACTTCACATCAACTAAAGCATCAAGCTGACCAGATGGGAGATACAACATCAAATAGTACATTATAAAATTACATCATTAGGATTAGTCTTTCTTCATTAGAAAAGTCTAGGAGTGAGACCTGCGTTCTTCCTCTGAACTTGGTAAAACAGATGCTCAGAAGAAAGGCCTGCTCCCGTAGAACACACGGGATCCGTTGTTGCTCTTTGGTGTTGGCAGCTTCTGAGAATCAGAGCTCGAGTTCTCTGACTTTGTTGGGCTATCAATGTCCAGAGGAAGCTTCATCTTAGCCAGTGAATCAGTAAACTGTTGCATGCTTTTCATGTACATGTCGACTATATCCTGCTGCACCACCTTTGACTCTGGCTCAACCCTCACATTAAGGATAGGTTTCACAATCTTCTCCTCGGATGTCTCACCTGAAGCCTCGCTCCCTGAGTCCTGGGAATCCGCTTTCGAGTTCACGAGAGAGAGATGTTCATGGTCTGGTGTTTCTGTGGCGGAGTGAGCTGAAGCGTGAGGAGAAGCAGCTCCATTTGTAGCGTTGCTGCTCTCAGGTGAATCTTGCTTCAGTACAGAAGTGACAGAATTGGTTACATGGTTCTCAGTATCAGAAGTAACCAAGCTGTCAGAAGTTTCTGAGTCGATAGTGGAACAGGAGATCCCAATATACTCGGAAACCATTTTCTCATTTTCATTAGCGACATTAGGATCTGGAAACTCTATCTTATCCAACTCATCCGGAAGTGATTCAGACCCTTCTGGATTCTTGGTACATTCATCAACAGAAACAGATGAAGGCATAGTGGGAAAAGCCATCACTTCAGGGTATGATCCATTGTAGGAGAGAGACAACTGAACAAAACCAGCTGGCGAATGGTACAGATCAGTGGAAGAAAGGGAGAACTCTTTCTCCAGCTTCCCATTCTTGAAGAGCAGTTCCGACATAGGAACCACAGTAAAGCCAAGCAGCTGGTCTTCGAGATAATTCCTCACCCTGCTCATCATGTAAACCTCACACTTAAGGGAAGTGTCCAGGACCCTGACATCAAGCTTGACATTGTCATCAAAAACCGGATTCCTCCCGCCGCCATTGATGATTTTGGTCGACACAGACTTTTCAGGATCACTTGTAAGGCAAAGCTTGGCATAAACGTCTTGCTTGTGGTAGATACAAATGTTCTGGATATCCCTTGCCTGATGCACATAAACCTCAAGAGTACCAACAGGGTCTTCCCTTCCACAACTGTTAGAAACTTTTCCATTGGATTTGACACCGTTTGATCGGTTTCCACAGCTCTGCACAGAGGTTGAGTTCTCATTCTCTAGCTCGCCATTCTTGAATGGTGAAACGACAGATTGTGGGGAGTCCATTGCAAAACCTTAGAAACAATCCTGCAAATAAATAAAAGGCCAATTAGTATACGTATATGTAAATGGCCTCACCTTTCTTGGCAACTTGCACATTAGAGGAGACATGACTCTCAAAAGTGAACTATGTGTTTTCACTAATCTGGGAAATTTTTTTCACCAAGCAATGGTGTTTGAATGTTTCTTTAGCATGCAAAAGGCTATTCCGTAATTTCTAAATGCAAGCCAACAAGTTTCGTGCTTGTTGAAAACAAATCGCAATGTAACAATCGAAAAAAGCCCTGAAGACTACAAAACATAATCAAACCGAAAAAAAATGTAGAAAAACAGTTTTTGAAGACCTCAAAGTCCTCAATGAAAATGTTTATAGATTTCTCAACAGAAAAAAATATATCATGGAAGAAAACCACAAACTGAAAGATCAAACTACAACTAAAAAGATATTTTTATGTCAAAATCAGAGTTTAAACTTGGAAGAGTTCTAAAAGCCTAAACTAAGCAGAGCAATGAAACGAACTGATAATAAAGTCACTCAAAATTCAAGATGGAGCCATCAATAAACGACACAGGCAAAATCCACGGATCAAGTTCAAGATATTCAATTCAACAACAAAGAGTTTTCGAATATTAGTGTTTAGGTACAAGTCTTTAAATTCAAGCTCTAACCAAGTCAAACAATTCATGACCGGTACCTTACAATAAAGCAAGAGACTTTGTCTTAGTGACAACAACGGATGACCTATCTGAAAGTTTCAAAATTTCTTGCTCGATCCAATCAGAAAAGAAAGCACAAACTAAAAATTCTGCCACAGCTCGAACTCAACACAAACAAAAAAGGGGTAAATTATTTCATAAAACTTGCCTTAAATCCAGAACCAAGCTCTGATCCGCAACACGAAGAAACCAGGGTAAGAAGAGAAGTCAGCTGGTTTCTCTAACAGAGCAACCCAAAAAGGGAACTTAAATCAAAAAGAAAGAGAGGGTAAAAGACAAAGTCGTAGTATTCGTGTAAGAAGATGATTGAAAGGAGCAACAACAAGCATGTGAGTTACATAAGAAAGTTAGAAACCAAAGAGGACAATTTTCAAAGAGAGACTTAAATGCAAAACTGTTAGCAAATTGAAAAATATTGGAATTTTAGGGGTCGGCAGAAAGAAAAAGAAACAGAGAGATAAGATTAGGGTTTTGCACAGTCACTTCAATGGCGGACCACTAAGAAAGTGGGGCATAGTCTAATAGACAAAATTCAACTGTTTCGGCTGTGAGGAAAAAAAAAGTAGATTGAAAGCTAGAAGCTTTTTAGCTCTTTTCCATGATCACTAAAACAAAAAGATCTCAAAGCTTACAATAATACTTCACGCGGATGAAAAATCACTTACAGAGCTGTTTCAGCTGTGAGCTTTTGGCTGGCAAAAGCGTTAATGGAGTCTTTCTCGCTGGGTTTGTAAATTGGCAAAATTATCGCCAAAAATAAAAAGACATAAAAAATAAAAGAAGAAAAGATAGAAGAGAGCGTTTTCATTTTCATTTCTTTTACACTTTTTCTTTATTCGGAGCTAATGCTTAATGGGCTTTGGGCCCCACTCGTCAGTTTTTAGCTAAGCATATCGTGTGATTCTCACATGATCTTTGATTATCTGTTTTTTCCCTCTAACTAAAATCCCAACTAAATACAGTTTGCAAACTAATTTACATATAATTATCAAATTTTTGAAATAAATAAGTGGACGAAAAGTGTAATTGTATATATTTGTCAAACCATATACACAAAATACTGTATATATTAGAAAAAAAAATGAGTGGATATGAAGGCATGACTACACAGATTAAAGTTAGATATGACATTAAAAAGTATAAATTTTTGAAGATGTGTAGAGCCCACAAGAAAGCTAAAATGATAAAAAAAAGATCCAAAAAGTGCTGATATTTTTTTAAAAGTTTAATATATTATTATATTGTCATTATTCATGTGTAAATTAAATATCATTATTTTTTTCTTTTGACAATTATTGGTAATATATATATTGATGCCAAAATTTTCAAACTATATAATTGCTGACATTATAACATAAAAAATGTCACTATCATCTCGATGCCTACTCTTTCCTTTTAGTTGCTTAAAATCTTATATTCCATTTTAATAATGTACAAATCAACCTTTTCTCCCAATTCCAAATTATTGTTTAATTATTCTATTTCTCCCCCTAGAATTTCTTTTTGATCTATCACAATTTTATTGTTAACTAATCACTTCACTTGCAATCATACAAATCGTTGTTGTTAGTGAAATTAATTTGTGCACGGATGGTAATTTTTTGGGCTCAACATGAATGGTGTTGCTACTCATGTGTTTATTGGTTTATGAAAGGTTATGAAATCAATTATGACTGCTACTTATTCAAATTAAATTTGAGAATCCGGAAATAAATTCATTCAAAAGTATAAAAAGGCGTTGCAGGCTACTAAAATAATACACCCATTTAAAAGCCCAACTTCTAAAGCCCGATTCTAAAGCAGCCTTGAGCAGGTCCCACGTTAATAATTTCTCTTCTGTATTCTTCCGTGAAGAAAAAAAACAAATATCAAAAACAACATTTGAATTTCAAACGGCCTTCTCTCTCAACATTCAAAAAACGATACCTTATCGTCTTCCTCTGTCTCTCACACTCAACGTTTACTCTCTCTCTCTCTCTCTCTCTAGATCTAGAAATCTCCAGTTTCTCTATCTCTGTGTGAAAACGATGAAGTCCACGGCGAAGATCGGAGAGAATCGGTTCTTAGGAAACATTTCGACTTCTTCTATCCGAAACCTGCTTCCCAGATCCATCTCCGCGAAGCAGAAATCAATCCAAAATCCACAGACCAAGAGCTTCAGATCCAACGACGAGAACGCGCCTCCTTGCGACCCAAACATACAGGCTGCTCATAACGATCTCCACTTGAAGAAAAAATCGCCGCAGAAAGTCTTCCCCTCCGCCGCAACCCAGATTCTCCCCGAAGAACAAACTCAGGTAAATACATGACCTAAGAAGTTTCTATATATGGTTGATTCCAGTTTTAATACCTCTCGATTTTACTTAGTATCGAGTTGAGTAGGTAATTTTCAAAAGAAACTGTTTCGATTCAACAAGCGCTTACATGCGAAACTTTGACGAATTCAGAAATTAGGGCCAAACACTCGCTCTGAAGACAAAGAGGATATTGGTTCAATTTCTCCACCGAAGGTAACAGTTACTGTCTTCATAATAGTGAATCTTCTTTCAAATTTTATTGTTTCAGTGCCTTAATTTCAATTGAATTACAACAGTTTGAAGCCAGGATTGTACTAGCCACAAGATCTAACTCGATGGATAATGAGATTACAGAGGAAGATGACCAATTGGGTGACCAGATTCGTGAACTAAAGGTCTCCTTCTCGTTACATATAGGTTGTGTATATGTTGTGTGTCTGTACAATGGCATTTGCGTATAACGTTGGTTTTTTTTTTCGTGGTTTATAGGAGGAACTAATAAGAACCAAGTCTGATGGGTACAAACCTGACGGAAGCAAGAGTGGTTACTTTGCGAGGGAGAGCTTGAGTCAATTGAGAAGGAGCATCAACAAGTCTTTAGTCATGCCGTGTGAATACAAACAAGATTTCGAGAAGGAAGCAATGGATGATGATGTAATGGAACTGAATAAACACATTGAGAAGTTTCACACGTATTCTGATGCTGATGACTTGAGGGACTCCGTGCAATCCTCTTTCGCAAGCGCTTCGTGTTGTGAAGCAGAAGAGTCAATGAGTGGAGATGAGATCTGCTCAGAAGATGTGGAGATGCACAAGCATCGGATGCACAAAGGTTGTGTTTTGGCTGCTTCTGTTCCAAGCACTGTGGGGAATGGGATTTCAATCAGTTTACCTCACCAGACTCGTATTCTCGAGGAGCCAACTTTGTCAGAGTCTCCAAAGATTAGGAATTTTCGGAAGAGCGTGGCTGCGTCGACAAAGTTTCAGGCAAGTCCTAGGAATGTAACCGAGAGCTCCAACATAGGAAAGGAACAATTTGGCCCTTCTGTGTCCAAGAAGCTCCTGAGTCCTACAGATTCTCTTGCTGCAAGTCTCCATAGAGGACTACAGATTATAGACAGTCACCAACGGAGCTCGTTGTCAAACAGATCTTCTGTTTCTTTCTCGTTTGGGCATCTGTCTCTGAAGCCTGGCGATGAAGCCGAGAGTCTTTGTGCTTCGGTTAAATCGTTAGAGGACGATAGACCAAAAGTAGGTGGATCATCGATTCTCCTCTGTCTTTCTTGCAGACAAAAACTTGACCAAGAAGCTGAAGTATGTCTACAAGACCTGAGATGAATTTTTCTTGCATTTACTTCAGTTTTTAGTAGCCTATTCGTTTTTACAACTTTTATCTTCTATTATTAGGGAGGATATAAGGCAACAGAAGAAGCTTGCACGGACGAGAATCATCTCAAGAACATGTGTGTGGAGCAGGCTACCAAAATTGAGAAGCTAACTTGTCTGGTAAAATATTTATAAACTTAAGATGATGAGACTATTGAATGCCTAAGGTTGAATTTGAGTTTTCTGACAATTTATTTTTATGATAATTCTTCAGTTAGACCAATACAGAAAGAACACTGTGCAAGAGCCAAGCAAGGTAAGCCAACAAGTTACATTACAAAGATCAAGCAAACCAGTGCATTATTTGCAAGACATGTGTATACACAATTAACTATACTTATCTGTTTATGCAGGTGATGAAATCCGATGATGGAGGAGATGACACAGAAGTTGTAAAGGATGCATATGAGACAAACCAACTTAGTGAAGAATTTGGGAAGACAAGGATTGATCTCAGTGAAAAGGAGGCTCTTTTAAAGGAGATCGCAGAGCTTAAGAGCAAGCTGAAGCCATCAAAATCAACAGATAATCTGAGATCCTCTTTGCTCTTACGGTCTTTTCAAATGAGGAAAAGCACCGATTTTACCAAGAACGCTGAGAACAACAGTGATGTTCTAGAGGAAGAACGTGAGAGGTGGACAGAAATGGAGAGTGAATGGATATCTTTGACAGATGAACTAAGAATGGATCTTGATAGCCACCGTAGACGCGCAGAGGATCTGGAGATAGAGCTCAAAAACGAGAAAATGGCGACAGAGGAGATAAATGACGCTCTTAGTCGAGCTATGCTTGGTCACAGTAGATTCATCGAGCAGTACACAGAACTGCAGGAGAAGTACGATGAATTAGCCGAGAGGCATCATGTGACGATGGCAGGAATAGTCGATGTGAAGAAAGCAGCGGCTAAAGCTGCTGTGAAAGGTCGACACGGGAAGCGTTTTGCAAAAGCGTTTTCAGCTGAGCTTACTGCCATTAGAGCTGAGAAGGAAAAAGAAAGAGAGTTCTTGAAAACGGAGAACAGGGGCCTTAAAATTCAGCTGCGAGATACCGCTGAAGCTGTCCAAGCTGCTGGAGAATTACTTATCAGACTCCGAGAAGCTGAGCAATATGTACAATCCACTGAGGTAACTTTTCTTTTCACCAACTAGATAAAAGCCTTTTGAAGAGTTAAACTCTGCGTTATAGGCATGAACCGAACCTCAAAAACAACTGAACTTTTTGCTTGTGGCTGGCTCACTTGTGATATCTTATGTCGGTTTAATTTTGGATTTGAAAAACCATAATTGCAGGAACGTTTCAGCTTAATGGAAGAAGAGAATGTGAAGTTGAAGAATCAAATGGAGAAGTTAAAGAGTAAGCACAAAACAGAAATGAGCACAATGAAGCAATATCTTGCAGAAAGCAAATTACCAGGGTGTGCATTAGAGCCATGGTTCAAGGAGAACGAGGAACATCTGTCAGAGCACAGAACCGGTTTGGTCAAGGAGAATGAGGAAGATGAACACAGAACCGGTTTGGTCAGCTATGACGATTATGCAGACGATCAGGCATGGAGAGCAGAGTTTGGAGCCATCTATCAAAACCATGAGTTTTGATGATAGAAGATCATTTCATTTCAAGAACCAAATGTATTAAGTAACAGTCCTTTTTTGTTTCAGACAAGACCCATCTTGGGTTATCGCAAAACCATGAGTATTGATGAGTGATGATGATTTGATAATTTCATTTCAAGAACAAAAGGTTTGTGAAATCAGTCCCTTTTGTTTCAGACAAGACCCATCTTGGCTTATCTCAAATCACAACTGGTTTAAACTCAAATTCTTGTGAAAGCATAAGATTATCGAGTAGACCATATGCTCGTATTTGTTTATTTTTCCTTTTCTACGTCCTTAATTGACTATTCAAAGATGTGAACCGGATTGAAATCAAATAGTATAGGGTTAGAATTCAAACATCTATAAAGTAGAGAGAGCTATAATTCCAAAATCTATGAAATAGAGAGGCATGTAAGCAAATATCCTCTCCTTGTCTACTCTCTAGTATCATTGACAATCCCGTCTCCCGCCATTTGTCTCGTCAGTTTCGCCGGAGATGCTGCCGGCGGCGCCGTCATGGGCTCTATATTCGGCTATGGTGATGATGATTTTATTTATCTTCGCTCCTTCATACCTTGTCTTATGTCGAAGCTTATCTTGTTTCCCCTGTTTTTGTAATTTTGTGTGTGTGTGTGCGCTCGTTGTGGATGATTCTTTCTGTTGTCTTCCTCGCGAGTAAGATTTATTTGATATACACCACAATACTTGATTTAGAGGTCGAGAAATCTTTAAGGTGTTCGAACGGACTTAGTATCTGATTTATTGTTTAAGTTTCTGGAAAAAGTAAAAACTCTAGACTCATGTGGCTCTCTGTGTGACTTCCAGAGATGAATGAACATTAACCAAATCTATGATTCTTATTTTTCAGTCGATTTAGCTTTGCTTTCTGCGCATACTTCATTAACTGTGGGTCTCTAGCGACTTGAGGAACAACCAGATTAATACTTGAGCTAGGGACAACAATGGTGCCAATATCTTAAGGAACAACAATGGTCTTTGTAGAATTCATTGGTGTAGCTTTTACAAAAAAAGAGCATTCCACAAGTTTTCTTATTGTTTTGCTGTCAATTTTATGTGCTGACTTCGTTATTGACTGTTATATCTGATGGAACCATATATCTCACGATGTAAGTTGGGATTCCAGGTTCTGGATTGTTTAAGAAGAAAGGATTTAAAGGATCATTTGTGGATGCGGGTCAGTCTGCAAAGGTGCCTAAATTTGAACTCTTGTGAATTGAGTATGTTTATTGAAACTGCCCCATGCTATATTATTTCCCTCTATGCTAATCTTTGAAAAGGCAACTGAACATTGTAAAGAAAACACCGATAGTGCCAAGCACTAGCCCAAGACCGTAATACCCGAGAGATCCGAAAGAAACAAAGACCCTCTAAGTATGAATAATAAGATGAAAGAATACTTAGAGAAAACTTGAAGGAACTTTAGAGAGAATAAGAGAACTTATGAAGAACACTCTTTCTTTATTTGTTCAACTTCTCTTGTTTACAAATGATGGAGTAGTGGGCTATTTATAGGCTCCACTTATTACAAAATATCTTACAAACATTCTCCTAATCTCTAGAATTTTCTACAATAATATCTAGAATTTTAACTACAACATCTAGAATTATCTAGATATTTAACTAATAGAATTCTCTAGAACATTTAAGAAAGATGATGATTTTTAGTGATGTTTCTAGAGATTCTAGAACTTGAGCTTAATTTTGGGCCTAATCTAATAACTAATAATTATTTTATAAACCCAAAATTAAGCTTAACCCAAAATCAAGTTTAACTTTAATACTCCCCTTTAAACTTGATTTTGTCAGTCATCCCGAGCTTCGAGCGAAGTAACTCGAACTGACCTTTTGGTAATGACTTGGTGAAGATATCCGCAACGTTGTCCTCGCTTCGAACTTCCAAAGCTTCAATTGTCCCATCAAGCACCTTCTCTTTTATGAAGTGATGCTCTAACTCAATGTGTTTAGTCCTCCCATGGAACACCGGATTATTGGCCAGCTTGATCGCACTTTGATTATCTCCATAAATTGCAATTGGCTTATTGATTGGCTCGAACAGATCTTCAAGGAGTCTCTGAAGCCAAATACACTCTTGAGCTGCTAGAGTTGACGCTTTATACTCTGCTTCAGTTGTAGATAACGACACCGTTGCTTGCTTCTTACTGCACCATGAGACACTTGTGTTCCCACATAGGAAAACATAGCCTAAAGTTGATTTCCGATCATCAAGATCTCCACCAAAGTCAGCATCCGTGAAGCCATAAAGAGAGACCTTGGCATTATACTTGTACACCAGACCCATGCCAAGAGTTGTCTTCACATACTTCAATATCTTCTTTGCCGCTTCTAGATGTGGCTTCCTTGGTGCCTGCATAAACCGACTTACAAGACCTACCGCGAAGGCAATGTCAGGTCTTGTAATGGTTAAGTATAAAAGACTTCCTACAAGAGAGCGATAAGGCCGAGGATCAGGTAGTAAGGACCCTTCATCGCGTTTAAGCTTTATGTTGACATCCATTGGAGTAGAGCGTGTCTTTCCTTCGTGTACTCCAAACTTCTCAACGATTCTTCTTACATAGCTTTGTTGGCCGATGAATATTCCACCCTTTACCCTTTCCACCTCCAAACCGAGAAAGTTGTTGAGCTCTCCCAACTTCTTCATCTCAAACCTTATCGACATATCCTCTTGTAAACGAGTAATTTCTGCATCATCATTCCCGGTAATTATCATATCATCCACGTAAAGGAGAACTACCACGTGGACTCCTCCATTCTTCTTGAAGAATAGACTCGGATCAGAGTTTGATGCCACATAACCGCAGAACTGAAGAAACTGAGCAAGCTTTCCATACCAGGCTCGTGGAGCTTGTTTTAACCCATACAAGGCCTTCTTCAGCTTACACACATAATCAGGATGCTCTCGTGATATAAAACCAAGTGGCTGCTCCATCAGGATTTCCTTGTCAAGCTCTCCATATAGAAAAGCATTCTTCATGTCTAATTGCCATAACTTCCAACCAAAACTTGCAGCCAAAGATAAGAGAGAACGTACCGTAGTCATCTTGGCTACAGGGCTGAAGGTCTCATCATAGTCTTCTCCATACTTTTGAGAGAATCCCCGAGCAACCAACCTTGCTTTGAATCTATCAACGCTTCCATCTGTTTTGCGCTTGATCCGGTACACCCATTTACAAGAAACAGGTTGGGCATTCTTGGGTTTTGGAACCAAATCCCAAGTTTCGTTCTTCATGAGAGCATTCATCTCCTCCTTCATTGCGTTTTCCCACTCGTCAACACCTTTTGCTTCATCATAAGATGTTGGCTCATCTTCATCTAATGGAGCTGCAAAGTAGCACGAGAAGGTAGTAACAAACTTTGGATCTCTGAACCGAGCAGGTTTAGTGATGTCCCTTTTAGGCCTTTGACTAGCCGTGGAACCATGATGTTCCTCCTCATCCTCCTCTTGATCAGTGCTCCCCCTTTCACCTTGCATCTCTTCTTCAGGACCTTTTTCCTTACTCAGAGCTGGTTTATCACTCTTGGAGGAACTCCCACCTTCTTGCTCAACTAAAACTTGAGGTGGCCCATAGAATGAGGAAACTTCATCAAAAACAACATCTCGAGACACTACGTACCTGTGTGTCTCTGGATCCATACACCTCCACCCTTTTCTTTGTTCGTCATAGCCAACGAAGATGCACTTCTTCGCCTTTGCCTCCAACTTGGTTCTTTGAGAATCAAACACATGGACGTAGCAGACTGATCCAAATATCCTGAGATGTTTCACTGATGGCTTCTTCCCATGAATCATCTCATACGGAGACTTCATGTTATTTGGGCTGAGTGGCATCCGATTTATGACGTACACTGCGCATCTCATGCCTTCCGCCCACAAGGCTTTATGCAGATCCTTCCCATATAGCCAGCTTCTGCACGTCTCAGTTAGATGTCGAATCTTCCTTTCCACTACTCCATTTTGTTGAGGTGTATACGGACAAGTAAACTCTCTCTTTATTCCATGCTTTTGACAAAAGAGAGAAAACTCCTTGGACATGAACTCCCCTCCATTATCTGTCCTTAAGGTCTTGATTCTCCGACCCAGCTCCCCTTCCACGGTAACCTTGAATTCTTGAAATTTGGAGAATACTTCTGATTTTTCCTTCACAAAGTATACCCAAGTGTGCCGTGAGAAGTCATCAATGAACAGCAACATGTACCGAAACCCGGAATATGAGGGTGTTCTTGTAGGACCCATCAAATCACTATGGATCCTCTCCAACAGAGCACTGCACCGTGAAGTAGAATTGTCAAATGGAAGTCTATGTGATTTTCCATATTGACAACCTTCACAAAGCTTTCCTTCATCTTGGATCTTCAGCTTCGGAAGCCCATTTACCAACTCCTTATTCACCATAACCTTTAGCTTAGTCATGTTTATATGACCAAGCCGAGCATGCCATATAGAGGCATTGTCGTTTGTACTCATCTTCTCCACGTATGAGTTGGACGCAGATAAGACATATAGATCCTTAACCCGCGATCCGGTGTGAACCACATCCGCCTTTAACTCTTTCATATTCTTCAAGAATTTGACGTCTCTTGGGCCAAATAAAACGTAGTTACCTGAGTCTACTGCATTCACCACAGAGAGAAGATTCTTCCTTACTCCAGGGACATGGTATACATTCTTGAGGGTGATAGGGCTTCCATCTTCTCCTTCAATGACAACAGTCCCTTTCTTCTCGACCCGGTGAACTGAATTATCCGCGGTAATTATGGCTTCTTTTCCATCATGGCGCTGAAGACTAGAAAATAGCTTCTCGTCTCCGGTAATATGGTGGCTACAACCCGAATCCACAATCCAATCATTTTCAAGATTTTTAGTTGTGGATATACCTGAAGATGCAGCCTCCACCGTGAAGCATTTCCCCCATTCTTCGTCTTCAATATGACCTTTTGATTCTGCCATATTTGTCTCCTTCAGCTTGACTCGACAATCCTTTTTGAAGTGCCCAAGCTTTCCACACCGGTAGCACTTGAATCGCTTCTTATCTCCAGTAGAAGATCCTTCCGGTCCATCGATGTTCTTTGCACCATCGTATTTGGATTTGGCTTTGAAGTTGTGTTGCTTCCGAGCTACAAAGGCGCTCCCCGAGTCATCATGGATTTTGACTCCTGCCATTTGCGTAGCTAATGACTCTTGCGAAGCTAGCAGGTTCTCGAACTCCTCCAAGGAAGGTTGTGTAGCCCATCCTTGAACCAAAGTCACAAACGGTGTATACTCAGGTCGTAGACCTCGAATAATATACCGTTTTAAACGTGCTTCGGAAATTGACTCCTCCGGATTTAGAGTATTAATCTCTGAGCGAAGATTCTTTACCTTGATGAAAAACTCTGAGATTGAAGACTCCCCCTGCTTTGCATTCGCCAACTCGTTCTCTAACAGTTGTAGCCGAGCTTCATTCTTCTTGTTGAACAACTGATCTAACGCCTGCCAAATGGAACTAGCGGATGTGCAACTTGAGACATGCTCAAAGACTCCCGAGGATATTGACCTCTTCAATGCAAACTCCGCCTTGGCATTCTTCCGTGTCCACTCCTTTGTCGCTTCCGCTGTCGCAGCAGCTCCCCTTGGTGGTGTTGTGCTACTGCCGCCGACGACATCCCATAAGTCCTCACTCACCAAGTATGACTCCATGCATGACTTCCATAACCGGTAATTGGATTGGTTTAGAATCTCCATTCCCAACCCAACAACGCGACCCATTGACTCCATACTTAGAGTAAATCTGAGATCTCAATTAATCCGATCTTGAAAAAGAACCAGATCAGAATGGCTCTGATACCATGTAAAGAAAACACCGATAGTGCCAAGCACTAGCCCAAGACCGTAATACCCGAGAGATCCGAAAGAAACAAAGACCCTCTAAGTATGAATAATAAGATGAAAGAATACTTAGAGAAAACTTGAAGGAACTTTAGAGAGAATAAGAGAACTTATGAAGAACACTCTTTCTTTATTTGTTCAACTTCTCGTGTTTACAAATGATGGAGTAGTGGGCTATTTATAGGCTCCACTTATTACAAAATATCTTACAAACATTCTCCTAATCTCTAGAATTTTCTACAATAATATCTAGAATTTTAACTACAACATCTAGAATTATCTAGATATTTAACTAATAGAATTCTCTAGAACATTTAAGAAAGATGATGATTTTTAGTGATGTTTCTAGAGATTCTAGAACTTGAGCTTAATTTTGGGCCTAATCTAATAACTAATAATTATTTTATAAACCCAAAATTAAACTTAACCCAAAATCAAGTTTAACTTTAATAAACATAACTGTGGTTTCTTGTTAAGACTTTTGCGGTTTTATCCGGAGTACACAGTTTGGTTGTTTGCCTTTTGAAGAAACTGAGAGGGAAAGATGATGGTGAGACTCTTTAACGTTTCTCCTTCTTATCCGTTCTCACACTTCTACGATATAATACTGCATACATGCATAGTCTATAATTTGAACTCTCTCTTAGTGTATCTTTTGCTTATGTATATGTTCACATGAACTCCATTTTGCAGCCATTAACGTTGGAGTTGCTGGTTGCTGCACTGGCCTCGCCCTTAGTTTCCCTGGTAAGAACATAACTATTTCATTGTACAAGTTACTTAACCTGTTTTATCAAGCCAACAAATCCTCTATGATCCTGTGTGTTGAACTTGCAGGAGCACCACAAGCAATGCTACAAAGCTGTCTCACGTATGGTGCCTTCTCTTATATCCTGGAAGGACTCAACAAAAGGCAGACAGCTTTGGCTCACTCTGTCTCCTTGAGACATCAGAGTAGAAGTCTGAAAGATGATTTACCACTCTCTTTGGCTCTCCCAAACCCTGAAGAAATCAAAGGAGCTTTCTCTTCTTTCTGCAAGTCCTTAACAAAACCAAAGAAGCTCGCATTTCCCCGCGCAAGTTGATTGTATCCAACTCCTTTTTTTCTTCGGCGTTTTTGTAAATGTTGGAAACATATGAAAATTGTTTTGCTGCTTGAGCTAATGAGAAAGAGAGAGATGTGTGCCATTTTTTTTTATTCATAATCATTGAAGTCCAGAATTAAGGCTAGCTTAAAATTTGCAATCATAATAGTCCCAGCTAAACAAAAGTTGTATATACGACTTGGCATGCTTTTTGTTTTAAATTCAGTTGTAATTGATTTAAAATTCTAATCTTCATGAATATTCTTCGTGTGCGCCCGTACTGAACAATGACATAGCCGGATTTGAGCAAGTGCTACCAAAAGCGTTATGGTTCCGTGGACAACGTTGTTCTCATCCTTTTAATAATATTAAAGAACATTTGAATTCTAACAAAATGGGGATGTAGCTCAGATGGTAGAGCGCTCGCTTAGCATGCGAGAGGTACGGGGATCGATACCCCGCATCTCCACATATATTATTTTTTCGGTCATTTGCCTTCACATGAAAGATATAGATCGTTTTTGTTGGTTCTTTACACCATCTTTCTTTTGGTAATTCGTTTTCGTCGAAGAAATATTGTAATTTGAATTGATTGGAATCTGTGTGGGCGATTTGTCTATTCATAATGCATAGATTTCCCAACTTCTGTTTTTCAAAAATTGAAGTCCCCAACTTTGAATTATTACAAATTTTCCGTCTATAATAAGTTAAACTGGTGGTGTGAATCCTTAATGTGACTTTAGAATGTCATTTTCTGTAGAAATGAAAGATGTCAAAGTTATTCTACTCTATATCTTTGCTTATGTTTCATGTAATAGTTGGGTTCAACAAGATAATAACAATGTCGATGATATAGGAGGAACAATATTATCATTAGTTGGAAAAGCACTTAGATACTCTCACTCACTTAGCATATACTTAATTAACCGTCCAGATTAATTTGAGAATGCCATTGCAAATTAAGAAAAAACTTTTTTAAGGGTGGATAAAATGATAAACAGGGCTCTCTCCAATGCACTTAGATATATATATATATATATCAGTGATAGAGAATTTAAACAATGACTTACAGCAGCAACCGTTGGGAATAGTACAAACTTGCTTTCACCTTTGTCGAGGATAGTTTGAACTGTAAGAGAGAATTAAAACAGGAGACAAGAATCAGATGATAAGGAGAGCATATATACTTAAGCAACACAAAATGTCAAGAGAAAGAAGAAATAAAGTCTGATTCAGAATGTTTAAACTATCATGGGGTAGTGAAAATTTTGAGAGGACTTATGATCAATGTAGGATCATATACAAAAGAAGAAAGATAAGGAGTAAATACTTCAATGATGTTGCAGCGAATGATGTCCTAAAGAGCCAACTTGCAGGATCATATACAAGAAATAAGGAGTAAATACTACAATGATGTTGCAGCGAATGATGTCCTAAAGAGCCAACTTGATGTGGCTATCTATCTTATTGATAGATTAATTATATTATATACTTTATTTGAAGATATTATACATAATCTTTTCAAAAAAAGTAGAATAATTTTTAGATCAATATTTTATTTTGGAAATCAAAATTCAAAATAGAGAAAAACCCATAATTTATGAATAAAACGTACAATAATAAAACGTATATACATTTTGATTAAGAGTTATATTGGTTAAAATCTTATTTTGATTTAATATTTTTTTCTTTTCTATGAAATTCTCATCTTTTACTCATTAATATAAGTCAATATTTTTCTTGGAAAGTCAAATGTTTATCTATAATCTGTCCTATTTTAGTACTATATATAAAATGATTGAGATATAACATGTTTTAGTTAATGAGAAGTATTTTTCCTAGGATCAAGTGTTGCATGGTGCAAACGTCATGAAGTACCAATTAAAATAAGAGTCACAACCACCGTGGAAAAACTAAAACACTGAAATGTTCTCTTCTCAATGGTAGTCACAACCACCGTTGAAAACTCTTTTTGTTCAGAGAGAGTAGCACTGAAATGCTAATTTCTTCGGCAAGGAGAGCTCAATCTTCTGGTTCTTCCTCATCTAGAAAAGAAATCTCATTCTCTTTTAACTCATTCATATCGGGTGTTTTGAAACATCTCTATTTACCTGTATATGGTCATAGTCAGTGGGTAGAGGCTGTCTGTTCTTCCTTGATTTCTGAGTTCCCTTCAACTGGTTTTGAAATGAGCGGTTCGGAAGACATTGGCAAAGAAAGTCAGAGGTTTTTTAAATTCGAAAGAGTTATATTGGTTAAAATCTTATTTTCATTTAATATTTTTTTCTTTTCTATAAAATTCTCATCTTTTACTCATTAATATAGGTCAATATTTTTTTTGGAAAGTTAATTCTTATCTATAATCTGCACTATTTTAGTATTATATATAAAATGATTGAGATATAACATGAGTATATACTCTACAATTTGCAGGTGGTGGAAGTTGCATGTGGCGGAAGATTCAGCAAACCAAGGCAAAGATCAATGAAGTGGAGAGACAGATGTGTTTCGGAGAAAAGGTTCATACCAAGGTCCATGACTCGTGGAATTTCATGGAAAAGGTAAGAAGCTTCTTACCCACCCCCCCCCAACATTTTATCCTTTTATTAACTCTTGTTTTTTGTTCTAGGTACTCAACGAGTAGAGAAATTCGCTTATGTAATAAATGGAGAATCAGACTTCAAATATTGATGGAGCTGACTTTTGACTACTTAATTATATTGTTTCTTTGGTTAAAGTACAGCATCGGAGCGGACTTTTGACTATTTTGTGGTTTTATGTTGTTTTTTCTTGTCATGTAAAACATTTGATTTTTTACCATGTCGAATATTATGGTACTAAGTAATCAAAACCTACATTATTAGCTACCGTTATGGTCAAAGCTAAAGATTCAAAATGGTCCTTTTTTTTAAAGAGAATGATCTGAAAATTGGTGATCTGAAAGTTGTTCTTCACAACCACTCCGTACATTTAAAATACTCTTTACATTTCGATTTTTTAATCAAAATTTAGGAGGTCAAACAGCAAAAGCTAATTTAGATCTAGCATACCAAGGGTGAGAGAACCACAATCTTATTCCGTGAGAAGAGTTTACCAATAACACAATCTTATTTAATCACAAGAAGAACAACAATAAGAAGCACAAACGAAATCTTGGGTGCCAACAGCACGAATCGAAGCCACCAAATCCCTAATTTACAGCAGACAATATCAAAACATCCCGTGCAAATATCGTTGTGTTTGGTGTTGCAGACACAATGCGAGTCAGCCCCGCTCCGTGAGCTCCTACGATCGACATGTGTGCAAACAAGTCATTATCTTTATTTTTCGAGATCTGTCAGTGTTTTTGCTCTTTTTATTCGGCCAAGGCTGGTCATGAGACTGCAATGAACACGGGGTTTGAGTTTGATTCGGATTTAGAACTTGCCGGAAATGGAGCAGTTGAGCCAATATGATAATCATTATCGCACAAAAAAAAAAAAAAGACTATATAATCATTATAAATCAAAATGCATGCCGTGGCCGCTAAGCTTCGAACTCACGGGTCAAAAAGCAAAGCTAATTTACAGCACTTGACATCATGAACCGAACCCACCTAAAGCTGAAAAAAAAAACAAATAATATCACAACATCCCGTGGCCGCTAAGGCTCGAAAGCTCACGGGTCCCTTTTTCAGCAGCCAAGACTCTTCATTATCTCATGTAGCTTCTGAATCACAGCCGTTGGATCCGCCCGTGAATTCGCCAGATGCATCGCATGATACTCCAAACCTTTCCACTTTGCTATAAGCTCGAAATGAGGCCTCCGAAACTCGACGCTCACTATCTCAAATATCGTCGTGTTTGGTGTTGCGGACACAATGTGAGTCAGCCCCGCTCCGTGAGCTCCTATGATCACTGACGCGTCTTGGATGGCGCGGACTTGATCTTTCATCGACATATGCGCAAAGAGTCCATTCACAAGGTTTATCCCGCATTTCGTCAGACCGGTGGAGCCAGACGCGACCCAATGGTGCAGCGACTCGTACACTTCCTCCTCGTTGATGAGCCGGGACTGGACTTTACCGCCGTGACGAGGGTGTGCCAAGTAATCTTCACGGCGAACAAAGAGAACGTTATGAACAGAGGTAGATGGCGATGATGATGACGGCGGTCTTTCTGATGAGCGGTGTCTGTTGACTGGAAACCCGAAGGCTGATCTGATCATTTCGCCAAACTCTGAGAGCCTCGCCGTTTTTTTGTTGTCCGGGTTTTGCCACAGATTGTGAGCTGATTCTCCGTGGCAGTCTACTTCTTCGGTCAATCCCTTGAAAAGCACGGTTTCGTATCCCAATGGTGAAAGAACCGCGTGGCGGAAACAAACTGGTCTGCTGAAGTTTTTTGCGTATCTGATTCCGGAAAACAAAGCCGTCCATGTTTCTTCTAGCTGCGTCTGCAAAAAGGAAGAAAGGTTCACAACATGGACATGCGACTCCTACTAGATTCATTTTTATTCATTAGTGGAGTAAACTTTAACTACATAAAACGCAAGAAATCCAAATCCTATAACCAAGAGTTACTGCAAGTCTAAAGATAGATGAAACTGAGAAATCTCTGCTCAGGGAGAAATATCATGATCATGAACAACAAGAGGAACGTACCGTGCAGTGTCCATCCATGAAAACAACGTTTGGTCGATTAGGCAAACCGGTGACTCTAGAGGAAACATAAGCACTGTACCAATCTGTCACGGTATGGAAGAGATTCGCATACTCGAATCGAGTGACCAGCAAAGTTGGTTCCTCCACCCACTGGCCAAGCAAAAGCAATCCAAACATCAATCAACAAGACATTTACATATGTTTCAAGAATCTCTGAAACCACAAACCAAATATGAAACAGAGTAAAATCTCAAATTTTAAATTCTAAATCCAGTCAAAGAAAGATTTTGTAAGACAGTAATTCATTTGCTGCATATATTGAATGGATTTGATATTCCAAATTCGTTCCAAAGGGGCATCTTTTCACCAAAAACACAATCTTATTCCGTGAGAAGAGTTTACCAATAACACAATCTTATCTAATCACCACAACAACAACAGTGAGAAGCACAAACCTCTTCACAAACGAAATCTTCGGTGACAGCAGCAAGACTCTAGACTCAAACTCAAATCCGAATTTGAGGTGGAATATAGTAAGGGGTCCAGAATCTGTCTGTAGAACAAATTCTAGTTGTAACGGTGGTGTAAAATCTCAGGAGGACATTTGCTAGTTCGTCGACATCCAAGATATAGACTTGGTTAGGGAGCATGCCGGGAAAGGAGCTTGGAGGGACACAGAAAGGTTCAGACTTTGAGAGGAAAATGACGTCATCTCCGATGTGTTGAGTGAATACAGCGTTTCCTTCCTCGTCTAGCCTGAACACCCTTAAAAGCTCTGTTTTCATTATCACAAAACCCTTGTTGATCCTGACGGTCTTCTTGTACTTCTTAAGCAAGAAAGTTTCACCGGTTGTTGTTGATTCCACCAAGTGTTCGCTTGTGTAGCACGAATCGAGAAGGTCTCGTTTGGGCTTGGTCGTCTTTGGAAGTTGCTTACACCGCAAGATCTGCAGCTTCGGGTTCTTGCTGTGTTTGCAGGGATCCCACGATCCGACGAGGTGGCCTCCAGATTCGGGCATGCGAAAGGTGTTGTGTTTCTTGGAAAACATGACAGGGGAGGAGAAGAAGCAGGGGTTTTCGATTTTGATGTTGATCCACTCGGGGTTACTCTGAGCTGGTCTGCAAAAGCTGAGCTGGGGTCCCAAGAACTTGACAGCCACAACACAGTCTTCATCCTCAGGAGAAGACGAGGACACGACCACGTTGGTGACGACTTGGGTTTGGCAGTGAGGCAGAGTCACAAGAGGAGGCAACGAAATGCGTTTCGGATCTGCATCAAGGTCTGGATCAGTTTCACGGAAACACAACACGCCATCCTTCACAGTAGGTAACCATCAATTGGATGATCCGATGGTTCCCATTTCTTTCGACAAGTCAGTAAGATACCTTTCACGTTTTTTCCACTTCTCTTTGTCGAAAGGAGGGACGAAACCACGAGGCTTCGAAGTCACGATAGTTCCAAGGCTCGGTCTGCAAGGATCAGTGCAGACGAAGACATAACCAGGGGGTTCTGGCAAGGAAGAAGACGAGAGGCCATTAGAGAGAAGAGGAGAAGATCTTACAAACACAGGCTTCCGAAAGCAGAGCTTCGAGGGCTGACTGAGAAGCAGAGACATGGATAATGAATCTTCTTTATTTTTTTAATGAACGTTTAATTTATCCAGTAAAAAAAATAACTTAGATGCTTAAAAATGTCTTGTGGCAAACCAAAAATACGAGCCTCTATTTCTTACCTGTTTGTCGATGAGTAATTTGATAAGAAAAAAAGAATGAATGAAAAAAATTAATTCAGAAAAAGAATAAGAATGAATGAAAAAAGAAGCCAAATAATTGGTGGTCTTCTCCATCTAAAACCCTCAATAATATACAAAGGAAGGGACGTGCTCACCAAGAATCTCATCTCCAAAATTAATTATCATCTTTATGGTAAGAGCATCTTCATAGCTTGATACTCTTGACAGAATCTCTATTATAATTTATTATTTATTTAATTAAATTCAAATTTAAATTATAAAAGGGTCTAGTGTTATGTGAGACTAGGATAGCACGGGATTAAAACGTTCATTCATTTTCAATTGAGTTTATGCAGGTATTTTTAGTAGATTAAAATATGTTTGTAAAGGTTTTGTCAACATTTGATTTGTATATTTCTGAAAAAAAAATTCTTTTTACTAATCATGTTATTTTCGAAAAAATATTCAATTTACAGTTGAAAAGTATATCATATATAATATTATATGCATATCTAATATATTTATTTCATTTTTAATTATTCATTCTTTTTTGTTGAGAATTCTTGTGAAGATTTATTAAATAGACATATTGGATCAATGCTTTGGAATTATTTTAATTTTTTTTCTCTAAATCTCCTTTTATTGAATCTAGTACAGTATTTGTAAAAGTTATTCAAAATCAAAGGTATTGCAATTTGCATAGCTGTATTAAATTTTAAATTATAAAATAATTTAACCATTTCTCAAAAAGATAAAAAAAACAAGGGAAATTTTGCTCAATGACCATAAAACAAACTACCGAAAATTTCCTCTTTTTCTCTCTCTATCTCTCTCTAACTAACCATTTGGTTACTTTGTTAATTTTTTTGGTTTTGGTTATTAACCAAATTGACCCAAAAAACAATCCTTGACAAAAAAATTCTAAAAAAAAAACACAAGATTTGATGTTTAGAAGGTTCAAGAGAAAACGACAGACTCTGTAGACTCAAACTCAGTTCCAAACGACTATTCTTCTTTTTTCTTATCATAGTAACAATTCCAGGTTTGTTCAGCCAGATTGACAACTGCGGTTTCGTGGACATCCAAGATTTTGACGTGGTTAGGACCCACGTCGGGAAAGGAGCTAGCAGGGACACAGAAAGGTTCAGACTTTGTGAGGATAATGCAGAGATCTCCGATGTCTTGAGTGTAAACAGCGTTTCCTTCATCGTCAAGCTTGAACACCATTATAGCTTCTGTTTTCATTCTCGCAATACCGTCGAGGATCTCGGCAGTCTTCTTGTACTGCTTCACCATGAAAGTTTCACCGGTTGTTCTTGACTCCACCAAGTGTTGGCTCTTGGTGCATGAATCCAGAAGCGCTTTGCTGGCCTTGGTCAGATTGGGAATCTTTTGAACCGAAACCTCTGAAACTTGGTTGTGTTCATTTGTGTGCGGAGATCCCACGAGCAGATGAGGTGGCCTCCAGAGCCGGGTACGCGAAACATGTTATCTTTCTTGGAAAACATAACAGGGGAGGAGAAGAAGCAAGGGCTTGCGATTCTGATGTTGATCCACTCGGAGTTTCTCTGAGCGGGTCTGCAAAAGCTTACTTGAGGTCCCAAGAACTTGACAGCCACAACACATTCGTCATCCTCAGGAGAAGATGAAGACATGACCACGTTGGTGACAATTTGGGTTTGGCAATGAGGCAGAGTTACAAGAGGAGGCAGGGGAATGCGTTTGGGATATGTATCCGGGCTTAGATCGACCTCTTGGAGACCAACCACCCCGTCCTTCAAAGTAGTTAGCCATCCATTGGATGACCCTATCGTTCCAATCTCCTTAAGAGGCACCTTCTTTTCCAGGGGAGTTGTGTCACCAGCCCTCCTAATCACGAGTTTCCCGAGATCAGCTCCACCACAAGGATCAACGTACATGACGAGACATGGAGGAAAAGCGGCAAGGAAGAAGTTGAGAAGCCTTACGAGAGAAGAGGAGAAGATCTTACTAGGACAGGTTTCCGAAAGCAGAGCTTCGAGGGATGGCTGAGAAGCAGAGACATGAATAAGGAATGTTCTTTAGAGAAAAGCCAAGAGAAAAAGAATGAATGAAAAGGCCCTAACTGAAAGAGTTGGAGATCTTCTCCATCTTAAACCTTCCATTAATACGGAGGAAGGGGCTTGCTCACCAAGTTTCCCATCTCCATAATTAATTATGGTTTTTATGTTGTATATTTTTCTTCTTTCCCAAAAGTCCTTGTCGGGTTCTACACTATACCATATAACTTTCATTAACTTACCTTTCACATTTCCTACTTTTAAAGCTAAATAAACAACTCAAATATTTTAAAAGTCAAATTCAAAATAGAGAAAAACTCATAATTTATGACTAAAACTTATACTAATAAAATGTATATGTATTTTGATTGAGAGTTGTATTGGTTAAAATCCTATTTTGATTTTTTTTTTTTTCATTTTCTACCAAATTATCATTATTTACTTACTAATATAGGTCAATATTTTTCTTGAAAAGTCATATTCTCATCTATAATCTGTACAATTTGAATACTATAAATAAAATAATTAAGATATAACATATTTTAGTTAATGAAAAGGATTTATCTAGGATCGGTGTTGCATTGTGCAAACGACATAAAGTACCAATTGAAAATGGGCTGATAGAGAAGTACCTATTTACTGAAACTAAAACAACCACATTTTTTTTCTTTATGTGTCTAGGAAAAACGAAAACTGATGATCTCTTTCATGAGATCAACAACACAAGCAAGCTCATGGCATATCTTAAGGAGCTTTTACTTGGTCTCACACCTGAGGTGTTTTGAACATACAATACTTCCCTTGCTTTGGAAACAATGACACTTTAGATGAGTGAAGATATGAGAGATGCTGATGTCAATCAGAAAGTGCTACTTTATTATCAAGCAATCAAGAAGGCTGCGATCATCTGTAACCTTCTTTGTGCTATTTCAAGTCTCCACAATTCAAAAAACTCAGGGTAATTAAGCTTTAAGTCACATTTTGGGGAGTTCTCTACTCGATTTATTTTATGCCTTGTATCTGAATTTTTGTTTTGTTTTTAATTCCTATGAAGGTTCTTAAAGAACTCGAAACAGATTCCGGTGGAAAGAAGACTATAAACCTCAATCCAAAAGTCTAAGATGACTCTTTACTTCTCAATATCTCTATGAACGGTAATTATTTGTGTTAGGATAATGATTATATCTGTTTATATAATCTCCCAGAATATATTTTGGTTCTATCTATTAATTCTAGATAGACTCAAACCTCACATCCTTTGTGTATAAATACTTGTACATCTCTTTCACTATCAATATACAGAAATCATACGCTCTACAATTTGCAGGTGGCTGAAGAAGATTCAGCAAACCAAAGCGAAGATCAACAAGATGGAGAGACTGATGCGTTTCAAAGAGAAGTTTCATACCAAGGTCCATGACTCGTCGAATTTCATGGATCCTAGGATTACTCTTGCTTGGTGCAAGCGTAATCAAATACCAATTGAAAAGGTAAGAAACTTCTTAAAAATCACATATGTTTCCCCATTTGAAACAATAGAAAGAAACCTTTTATCCTTTTATTAACTCTTGTTTCTTGTTCTAGGTACTCAACGAGTCTCTTATAGAGAAATTCGCTTGGGTGATGAATGGAGAATCAGACTTCAAGTACTGATGCTATTGGAGCTGACTTTTGACTACTTGTTTATGTTGTTTTTTTGGTTAAAGTACTGATGCTATTAGAGCCGACTTTTGACTATTTTGTGGCTTTTATGTTTCTTGTCATGTAAAACATTTGGTTTTTTACCATGTCGAATATTATGGTACTAAGTAATCAAAATCTACATAATCAGCTACCGTTATGGTCAAGGATAATGGTTTAAAATGGTCAAAAAAGAGAATGATCTGAAAATTGGTGGTAGGCTAAGGTTCAAAATGGTCTCTTTTCTTGTTAAAGAGAATGATCTGAAAATTGGTGGTAGGCTAAAGGTTCAAAATGGTCCTTTTTTTTAGAATGATCAAATTCTCATCTATAATCTGTCCAATTTTAGTACTATAAATAAAATGATTGAGATATAACATGTTTTAGTTAATGAGAACAATTTATCCTAGGATCAGTGTTGCATGGTGCTTATGGAAAAGTATCCATGGGCGATAGATGCTGAACCTCACTTCAGGTTCTGATGCCTTTGAAGAGCAAGATGGAAGAATAGTTTTTCTTGAAGTATTGAGAGAAATAGCGAAAGAGTTGAAAACTTTTGTTATATAGGAATTTTTTTTCTCTTAACTGTTTCTCCGGACTAGGTGTTATTTCGGGATTGAAAACTGCTTTTAGACTCCGAACTTGCTGTTATTTCGGAATTCCAAAAGTCAAACTCAGTACTTTTATTTTTATATTGGTTGTCATGACATTGCAGAGATCAAAGAGCACTACACAAGGCTATAAAATGGCTCCTTTAGAGGGTCATGGAACAGTGAGCTCGGAGTTATACATGGCAAAAAAGAAAATAAAAAAAGAGCTTGAGATGATAAAACTCAATTTCAAACTCTTAGTCTATATTTTGTGGTGGAATATAGTAAGGGGCCATTGAACCGTCTCTATAAATTATATTATTAACTGAGGTAAATGTTGGCAAATTGACATATGCTGATTCGTGGACATCTAAATCTCTGACGGTGCTAGGGTACATGCCGGGAAAGGAGCTAGCAGGGAGGCAGAAAGGTTCAGACTTTGAGAGGAAAATGACATCTCCCATTATTTTAGTGAAAACAGCGTTTCCTACCTCGTCTAGCTTGAAAACCACTAAAACCTCTGTTTTCATTTTGGCAACACCCTTGATGATCCTGGCGGTCTTCTTGTAGAGCTTAACCAAGAAAGTTTCACCTCTGGTTCTTGACTCCACCAAGTGTTCGCTTGTGTAGCACGAATCGAGAAGGACTCGCATGGACTTCTTCTCCATCACCTTGGGAGGGTTTATAAACTGAAGGCTCTGCAACTTGGGGTTCTTGCTATGTTCGTGGAGATCCCATGATCCGATGAGGTGGCATCCAGATCCAGGTATGCGAAACATGTCATCTTTCTTGGAATACATGACAGGGGAGGAGAAGAAGCAAGGGTTTTCGATTTTGACGTTGATCCACTCCGAGTTACTCTGACCGGGTCTGCAAAAGCTGAGTTGAGGCCCCAAGAACTTGACAGGCACAACACAGTCTTCACCCTCTGGAGAAGGCGAGGACATGACCACGTTGGCCACAACTTGGGTTTGGCAATGAGGCAGAGTCATAAGAGGAGGCAGAGAAATGCGTTTTGGATCTGTATCCGATGCAGCCGGGTTTAGATCATCTTGGAGACGCAGGATCCCGTCGTCCTTCAAAGTAGCTACCCACCCATGAGATGCCCCGATCGTTACCATTGGATCTAACAACTCCATAGGCACCTTCTTTTCCAGATAAGTGGAGTAACGATCACTAATATTCTTAATGATAAGTCTTCCGACATCCGCTCCACAAGGATCCGCGTCGATAATCTGACAAGGAGGAGTTTGTGGCAAGGAAGAAGATGAGAAGCCATTAGAGTGAAGAGGAGAAGATCTTAAAAACACAGGTTTCCGAAAGCAGATCTTCGAGGGATGGCTGAGAAGCAGAGACATGAATAAGGAATCTTCTTTTAAAAATGTAAGAGAATTAAGTTAGAAAAAAAAAAAACCAAATTGAGGATTTGGCGAATTAATAGATACAGAGGAAGTGACCTGCTCACCAAGTTTCACATCTCCAAAAATTAATTATGGTCTTTACTTCATGGATTACTCTTTTATTTCCCATAACTCCTTTTCTGGGGTCGGGTTCTCCAATCTTCCACTATACCATATAACTCTCATGAACTTACCTTTTACCTTTTACCTTTCCTATTAGGATATCAATTCAAGTCCCACATCGGAAGATTAGACAATAATGGTCTAATGTATAAGTAATATCCAACTCTGATTAGTATGAGGCCTTTTGGGAGGAGCCCAAAGAGAAATCTGTGCAGGCTTTGCCACTTAAGCCCAAAGCGGATAATATCATACTAATAAGAGAATTAGACATAGGCTTGAAACGCCCAACAATTGGTATCAGAGCCAAGGTTCAGAAAAAGTAGACCTTGAGAAGTAGATTGGGCCTGCTTGTTTGTTGTAGGAGAGTCCTCAAGGTGACTTTGCGATTAAGGGTGCTTCGGTACAAGATGGTACAAGATGGGTATCAAGTTTCGCAGAAGGTTGAAAACAAAGGGTGTGTATGGTCCTTGGCTTGAGGAGAGATTATTGGGATAATGGTCTAATGTATAAGTAATGTCCAACTCTGATTAGTATGAGGTCTTTTGGGAGGAGCCCAAAGAAAAATCTATGCGGGCTTTGCCACTTAAGCCCAAAATGGACAATATCATACTAATAAGAGAGTTGGACATGGACTTGAAACGCCCAACATATCCTACATCTAAAGCTAATTAAAACTCAAATATTTTCTGATTCCATATTTACTATTTCACTTGATTTTTTGTTGCCATCTTCTTTGTCTTTGCTTAGTAACCTACTGAGGAAGCGAGCAAGACCGATAATTTCTCTTTCTTCTCTTCACTAATGTTCTGAATCATCACTATGACTTGTGTCTCACGAAAACACAAATGAGTAACTATGCTGTCTAAGCAAAGTGTCGCAACAGTTTAAACACACGAAACTGCTTGTACTAGCCACTCGTCACTTCTTCTAGTTAGCAAAATAATAATCACGATCAGGACTCTGTAGTATTTTGAAATCTATACTAAATAAAAGGAACTATTTGTGGCTCCTTAAGCTATTCACCTCAGTTTTTCAAACTACTCTAAAAATATGACACATAAGCAAAAAATAATAATACAAATTCCCACTTTAGATTTTTTTTGAAATACACATAAAATAAATAAATAGAACCAAAATTAATATAGTTAAATACAAGAGTAAATAAAAATAAAATATTATTTTTTGAATCGGTAAAATAAATATTATTTAAATCTATAGAATCAATATATACTCTTTTGTTTGTAATATAACAAATTAACAATAATGAAAATTCTCACTTTAAATTTTTTGAAATACACATAAAATAAATAAATAGAACCATTAAATTAATATAGTTATTAGCAAAAACTAAATAAAACTATATATCATTTTAATCAGTAAAATAAATATCATTTAAATCTGTAGCATTAATATATACTCATTTTTGTCACTAAAATTAATATAGTTACCAACAAAAGTAAATAAAATTAAAATATCATTTTTTGAATCAGTAAAATAAACATCATTTAAATTTATAGCATCAATATATACTTCTTTTATTTGTAATATAACAATAATAAAAAATTTCACTTTATATTTTTTGAAATACACATAAAATAAATAAATAGAACCACTAAGTTAATATAGTTATTAGGAATAAGTAAATAAAACTAAATATCATTTTATAAATCAGTAAAATAAATATTATTTAAATCTGTAGCATTAGTATATACTCCTTTTTGTAATATAGTGAATATATTGGACAACAAATTGCTCTAAAAACTTAAATAATAGTTAATAGAAACAAGATTACAAAATAATAATTTCTAAAATAAAATTTAAAACTTTTACAAATTATAAAAATCTAAAACATTCACATTTTAGAAACATACAGATTAAACATCATAGTACGTTAGATTTATGGCAACCAACAAGACAACATAAATTATAGGAAGCTTTTCAAAGCATCTATCTATATGAAGATTTCGATCATCATTACTATTTACATTGCAGAAAATGATAGACAAAAGAAAAATTTTATACACTGGTATTTATTCAATGTGTGTCTTAGTTGGCTTAAGATAGTCAAGTTACTACAAGCAATACATGTCAACACATGAGTTAAACAGTTTATCAACAAAAATTAAATTTTAGATGACAGTTAATTTTTATATATATCAAGTTAGTAAATTTTTAAATTAAATAATAATGCATTTTTGAAAAAATAACATACACATTTTTATTAATACAACAAAAACACAAATGTTTCTCCTCGTGAAGACACATCAGCATTTTGGAGCTTTCTGAAGATGACACTTCAGCAAAAAAATCCATCAAACAAATTAAAACATTAATACACATCACCCATTTCATTTATTATCCATTTTATTTATAAAAGCCCAAAAGGTAAAATATACATACCCATCTATAAACCTAATTAAACCAACACCAATCAAAACATTTTATTAATACACATCAACTACTAACTTTTATTATTTTTAACTTAAACTCATTAAAAACCCAAATATTGTTCTTTGTTAATCATTGTTTTATTTTTGCCAAACTCAAGCCCAAAATAAATAACAGCAAATAAAAAAAATTGTTTTATTTTTTACCATCCACAAATTTAAATAATAAATAACAACAAATAAAAAAAAAATTGTTTTATTTTTCCGCCAAATAATAAATAACAACAAAAAAATTAAAATTTCTAACGATGTTTACTTAATAGAGACGTATATGATTGAAGAAATTGTAGACTCATCATTAAATATGCTTCTAGACAACAACGCAAAAAGCGTTATGTTATAATAAGCTCACACATCAGCAAAAATTTGAACTAATAAAAATATAACAATAATACATATCATTAACACACTAATAAAATTGGTTTAATATTTTGCTCACCCATTAAAAAGCCCAAAGTTTACAAAAAAATAGAAGTCAAAAGCAAATGAGGAGAAGCTCAGACCACTACAACTTGGATATTCACATTTCCAGTAGTTACCGAGAACAAATTTTCGTGGGTTTGGCGAAAATAGAGAATTTCTTGGTTTTGGTAGGAAAATGTGATTTTTAGTTTTGGTAGGAAAACATAATTTCCCGGTTATGGCCGAAAAAATGAATTTTTGGATTTGACGGAAAAATGTGAATTTTTGGTTTTGGTGAGAAAAAAAAATTTGATTTTGACGCGAAAAAAAAAAATCTTAGTTTTGACAAGAAAATACGAGGAAAATGCAACTTTTCAATTTTTACGAAAAATACGATTTCTCAGTTTTGATAGGAAATGCAAATTTTTGGCTTCAAATGGATAATGTGATTTTTTTTTTATTTTTGCGAGAAAAGATGATTTCTTAGTTTTTGCGGGAAATTGTAGTTTTACAATCTTGGCGGAAAATGCAATTTCTTGGTTTGATGGGGAAACAAAATTTCTCGATTTTAGCGGGAAATACAATTTCTCGGTTTTGATGGGAAATGCAAATTTTCAGTTTTTTACATGTAAAATAATTTTTTGGTTTTCGCAGGAAAATTCGATTTCTTAGTTTTCGCGGGAAACACAATTACTCAAGAGATAATGCATTTTTTGGTTTTCGTGGAAAATTGTAGTTTATCGATTTTGGTATGAAGGCGAGATTCTTGGTTTGACGATAATTTTTTTTTTTTTGTCGGAAATAGACGATTTTCAGCTTTTGTAGAAAAATAGTTTTTTCGGTTTTGACGGAAAAATACGATTTTGTTAGTTTTGCAGGAAGATGAATTTTTTTGGTTTTGGTGAAAAAAACCTGATTTCACTATTTTCGCGGGAAAATACAGGTTCTCGCGGAAAAATGTGATTTTTTTGTTTTTCCGGAAAAATGCAATTTCTTTGTTTTGGTAGGAAAATGAATATTTAGGTTTGTCAAGAAAATGAAATTTTTTTTGGTTTTGGCAGGAATATGCGATTTCTTAGTTTTGTGGGGAAAATAAATTTTTTTTTATCGGAAAATGCAATTTCTCGGTTTTTGTAAAAAGATAAAATTTATCTGTGCTAAATTTTCAAATTACAATATGTTTATAGTAACTGAAATTGAATTATTTAACTTCAACTAAATTGATATTTCAACAGTTCAAACAGAATTTTCTATTTAGTTTAAAGGAATAACAATGATTTTGATATGAACGTTATTGATTATAGTTTGGTAGTTTTAGAAACATATGTTTATAATAAATATTTGATAATTAAGTAAATTTTATAATTTAAAATAATTATATTAATTAATAATTTTTTAAATGGTAATTTGCTTTATATAACTTCAAAAGAGGATCAAGTGGCAATTTAGTAAGAAAATAAATTACATTTGCCATTAGCATGAAAGTACTTAAAATGTATTGTTTTATTCTTACATATACATTTATAGATAGTTAGCTAGACAAATTTGATGGTAGATTATAATTTTGAAACATAAAAAAATTAAGGATATATAATGTTTATTCAGATTTAAAACATATAAATACATACATTATATAAATAATTTTATTATATTAAAAATATATAAAAAATCTAGAAAAATATTCTGCAGCATAGCACAGGTAAATACTTAATGAAAATAAGAGTTTATTACTGTATATGGCCAGTTCAGCCTCCACATCAGCTAGAATAGTTGACTCTTTTGACTTATTTCTTATTGAGCTGGCTTTTTTTTATCTTCAAAGTGGCCGGTATTGGGCTAAAGCCTGTAAAGCAAAGGCTTTAAACCTCAAACTATATAAATATTTTTGGGGCAACATGTTCAGTTAAATTATTTAGGTGTAGTGGTTAGAGTTTCTGATTATGCATCTTATTGGTGCTGAGTATATAAATGAGGTTTGAAAGGTTT